TGGTAATGTTTTGCTACTATAAAATTTTTGAAGTGGATTTTTAACCGAACTAAAGCTTAAAGTTAACAAATCATTAATACCATTAAAATAACATAAATCCTATTTATTATATCAATGCTTGATTATGGATCGTAAGACTATTAGTTATTAAACTATTATTTTCCATTGCAAAGCTTACTAAAATGGAATTACGATATTTGTATTTCCTGCTATAGATAGATCAAAAGTATAATTCATCAAATTATTCACTAATTTAATTCGTTTATGATTTTTTGGAATAAACGGCTAATAGATAACTAACTATTCAAATAAATATCATATCTAGAGTTATTAAACTACAGTAAATGAATTTAAGGTTATAAACATATCCAAGAAATATTTTTATATTTCACTTCTTCTTTCACACAAGTACAATGAAATAGTATCTTAAACAATGTCATTGCCTTGATTCCGTGGATTTTAAATACTTTTTGTCAAACTTAAAAAAAAAATTTTAAGTTTAAAGTAAAAAAAATTCATTTAATTTCCTTGAAAACATGTGATTTACGTTAAATAATGTTAGTTTTCAGAAATGGGAAATTATTATTTATGTATTCTTTCGTCACTATCTTCTACAACTTTATGTATTAGATATTATTTTTTCTAAAATTTTCCGCTTTTCAACGATATATTATACGTATACATTCTGACCGTTATTTCCGGAGATTTACTTTCGGCTTGGATAAGCATTTTTCTCCTTTATTATCAAATTCTTTCAAATGTTATATTTTGTCTTTTTTCATAACTCCTAACAATGAAAGATAGTTAATTATTTAAAATAAACCAAATTAAAGGTACTTTAGAGGAAGATATGTTGAACATTAGGTATTTAAACCACGTAAAGTGACATCAATGGATATAAGACCTAAATAATATTAAAGACCACTTAATTATAAAATGATACACCGAGCTTAATCTAAATCGTCGTTTTTGAGAAAATTCCAAAAATGTGTTTCACCGCTGATATAAAATGGCACTTCCGGTTAGTCTGTTCACACAGACCATTTTTTGGGACTTAGTTATTTTGACTCATGGGGTCTCAAAACGTGTAATTCTGTTGAAAAATCGGATTCGAAAATTTTCACGATCGCAATGCTTTCTCTAACTATATATTACATAAATTGGTAAGTGAAAGTAAAAAGTGACGAATTCCTATTTTTATCCTTAGATTACTATTACTTCACTAAATGTCATTGAAAAAAAGTAAGTTTTAAAACTGACGGTTCCAAGTTGACGGATCGAGTAATCTATCAAGTAAAAAAAATATTTTAATTTTTTTTAAGTGATTTTTGCAATAAATCCGCAATTCATTTATTAAAGAACTGGGACAAACAAAATGTTTACTTGTGATATCTTCAAGACATTGGTTAGTTATGACTAGAGACACTAGCGGATCCAGGATTTAATTTTGGGGGGGGGCTTCAGCCCGAAAGATTTTTTTTCATATAAGTATAAAAATGATTAATTAAAAAAAAAAGAAAGAACTTAACTACCTATACGAAATGATGTTTAAGTGGTTCTCGTAGTCCTATTAAATGCAATTAAACGAACAAGAATACTTTAAGAGATAGTTTTTAGTATTTTTTTCTGTTAAATATGGTTATATTTTACCATTTTGGGGGGAGGGCTTCATCCCGAAAGCTCTCCCCCTCCCCCCGTAGATCCGCCTGTGACTAGAGACCGGATTTCCATGTTATTGCACTTTTTAATCGCTTGAGTGTAAAAACTCCGGACCCGAACATCTATTCCTTTCAGAACCTGTAGAATAATATATTTAAATTTTATATTGCACGTTTAGCAGTTTTTGGCTTAAATTGCACGGTTTTGATTTTTGTTGCATTAAATTGCACATTTTTGCACTTTTGTGCTAAATTAGACGATTTTTAAATACAAATGTATAAGTGAACACGGCCGAATCTACGGGGAGGAGGGGCTTTCCCGCTGAAGCCCCTCCCAAAATGGGAAAATATAACCATGTTTTATGGAAAAAAATATTAAAAAATTATCTCTGAAAGTATTATTGTTCGTGTAATTACATTTAAAAGTACTTAAGGAATCACTTAAACACCATTTCATATAGATAGTTAGTTTCTTTCTTTTTTTCCAAAGTAATTATCGTAATTTTTATGAAAAAAAAAAGCTTTCAGGCTGAAGTCCCCTCCAAAACTTAATCCTCCATCCGCTAGTGTATGTGAGTGTGTTAATATTTATTTTAATATATTGTTCAAATTAAATTCATTATTCAAAATAAAAAAAAAATGAGGAAGGCAAATAATTATGGGTGTAGCAAAAATTGTAATAATTTCAAATGGAAGAAGTAGACACAAGTGAGATATATTCTTGGTACTAGGGGATCCAGGATTTAATTTTGGGGGGGAGAGGGCTTCAGCCAGAAGCTTTTTTTTCTATAAAAATAACGATAATTACTTTGGAAAAAAAGAAACTAACTACTTATATGAAATGGTGTTTAGGTGATTCCTAAAGCCCTTTTAAATGTAATTGCAGGAACAATAATACTTTAAGAGCCCTCCCCCTCCCCGTAGATCCGCCCGTGATCCTTCGAATAGAACTTGCCTAAAGTATTGGATAATAAAAAGCTGCTTTGTTTAGAAAGACATTTATAGTTATTGTTTTGGCATGAATCCTCGCTCACCGTTCTACCCTTCGGTATCACTTCTTGCTTTGAATTGATTTGTAGAAATCTCATTCTTATAAAAAAACAAAACAATTATATTGCTGAAAGTAAAATCTAGTCTCCCATCAAAAATTAATTACCTTATGAATAAATCAGGTAATAGGAAATCACTGATAGACGCTCATTGGAGAACAAGAAAAATATATTCTTACCAAAGAATTGAATGTTTTTTAGAAAGAACATAATGTAGTAGACATCCCCCTGTATTTACTCCTTTATGTGACATTGTGTGAGGGAATGAGAAGGAATATATAATATACAGGAATGTGAGGTTGCAATAAAAAAAATATATAGGATCATTTTATAGAAATTTTAAAGTACTATAATATTTTACTGAGCAATTTTTGTGAAAAATCTCATAGTTTTTGAGATATTCTAAAAAAAATACGTTTTCTGTCTTAACTCCCTTTCGGCATCAAAAGGGGGTGCAGGGTTTTTTGGGACTTTTTACCGGTTATCGGGAGGCTAAGCAATTTATGACAAGTTTCATCTTTATTTTTTTAATGTTAGGGTAAGGCTGTTTTCCCCCTAACTTTACTGGATTATAAGGCCAGCACTGGACAAATTATCAAATATTAACTGGTTCTGGATGTTACTTGTGACAATCAGATACCTAATACATCACTGTATAAGATTATCCAGTTAATTCATGAAATTCGCTGGTTACAGGTAATAAGACCACACACCCATAACCACCCAACCTAATAATTTATAATTTATGGGTGATAAATATTCAGGACGCAGTCATTATAACTGCTTACGTTTTTATTGGTACTGATGTTTCAACACAAACATATGGGTCATCATCAGTACCCAGTACTTGAATATCTTCAGTGCTCGAACCACATGTGATTGGGTTGAAACGTCGGCACTAATAAAAACCTTATAATGACTGCGTCCTGAATATTTATCACCGATGATATGCAGAACAGTCGACTAAATTCTTTCAATAATTTATAACCTATGGAACAAAAACAATGTAAATAGGCTAGGCTGGATTCCTAGCATCCCTTCCCCTCCTTGATGTGTAAAAACTTGGTGCCCTGCACAACACTAAATAAAATAACGGTATAAAAGGGCTTTCGATTAAAAGAACTTATTCTATCTAGGAGTGGTCGATAGTAGTAATTTGGTGGTTAGTATCAATAGATCGATTGTTCAGTTAGGAATCCTAACATCAGTGGTGGACACTTGCTACGATTTATAAAAAATAATTTATCTACTTTTTGCTAAATTGTTTAGTTCCTTTAAAATTCTGTGTAACATTCATTACAATTATTAACCTTTTTTTTAGTACATTGTAGATGATATATGTTTTGGATACTAATATTTAAGTTTGAATTATTTGGACGATAGTTTAAGTGAAAAGTGTTTGTTCTTTAATTTCCTAAATTTAATTTAATAATATGGCATAGAAATATAATAAAAATGTGCAGGTATCATTGTAGATTATATACTTTATAAAAGAAGTCAGATTGAGAAAGTAGGGAACCTAAGATAAAATATATTATTTAAAAGAAAATTCCATCCAATAGTTTTTGGAACTTTTCAATCATTTACTGAATCTGTCGGTTAAGGACCTCAGAGCCCCTGGAGCTATTTGTGGCCATTTAATTCACTAACTCTTAATTCTACTAATGTTTGTTTTAAAAAAAGGGAAAGACTACGGCTATATTTTTTTTTTTCGAAACAACTAGTTAGGGTTGTTGGAACATCGGAAAAGTTCCGATATTCCTTATCGATATCAGCCCTTGGTATTGATAATAATATAATATCGAACCAAAATAATGATATCGCCTATATCAAATGATATTTATAATTAAAAGTAATTTCTGTAAGGTAAGTGAATATATTATCAATTATATCAAAACTGAAAATGAAACCTGGATGTTATGATTAAATAATCTTATTAATAATTTATTCACACGTAATACAGGTAAAGTAAATCAAAATTTACCAAATAAATGATGAAATTTGTCAGAAATTTCGGTCACATCTTCCTACTGAGGCTCAAGGTGCCCTTATAGAAACCACAGGCAGATCTATGGGAGGATGGGAGCTTTTGCGATGATGCGCTCCCCCTCATCCCAAAATGGTAAAACCATGTAATTTACTTATATTATAATATATATTAATATATCTGATTTACCTTACATTAATATAAGTAAATTCATTTATGAAATATTCTTGTATTAATGACTTATTATAGTTTATATAATACTCTTTTTCATAAGATGACTAACATCACTATTATATTACGTTAAATGTTTTTTTATGAACTGAATTTGTATGAGTCTTATAGATGACATCATAGCCAAAACGTAGCCACTGTGGAGGAGAAATAAAAAATAATTTTGCCTAAAATTTAAACATACATGAAATTATTAAGTGATCAGCTCGCCCCGAAGTATCATTTGACTTAAAAAGTTATAATCTTACATCAAGTATCAGTTCACTTGATAACTAACCAGGTCGCCCCAATCCTTTCATGCTTATTATATTCCTGCCCACAAAACATTTTTATTTACAATATCAAAATATTTCCTCCCTCCTCCCATTATTACCATTAGTAATAATGCATCCTTTATCACTTGATGGTTAAATTAATCTTCAACCTATAAAGGAACAAATAAAAATACAAATAATACTAGAAGTTTATTAATAGTTAACAATGAGGAACTGTAAAACAACAATTAAAAAATAACACAAATCTTTACATAAGTTATGAGGAGTAGCTATAAAAAAATAACTGATTGTTTAGCAGACAAACAATAGCCTATGCTTCTAGTTTAAACAATAGACTTCAACCTTTGTTCTAAAAGGACTTAGTATCGTTGACATTATAAGAAAAAAACATGCATCTGTCAAATAAATTTGATCACAAGTTCAGATCAGACTTTTGATTGATTCTAAAGCTTTAAGTGAACACTTGGATACAAATTATGTCCAAAAACAAGTTTTTTTTGTTGTTGTTTCATCATGTGTAATTCTTATCAGAGGTCTCTAATTATTCTGTGTGATATCTCTGGAGAATAATACCTTAACCCAATTTTTATCTTTGTTTTGATCATGATTTAGTCTTCGGAGAAGACCATATCATGATCAAAACATTTTTTGAGGGACATGACTAATACTGAATATAAAAAATTGTACCAAGAAAAAATATTTAGTGTTTGTAGAGATGTAGAAGAGAGAGAAAAAAAAAAGAAAACTTCAACACTGTGCATCATGAGGAACAAAAAAAAATTTAAAAAGTCAAAGAAAGTAAATTGTAATAGTATCAAGGACAATTTGAAAAAAAAAACGCTTCTACCAACATCTCTTTTTCATTTGTTCATTAGAGCAGACCAAAAAAACTCAGCTTTATTTAGCTACTAATCGGGAACAAAGTATTCAACTGTGTGTAGATGAATATATAGTCTATATACATGTCTTCTCATTCAACTTTGTATCCAAGTATTCACTAAGCCAAAGAATAACAACAAATGATCACAATCTACAACTCAAAAGAAGTCACACTAGGTTCGAGTTCAGACAATTCTTTATAAATAACATGACTTCGAGGGGAGAAAGAAATGGAGATTCTTGGACTGTGCTTGTTAGAGTTGTTATAAAAAAACAACTGAAAACCATGAACTTGTTTTTTCCAAAGAATTTACATAGAACATGAAGAGGTTGAGGGACCATTTGGAGAGAGTATATTGAATTGTGAAAAGAAACTGATAGAAACATAGTATTATTATTTTTTTACAGCCATTCCTCATCTATGTTAACACTAAACTGCAGATAAAGTGACATATATACAACTAACAATTTATCCATAAGTACTAGAAACCTGAGTTAAAGAGCAATTATTCTTATTTATTATTAATAGAGAGATAAATTTAATTATAAATTTTTCATGGCTAAGGAGATTAATATTAAATTTAATTACAGGTTATCCCAGACTTTTAATAAAATGAGTCATTAAAACTGCTCAAGGAAGAATGCTCGAGAATGAGCACATAATTCATTTGGGACCAAAATACAAAGTATTACATGATTCGTTTATATCAATTAAATCTGAATTGATTAATTTACACACACAAAAAAAAAAAAGAGTATGAAAGTCGAGGGCCTGTATATCACATTTAATCTTATATAGATTTAATATACAAGTGATGTTTTTATTTTTTCTAAATACTCAACATCAAAACATATTTAAAATTACTTATAGTTAAATAAAACGTAAACATGTTCCTACATACTACATGCAGTTTAATATACAAAAGTAATAGTTACTTAAAGCATTCATCAGATTATCTTATCATAATCTATTACAATGACACCTTGATTAATAACCAAAAGGTTTCATTAAAATAATTGGATCAACAATATGCTAGATTCATAATTAATATAAATCCATCATAAAATAGTGATATTACAAGGCTTGTAATGCTGTGAACCTTGCTAGGTAGGTAGCATTAGGTTCGCGTAATGCTAGATAAGAAAAATTTATAAGATAAAAAACATAATGAAAAGTATACTTAAAAAACGACAAACATTAATACAAGAGAGGTAACTTAGTCTTTTTGAATAATACTTTTTAAAGTAGTGGCTATCATTTCAACTGCCTGATAATGTCGGCAGGATTTTCAGACGTGAAGAGTGCTCTAAACATTTTTCTTCTCACCACCTCTTCCTCCAATTCATGAGCTCTCTTTGCGCCGTTAAGGGTGATGTGCCTCGGTACACCGGCCAGGCGAGCAGCATTGAACCCATACGATTTGGGGCAACCGCCTGACGCCACTTTATAGAGAAACGTCACATTTTCCTCTGAGCCTTCTTCGTCTTCGTTCTCTGCCATGCACGCCTAAAAGAGGGGGGAAAAAAACAACATAAATAATAGTTTAAGCTAGAGAATGTATGAAGTTAGACAAGTAGAGAGATATATTGTTATCAATTCTACAACAAATTATCATTTCTAAAATGCAAGCTAAGAGACATAAATGGGTCTTGTGAGGTGGGGCTTCTATAACAATTATAAAAAACATTGGGTCAAATTCTCATAATTAACATTACATCCATTCAGAAGGGAAGGAAAGTGATTAGATTTTTATTTTATTAGAGCCGTAGGCCCATTCTTATGGAAAATCTGGTGCGCGCAACACACAACTTTCATTTACCGCTCTACTTTGAATATAAATTATTTTCTGGACTATTAAATTAATGCTGGACTATTATAAAATGTTTGAGGTGCATTTTAAACGGAGCTAAAGCTTAAAGTTTACAGATAACAAATCATTACGACCATTGTAATTACATAAAGTCTATTTATAATATCGACGGTAGGCAATAAAAATCTAGTCACTCCATCTATTTTTATAAACTTTCAACATTTTTTAGTAATGTCATTTTAGTGATATTTCTAGTTGAAAAAGTTATCTATACAGATAACTGAGTGAGTAAGCTGATTCCGGAGTAGGTGAATGCAATGTTGAAATATAGAACTGTGAATTAAGGCATAAATTTTGCCACTAGAAACATAACTAAAATTAAAAGTAAAGATAGTTAAAATTGGAGTTAATCATTCTGTCAACCAAAAGGCTCATATATGCCTACATTGGTTTGAAAGTATATCTGAATATTTAACGGGTTGCACGGGGTCCGGTCCATGAAAGTTTCTTTGGTCACCACATTGTAAAAGTTTTAAAAATATGAAATTTAGTAAATCACTCAAACACAAGTTTACTACAGCTTTTGTTGCATGAAATGTTTTTCTTAGTTCTTCAAAAGCTCATTTAAAAACTTGAGTGTTATTTATAGAGTTTTTATTTTATTTTTATCATAAGCCGTGGCCCATTGGAATCGGTGGAGGTGTCAATGTGGCTCGCGGACCAAAACTATTGGAGACCCCTGCTACAATAGACTCCTGCTATAGTAGACCCCTGTGCTAGTATAACTAATATGGTGCTGCAGCAGGTTATAGCTCATATACTATTTTACAGTTGTGAATTATACAAAAATTATAGGATCTGAATAATTATCATTAATAATAATGGAATCTTACACCCAACTCATCCTTCAATGATGCTTTTTTTATCTATACGAAAGGACAATCAGATTGCTAATTAGTAGACTTACCATATGGACCAATCCAATGTTAGGGTCACCTTTGAAGCTGTCGACGAGAGTATGGTAGTGGGTAGAAAATATGAGTCTGCTTTGCATTCTACAAAGTTCTTTCAGTACAGCAGCTGCGATGGCTGTTCCGTCATACGTTGAAGTTCCTCGACCTAAAATATTATCATTCATTAAGTAGCTTACTTCCAATTTCTAACTGAACCAGGGATTATCCAACTGAAGAGATCCTTAATTGATGGACAGTCTTGAAATATCTAAATTTAAATTATTTGTTCAAAAAATCATAACAGAATCATTACCTAATTCATCAATGAGTACGAGTGAATGCCTTGAAGCATGAGAAAGTACTGCAGAAGTTTCGCAAAGTTCTAGGTAAAATGTGGAATCACCCGCCATGATATCGTCCTGTGCTCCAATCCTTGTAAAAATCCTGTCAACAACGGAGAGTTCCATGACTGACGCAGGGACCATGCTACCCTATATAACAAGGAAACTATATAAAATAAAAAGAATTATTTAATTCTCCACACACTCATCCTTACCATTTTTAATACTGCCTCATTGAGGGGAACATAAAATAATAATTAAAATGAAAAAAATCATTGTTTTTAAGTTTAATATCTTTCCTACTATAAATGTCCTTGATTGAGACAGATTGTAATAAATAAGTTAAAATCCAAAAAAAAAAAAAAAATATCTTTCATAGTAAGCAATAATATTAATTTTTATTTAACTTTTTACATTCCAGGATTAAAAAACTACATTAAAAATATTTTTATAGCAAAAAGGGTCAGTCATATTTTTATTTATTAAATTTAAGACCTCTGGGAAGGATTGTATTTTAAAATAATAATAAAAATTATAACTCATAAATAACAACAATCAATAACTCGTTTAATTAAGTTTTTGTTGTCATAATTACAAATTGCGTGAAAGAGGTATCTTTGTAATATATATAACGTTACAAGGACAAAACTCTTATTAACAAAATGGCTGGTTATTATATAATAATTATGAATGATAAAACGTACCATCTGCGCTAGTATAGTAAGCAACCCGAGCTGCCTCATGAGAGTGGACTTGCCTCCCATGTTAGGGCCGGTCAGCAAGAGAATGCTTGGGCCCTCGCCTCCAATCTCGGTATCGTTTGGTATGAAATCGCCTGACCCACATGGAAACTTGCCATCTTTAATATTTACGTACGGCTGAAATGAAAAAAAAAAAAAAATTATAACAATCTATAAGTTCTGTAAACATGCTTATACATTCAAAATATATTTGATATTGAATAAAATTCAAAATCCACTTAATTTTGCTTGATAGTATACTTTTACAAACAATTATTCCTATGAAGATAATTATAATACACTAATTTTCAGTTGTTTTTTTTTTCAGTTTCAATTAGAGCCCTAATAGAGCTCTTCTAGGACTCCACCTGGACAAACGTATAACTTGGAATCCTCATACAAGACTGAAACGACAAGAAACAGCTTGATGTTTCCGACTACTTCAACACTTACTAGACAAACGCTCTAACCTTCCAATTAATTACACAAGACATGACTATAATAAGGCCTATTTGGACTTATAGAGTTGAGCTATGGGGCTCCACCAAACCTTCAAATTTCTCTAGTATCCAATCCTTACAATAAAAATCCTTCATAAAATCCTCAATGCTCCTTACTTTGTTACAAATAAAATCATCCACAATGACCTTAAAGTTCCTTATGTATCAGATTTGGCCCAATCCAGATATCTGTCCTTCCATGATAAACTTCATAACCATCCCAACCCTCTTGTTTCTAACCTTATTTCCTATTCAATTCCTGATAACCCTCCGAGGCGTCTGAAAAGAAGATGGCCATGTGATCTCCTAATATAGACATATTATTAGAGTGCTACAAATGGGTAGTTTCTCAACATGTGTTTCATGTCATTATATCCATGTGCGAATTCACTAGATGTATTTTTTTTTATACAGTTGTAAATGTTATATAAATAAATAAAAAAAAAAAAAAAAAAAAATAGAGCTCTTAAGTTTCAATAATTACAGGTAAGTGTCTTTCAAAAAATAGCATTTTTTTTTTAAACACAAGAAATCACTATTTTGGGATTTTATTTTAACAACTATCGTAGTAATTGCTTAAAATGACGATAATTGCTATAAACTACTTGTAGGAATTTTTGTTTACATAATCCTTTCTTACATATCTATTGTTATATAATTCAAAATTCTTGTTATGTATTCCAAAATTCTTCTTATATATTTCAAAATTTCATGACAATGCTGTTCCTATGAATTAAAAAGTGTTTGAAGTTTGTAAGGTTACAGTTTTCAATAAAAACATGAAATAACCTAAAAAAATAATAATGGTACTTATGAATTAGCCGGTCGCCACGGACAGCTATCCGCCGTTGTTTATACCTGAACACTGATAATTCTGATATTGATAATACCTACCTTCTTATTTATATTTATGGAAATTGAATCCCATAATCGTTCTGAGTATGGACCCTACTTGAAGGATCGACAAAGTTATGTCAATGATTTACCTGGAAATGGTTGTAGTTTACTTTATTTAGTTGTTGGGTGTCGTATCATTTCCTACAGTCAGGATATATAGTGGTTCTCTCTTCTATATTATTTTTAATACATTCTTCTTATAAGTACTCTATTGAGTTGTTACTGTCTTTTATTTTTACAATGAAACACTTCTGTTTCTCAAACTCTGCCAAACATACATTGTTCAGAGAGCACTCTCCCTAAATGATTTTTTCTTTTAGGAAAAAAGACTTTTGTCTATTTCAACCACTTTTCCAGGTCCTCCAATTTTGTTCGTTCAACTGTATAGAATGCAAAAGTAATTAAGCAGAGATGAGTGATAAGAAGAGGTTATGTGAGATAAGAAGATAGGCTCCGTGGCGATCGGCTATATCACAAGTAGCAAAATTATTCTGCTCCAAATAAAATCAAAAATTTCAACAATTAACAGTTGGAAAGCAACTGCTCATCTTAAGTTATTTTAAAAATTGACATTATCACTCAAATAAAATAACACGCTGGTAGCTTTTTAAATTAACAGATTTGTTGCATCTTTTCACATTACTTAACTTTTTGATGTTTTGTTTCGAACTTTAAAAGGAAGAGCTCGACTATTTTTATTTTATTTTTTTCCCCTCCCCTCTTCGACGTTTAGGCTATACAGAATTTTCCCGGGCCAGGTGGCGAGGGCAGAAGATTAAGTTAATAAGCCTCGATGCACCAGAATGTGAACTCATAATTATTTGTATCAAATTATCTTTGATCTGGGTTGCCGGGCAACGCAATCCTGTTCACTCATTAGCCAGCTCAGCCGACCCACCCCTATTTTTATATCTATTATTTTCCTTACTAAAAGAAAACGTCAATTAATATTGTTTTAACTGAAATTAGATATTGTATTTAAAATGGGCGATATCATCAAATGTGACTATTTATAATTACTTTGCTCCATCTGCTTGATTCGTAGAACTGCGGAGTGCAAATGTTGCTTTCGATGCTTTGACAATACTTGGCGAGGGACATGAGGACATCAAGCACGGATGCACAGTTCAATGCTTTGCTCCAGTCATCGATCCTAGAAAATAAACAAAAGTTTATTGTTTCTTTTTAATAATGAATATACAATATTTAAAAATAAATAAAATAATAATATTAATAATTACTTGTCACTAAAACGTGAAAATATCCTTTTTCTTAGGTTTAAAAGGGCATTGTTCTTTAGTTCTTCAGCAGCAAATTGCCTTTCTAACAACTCCTGTGAAACGATCAAACAAACAACACTAAATTATCAAAATAAAAATGTAAAATGGTACTCCTTCACTTTATTTTAGGAACTAGGAACAGCTATCACATTAAAATTATTAATCTGAATTGAATATAGAATATCTATGAGTGCATCAATACTGTTCTTTTTTTCTTTCATATCAAGAATCAATATAATTAAGACATGAAGTTTTTTAAAATAGAATAATGTGAAAATAAGATACTGATCATTTAAATAAGAGTAGAAAATTAGTTAAAAATTTACTAAAGATAAGTAGCTGACTGAAATATGAAAAAAAAAAATTCAAGTCTTTAAATTTAAAGAATACTTCAATATAGAAGTATTAAAATAAATATATATACACCAAGTTTGTGCAAAAAATCTTAAAAACCCCTTTTTTTCTTGTTTGTTTTTTCTCAACAAAATGAATTAGAGTGAAAAAAAGGTACAGTTTATAATAAATTACTGTTACTAATTAGATTTACTAATCTTAGTTGTCACTAAACAAAAGAATATAAATTATTTACTAAAAAAAATAATGAAAACGATTAACAAATTACCTTGGTTTCAGCCGTCCAATATTTTTTGAAACCTTTACGCTGCCCTTGTAACTCATAGCCGTCGTTTGCTTTCCTGGCGGCCCCTTCCGGAACCTCCAGCTGAAACCTCTTCTTATCAGCGCCAGTGAATGTGACCTAAAATCGTTTCGAAAAGCATTACAAATCTAAGATAATAAATGAAATTGAGATACTAGTGACAACTGTGCTTCAGGGTCAACAAGAAAATTCATCAATTTAATGATGCTATATATATGTCATGTATCTTAGCTTATTGTTAATACGATACTTAAATTAATTAAATTACTTGATATAAAAAAAAAACAATCAAGTAAATTTGGGCTGCAACAGAATTCAAGTGATAAAGAATGTACATATATGATTGAGACTGCATTTTTTAACAAGAAATAACAAAGCATATGATGGGTGTGGTGGGGATTGAAGATGTGTTCTGAATCCATGTGGTATATCTAGTAAGGATTAATAATAATTAGATATAATAGTCAAATTATGTTTGAAAACATGAAAAATTTCTTACATACAGCAATTCATTCTAAATTATTTGTTTGATTTAAAAGATGATAATTGTGAAATTTAAAATGCGACAATACTTACTTTACAGCCAAAGTATTCGCACTGTTTCCTGAGGTAAGCTTTTCCGTCCTTTTCAACTTCTGCTAACATATCTAGCGCACTGTCATATTCTGGATCGACACCAGCACTAGGGACAATTCGGCCTTCCTTTTCAGCTTCTTCATGATCGAAAGCATTCTAAAATACATAAAATTATGAGAGATTAATCTAATGCCCAAAAATTGATAAGAAATTATAGTATAATGATGTTGACATTGTAGATATAATTTAACAAGATGGTTGTTGGGATTGTGGGTGACGGGAAAGGTGAGGTAAAAGAAGAAACTCGCACCTATCTTATTAAAATCTCTGCATTGATTTACTTTTAACCTTTTTAAATTTTTTTTTAATGTTTAAGCCATTTAACTACTTTTTTCTAATTATAGCTTTAAGAATTTTAAAAAAAAACCTGTACCACTACTACCCATGAGGGATCTTGGGTTCAGTACTGTTTCAAGACCATCGATTGTGTAGGGAGGGGTTCGGGCCAGGATCACACTCAACCGCCAAGATTTTTCTCCTTATCAATTATTTAATTAAGAGTACCCACTTTGTAGAGGCTTGGTGTGTCCCAGGAGGGTCTCCCTACCCCAGGGTCGCCCCATGGCTAGTGAAACAGAATAAATAATTTTTTTTGTCATGAGCCGGGAATCGAACCTGAGACCTTGAGCATTGATAACTTAGTGCCTTACCACTGAGCTTTCCTGCTCCCTTTTAACATTTCTTGTTACCAGAAATAAGTTTGAGTATTTGAAGCCTGAAATATCAATATTTTATTGATATTTTTCTTCTGTTCATTTATCCTAATTTTGGTGTCTTGAGGTTTTATATTTATATAAATTAGGCCAATTATCACCAAACATTTTCTTGATACGTTATTTAATTCGACGTTTCGACCATACTAAGGGTCATTTTCAAGTCCTTGATGAGTCCTATGTTATATATTCATCATTAATGTCGCAAATAATATGTTTAGTGAACATTAAATTGTCATGGTCTATAGGGGTTTCACCTATGTCATTTCTGGAGGGACTGAAATGACGTAGGTGAAACCTCTATAGACCTTGACAATTTAATGTTCACTAAACATATTATTTGCGACATTAATGATGAATATATAACCGAGGACTCATCAAGGACTTGAAAATGACCCTTAGTATGGTCGAAACGTCGAATTAAATAACGTATCAATAAAATGTTTGGTGATAATTGGCCTAATTTATATAAATATAAAAATTGATATTTTAATATATTTCATAAATAATAATGTAAAGATACTATTGTTTGATATTAACATCTCTACTCTTTCCAAACATCGAGGTCCTATCAAGTACTTGATGTCATAACAATCCATTTTCACACATATCAGCCTTATAAATATAAGGCCTCTCTGCTCAATTGTAAGTTTTTTCAAAATATTAATAAAGCAAAAAAACAAAATATACTTTTGTGGAAGTTATAACATTATCAATTTTAGGGACTCGCAGCATGTGTTGAGATAAGCTGTAATAATAAAAATTTAACTGTAAAAAAAAATTAGATATAATAAATAAACTTGAATATTAAGTACCTTAAAGAAATTTAAATGCTCCGTCAGATCTGGGAAACTTCCTGAGGGGTCACAGGAAGGAAAATTTGTACAGTTGCAAAGAATTTCAGACCCACTAGCAATATTGCTGGATTCTGCGGGAATTATTAATAACATTATAAACAAGAGGAAAAAAAATGAATAAAATAAATAAATAAAAGTAATTAATATATAAGACCTTGAATTAGTTTAACAACATCTTGTAAAGTTTGAAAACCGTTCAACACAGAAATAAATTCAGCTATCTTCCTCTTCGAATAGATTTTTTCTTCAAACATCACTGCTCTGTTGTCAGGATGACTTCCTTCTAATCCTTTGGAGCTTTGTGCATAAATTCTAGAATAGAAATATAAAAAGCTTGTAAACTAACAAGATCAGATCATTTTTATTAAGCTTTAATTTATGAATAGAAATTAGGACGCCCAGCCACTGAGAACGCAGCGGAGCTGAGTCAGCTTCCAAAACCGAAGCAAAGGTTTCTAATGAGAGGCCGGTCACCAGAAACGGAGCTAAGCTGAGCACAGTTGAGCGGCATAGCAAGGGTCAGCTCAGCTCAGCTTTCCAGACCACACCTACTCACCACTGTCACATAACCGTGTGGCTTTTTTCCTTGGTATTATATTTTTTTTCCGCTTGTTTTCATTGCACAACCTCTCAAATTATTTTATTTTGGTTCAGTGGCCGGTCAGCTTTAAGCCTAATATCTATAATTTATGTTAAAAGTGAAATTATCTTTTGTTAAAAATCTTAAAATATTGGAGAGAGAGTATCATAGAATGTATATTTTGCGAATTAGAGAGAGACCAAAACATTTTTCTTTTCTTTAAAAAAACTTTTTTCCTGAATTTTCTTAGAAATTCAAGACATGTACAAAAATTGGAAGGACTTTAAGCAGAAAATCATTGGAGCTGTTTTTGAGCTAAAGACTAGGAAAAAACATGTTTTTATATTTATTGTGCAGAGAGTAACCAATTTGTTTCACAGGTATTAATAATCAAAATCCTATGAAAAAAATCTGGTGCATGCAACACACAACTTTCACTTACCGCTCAACTGTTGAGAATAGAAATTGTTTTCTGCCCAAGTTGGGCTATTATAAAATTTTTGAATTGCATTTTTAACTGAGCTAAAGCTAAAAGCTTACAGCAAACAAATCATAAATACCATGATAAATACGTTGATTATGGATTGTATGATCCGTTGATTATGGATTGTACGATCCGTTGATTATGGATTATACGACTATTATTTATTAAACTGTTATTTTCAATTGCAAAATTTACTAAAATGGAATTAGGAGATTTGCATTGTCTGTCATAGACAGGTCAAAACTTGTCACACTAATTGTAAGTGAATATTGTTGGAATATCACAAAGGGAAAATTTATCAAATTATTGACTAATTTAATTTTCTAAAAGGTTGCATGATGATTTTTCAGAATAAACGGACGATAGATACCTAATTATTTAAATATAATATCAGATCCTAGAGTTATTAAACTACAGTAAATATATTTAAGGTTATAAATATATCCATGAAATATTTATATATATATATATATATATATATATATATATATATAAAAGTACAATGAATTAGTATCTTAAACAATGTCATTGCCTTGAATCCGTGGATTTTAAATACTTTTTCAAACTCAAATTATTTTTTTAAAAAGTTTACATTTAATTTCCTTGAAAGCATGCGATTTACGTTGAATAATGTTAATTTTAGAAATTATTATTTATATATTTTTTTGCCAGTCTCCGTTACCTTCAACAACTTTCTATATTAGATATTTTTTTTTTTAATTCTCCACTTTTCAACGATCCCTTACATCTTCTGACTATTATTTCCTGATATTCATTTTGGGCCTGGATAAGTTTTTTTTTTTTCTTTATTCAATTATCAAATTCTTTCAAAAGTTACATTTAGCATTTTTTCGAAAACTCTTAATAATGTGAGATAGTTAATAATTTAAAATAAACCATATTAAAGCTACTTTAGAGGAAGACGTATATGAACATAGGGCATTTAGCTCTGAAAGTGACATCAATAGGGATAAGACCTAATTGATATTAAAGACCACTTAATTATACAATGATACATGAGTTTAATCGAAATTGTTAGAGCCGTTTTTGAGAAAACTGTAAAAATGGGTTTCACCATTGATATAAAGTGGCACTTCTGGTTAGTCAAATTTAAGGAAAAAGTTGCTGTCACATTTATGGCATATACCTATCTTAAAAACATAATATCAGTTTCGTATGACTTTTCGTTTTTGAGCTAGACTGTTAACAAACACACACACACACACACACAGACCATTTTGCAGGACATGGACTCAGGGTACCTTAAAACGTATATTTCCGTTGAAAACTCAGATTTTAAAATTTTCATGATCGCAATACTTTCCCTTATTATATATTACGTATATAGGTAAGTGAAAGTAAAAAAAAAATCAGGCTACTTGTTACAAGATAACCATGGCACAGCCAGACCAATGGCTGAAAATGTGTTTTTCACACTCAAGGGACTCTTGAAACGTATAGATTCAATGAAAACCACTTATCGCAAACTTGACCCAACTGCAATACTTCCCTCTATATTTTTGTATTTCACTATGAATTCAACACCCAACCAACTTTTTCTAAAATGCACTGAGTTTTATGTTTAACAATATTAAAAATAACAAGTTTCATGTTTATGAGATGTATGCTTAACAATAATTTGAAAAAAAAAAAAAAATATATATATAAAAAAACAAAACGACTATATTACATAAAGACATAACGACTATAAAAACGACTTTTAGACATTCATAAATATGGCCATGGCATAAAAATCCAATTTTTGCAGATGTACAATCAATTAAGATCAAGAACTGTGTTGAGAACGTCATGGTAATTTTTTCTTACCTCGATAAAAGTCTTTCCAGATCTGGCACTTTCAATAGCATTGAGCTGGCATCAGTGAGAATGCTTGTATTTTCCAAGAGAACATTTAATGCTATTTGGCGAGCTTTAATACTATCAATATTCGTCAGTGGGTTGCAGAGCCAGTATCGAAGCAACCTATGATTTAATATTACAAAAATTAAAACCAATGATAACAGTATAATTATTTTCAAAAAAATTTCTGTCATGAGGTTGTCAAAGATAATTAAAATGCCTTCATTTGCAATGGAATGATTTATAAACAGTTTTAATAATATACTCGGAAAAAAAGTCCAAAATAATAAATAATTGAAAGATAACCAAACAATTCATTATAAAATTAAAATGACCTAAAAAGGTACACTATAATTTTAATAAAACATAATAATTCATTATTTTTCCCCAAAACAGAATAATATAAAATAATACCTTTTACCAAAAGGAGTGCTGCAATGATCAATTTGATGCAGCAATGTTCCTTGAAGACCTCCACAGCCATTATCAATTACATTCAAATTTCTCAAAGTGACCGCATCTAATATCTACAAATAAATATTAAAAATAGTTCAAACAAGTTCTCAAAAATGTCATCAAAATATCATACATCAATTCATTCATTATTGGCAGCAGACGCATGTAGCGGTCCTTGGCCTGCTCAATTTCCTTTGCCCAGTGATCCCTGTTGACTGCGCACCTGATGGATATGCAATTTTTTCTCAGGTCTTTTACGTTATCTATCCATCTTGCCTTAGGTCTTCCCCTAGACCTAACTCCCTCTGGCTTCCCATGGTTAAAGCCTTCTCGCTTGGTTCCAAGTCCAGGGTGAGAAAGGAGGAGGGTTAGGGGTGGATCGACTACCCGTCCCTGTAAAAGGAGTCAAGTTACTTCAGCTCAAAAACCAAGCCACGGATATCGAACTGTTTTATGGCAACGACTCGGAACTCAGATAAAGGTATATCGATTTGGAACTTGGAATGTTCGAACCTTATTCAGACCAGGTGCTCTCTCAGAATCGAAGGACCAGCTAATAAGGCAGAAAATGGAAATCACCGCAATACAGGAGGTGAAATTTACCGGTAGCGGTATGCTAAGCAAGGAAGAGTTTGATTTCTTATATAGTGGCAGCCAAGACAAACATGAATTCGGGACTGCATTTGTAGTGTTGAAGCACATGAGATCTACTGTTTTGGACTTACTACCCATGTAAACTTAGAATCAAAGGTAGTAGGTGTAATATGACTACAATAAATGTATATGCCCGTACAGAGGAAAAAGATGAGACAGAGAAAAAACAGTTTAATAATGAACTGGAAAGGACCATAGATGCTTGCCCATTTTATTATCATACATACAAAGAAAATTTGTAATTCACTTATTCCCTGATGATCTAAAATAAAAATAATTCTATTCCATAGCCAAATAATAATCAATAGAAGTCTTATATATTTATAGAGTAGTCAATAAAATAATAAGTCTTTCAGAGCACCACTGGTCTTAGTTGTTTTTTTCCTTAATTATTCATACCTAAAATTTTATCATCGTAAGATTGATCATATTTCAGTTATGGAAAATTACTCTTCAAAACAGTCTCAAGTTTATTAATCACTTCAAGAAGCTTTCGGTGCTATGCAAAAGTTGAGATTTCTCTCTCTTTCCAATCATAGTTGTTGTATTGTTTTTAAAAATATATTGTTGTAGGAAAGAGGGCCTTTTATATCCATTTTGAGTCATAAATAGAATGGAATGATTGGAAAGAGAAACAAATTCAGGTGGAAGGATATAAATTAAAATAGATGAATGTGGTGCAAACCATCGAAATCTTCTTGAAGTGATATAATAACCTTGAGTCTGTTTAGAAGGGTATTTTTCTATAATTGAAAAATAAAATATTCATTCTATCTATAATACAAAGTGTCATCATATGTTTGTTTAAAAGTTTTTCTTGTTGAAGTAAAGAAAATTATCTGTTTTTATTTATTTATTTATCTTTAAAATAAATTATATTACTTTCACAATATTTCTCCAATTCTTCTTTGGTGCATACTATTTATTTTCAAGTTTATTTATTATCAGCCATTTTACACCAATTTTCAAAATTTTGTCAACTTAATGACTACACATCTAATTACGACGTTTCGGCTTATTGAGCCATTTTCAAGTCTAAAAAATTGTTTACAATTAACAATCATATTTAAAACTTTGAGTTCTACCAATGGGTAGTTTCTCTTCATGTTGTACATGTCATGTTACCAATTTCACATTTACTTATTGTATTTTCTATGTAATACAGTTATAAATTCCATTAAAATAAAAATAAAAAAAATATTTAAAACATTACATACTTCAACAAATAGATATTCTTTTTATATGCCTAAAATACTCATCATGTACCTGTCCTTTTCACTTATGCGAATTGCATGGATCTACTCATAATACAATTTTTTTTATTTTTTTTTGTCATGTCCACCTTTAATTATTTTGTAACATCATTATTACATAATGTTTAAAATAAATAATCTTCCCCTACTCCTTTAAGAATAACCAGTCACTGAATAGAAATGAGACTGATGACACATTATAACGTAATTTTAACTTATTTGAATCATTTAATAAGAAATAATTGAGTAATAATAATGTTATAAAATAATTGAAGGTGGACATGATAAAAAAAAAAAAAAAAAATTTTATTATGAGTAGGCGCATGCAATTCGCATAAGTGAAAAGGACAGGTACATGATGGGTATTTTAGGTATATAAAAAGAATCTCTATATGTTGAAGTATGTAATGTTTTAAATATGATTGTAAATTGTAAAAATTTTTTTAGACTTGAAAATGGCTCAATAAGCCGAAACGTCGTAATTAGATGTGTAGTTATTAAGTTGACAAAATTTTGAAAATAGGTGTAAAATGGCTGATAATAAATAAACTTGAAAATTATATTTCTTTAAATTCATATGTTGCGCTAATAAACCAATACTTATTATTATTATTCATACTTTTTTATAATCACATTAATCAAGACACTTGAAAAATGTGATAAAAATATTATACTAAAATAAACAAACTACACATACCATATGCCTACTGGTAATATCTTGCGTTTTAATCGAATCTGGAGATAGCTCAATATCGATTGGCTTATAAATTTTAAACTGTGCCAAGGAAACAAGTTGGTAATCGAGAAGGCAACGAGTCAGCATCCATATAGCTGCTCCGAGGGATCTCACACCCAATTCACTTTCTTCATCAGCTGTCAATCCTAAACTATCACCTAAATTTTGCAAGAAATAAGGTTATAAGTAAATTTTCAAGTTTAACAAAAATATATTTCAGTAGCTAAAATCAAAGAGAAAAGAAGCTTACTGTTCCCCACAAAATTTTTCAATACTTCAGGTAAACCTTCCTCTCCAAAATACTTTCTTTCAGCAAGTTTTGTCAGAGTAGAGGTAGAAGACCAAAACTCAGACTCTGGAGCCAACGCTTCTTTAACAGCACCACTCAACGATGTATCAAGAAGTTGTTTGGTTCGTTTGGAGATTCTATTCCTCTCATATAGTACCTAAAAGTTATTGATAAATTAAATCAAAAAATTTATAGGGATGATAAATAAGTTGTTTTTACTTTCACTTACGTATATATGTAATATATAGTAAGGGTAAGTATTGCGATCGTGAACATTTTGGAATCTCAGTTTTCAACGGAAATACATGTTTTGAGGTCCCCTGAGTTCAAATAACTAAGTGTCGCAAAATGGTCTGTGTGTGTGTGTGTTAACAGTCTAGCTCATAAACGAAAAGTAGTACGAAACTGATATTAAGTATTTAAGGTTTGTATATGGGCCGGATGTGACAGCAACTTTTTCGTTAAAATCGGCTAACCGGAAGTGCCACTTTATATGAACGCTGAAACACATTTTTACAATTTTCTCAAAAATGACTAACGATTTTGATCAAACTCGGTGTATCATTGTATAATTAAGTGGTCTTTAATATCATTTAGGTCTTATCCCCGTTGATGTCACTTGACAGGGCTTAAATGTCCAATGTTCATATATGTCTTCCTCTAAAGTACCTTTAATATGGTTTATTTTAAAAAGTTAACCATTTCGGATTATTCAGAGTTACGAAAAAATGCTACATATAACTTTTGAAAGAATTCGATAAATTAATAAAGGAGAAAAAAATAAAAATGCAGAAAAACCTGCGTTCCTACAGACTGTAGCGCCTAAACGAATGTATCGATTTCAATGAAACTTCGCTAAAGTCATTTTCTCGACACCCTTTAAATTTATCTATAATACATAATTCAACGAAAAGAAGCTAGAAAAAAAGTTACGAGGGGTGGTAAAATTAAATTCCGAATAACTCAAAAAGTGTACACTTTTTTGTTGATATTGTATATGATTTTTTAAAAGTTTATGGAATTTCCTAAAAAAAAAAAAAAATCTTTAAAATCGGACAATTAGGAGGAAAGATATAGTCTCTAGTTATTTTCCCTGAAGAGGTGAAAATTTGGATAAATTTAAAATATATTTTTTTAATTGTTGAGACTAAAAAAACCTTTTTTCTACAGATATTTAATAAAGTGTCTTTCCTAAGAACATCTTTCATAAGAATAAATTTATACTTTTATTCTCAGTTCTATATTACAACACTGCAATCACCACTTTTGGAATCAACTTACTTATTGTCTGCATAGATAACCTTTTCAACTAAAAATATCACTAAAATGATATCACTCAAAAATATTGAAATTGGAGTTAGTCATTCTGTGGTTTATAAAATCAGATATTGTGAATTGATTTTTATTGCCTGTCTTCCATATATTAAATAGACATTTTGTAATTATAATGGTCTTAATGACTTGTTATCTGTAAGCTTTAAGCTTTAGCTCCCTTTAAAATGCACTTCAAAAAATTTTATAATAGCCCAGCATTGTCAGAAAATAATTTCTATTCAAAGTAGATCGGTAAGTGAAAGTTGTGTGTTGCACGCACCACATTTTTTTTAGTAAGAAAAGTTTTTTTAAATTATGCTTATTGGTAATGAATGTTCATAAAATAACTAACCTGGACTGGAGGATACAGAGCTATCATTGTCCTTAAGCGTGAGCTGTGGCGGTCATCTTTGAACTGTCCGATATGAAAAGTGCCAATGGAAGTATCGATAAAGCAGACCCCATAAGTTGAAGTGACACTGTCGTTCTCCTGCAATTGAAAAACATAAAATAAATTACAATAAAGTAATAATTGGTAAATGGTTGACTGTCGTGGATAATGAAGAGAAGAATAGTTGGGGTGGTCAGTCAAAAAAGAAGGCGAAAATAAATGATAATATTTATTTTTACATATGCCGACGTTTCGACCTGAAGTTCAGGCCATCATCAGGGCTAAGAAAAGAACCAGATAACAAGGTATGAGAAATATAAAAATTACAGTAAAATGAAGTTGTTAGAATAATGACAATAGTAAGAACAAGAGACAAATAATAATAACAGGTACAAAGTGTGGAATGATGAAGTAAACATAGTCAAAAAAGGTGACATAAGTATTGTAAAGGGAATCTTATAATAAAACGTAAAACAGAAAAATATGAAGTTATATAAGAAATGGAAATAAATAGTAAAATTAAGATAGAGTGAATAGAATATTTAGATAGAAAATTGAGAAGTTGTAAAGTCTATCAATATGTACAGACAAAGTATGAAATAATGAGTTAAAACAGAGAAAAGGATTGAAAGGAAGGAGGAGAGAAACTGAGAAGGTTGAAATAAGAAAGAGAATAAGTAAGAGAAATGATAACAACCCAACAGCTCCTAAGGTAAAGACGCAATGATCGTGTTATTGAAGGATGGAGGTGGATAGAAGGGATGTACAGTGGCGTCATCTCCAACAAGCCTGAACTTCAGGTCGAAACGTCGGCATATGTAAAAATAAATATTATCATTTATTTTTGCCTTCTTTTTTGACTGACCACCCCAACTATTCGTCTCTTCATTACAATAAAGTAAGTTTGATCCGATCGGATTCAAATAATTATTTCAATTTAAAAAACTTCACACAAACCTTTTCATTAATAGCAAGTAAATATTGTCCCTGAGCCTCCCTCGATTCACCATCCACCACAGTGAATATCCTTGTACCTTTTGTTGTGACTTGGCATATTTCACGGTTTACAACTTTATCAAACTTTGTCGGCCTTGACACTACAATAAAACTTTATTAATTTCAAAGCAGAACAATATAACCATAAAATAATAATAATAAAAAGGATGCATTACTATGTTTAACTCTTTCGTTCATAGCATCTGGTGTTTCAGTTTGTTCTACACGAGCCACCTTATATCCTTTATCGACTAAGTTAGCTGAAAACCTGCCATAAGCTATCTCGGGGAATCCACAGTGAGCATATTCTCCCTATTAAAAATTTTGCAAACAGATCTCGTTAGGATTCTACACTATATTAGCATTAATCAAATTAAAACTGAAATTAATTTGTTTAAATTTATTATTGAATAATTTCTTCATTTCAAAAATGATATTCAAAAATGTCTTCAGAATATTTAATTAAAGATTATTTCTCTGAGAAAATTAACAAAACTCATCAATATTAACTGAGACTATATTAAATTATACATTTATTGTTACAAATAAACAAATTCATGGCTTTTCAAAATGAATCAAAAAAATAAAACATATGAAAGCAGAACAATTATTCATAAAACGTGGATGGTTTGTTTAACAAAAAAAATGTTTGTTCTAATCTGCTTTCTGAGTTTTGTTGGAGGTATATTATGTATAGAATTACATATCAAAAAAGAACTCTAATAATTTTCATCTTTTGTACAAAATTGACATATAAAAGATTTGGCCTTATCATCAGAACTTCGTCAAGCATTGACAAGAAAATTTCATTTATGTTACAGGATAATTAGAGGAGATAAGGTCTGTGCATTTTGGGGATTGGGTCTCGGAGTGCCCGATTCTGAACGTTGTGGGTTTGATTCACACTTGGATCAGGTAATATTTATTATTCGGTGAGCCCAGGAAACGAATTTAGACACGATTTAACAACAGTATTTTTTCTTCCAACAATTATTCTTTATTTTATTATGATGTTTCGGGATGTACTATTGAAGAATTTAGACACAAAAAGAAACGCTTGCCAAATGAATACCAGTCCTACGACACAACAGTCACTTGTGCAACTGCAACCCCAACAAAAATTATTTTAACATTTAGACAATGAAAGAAAGCATCAGTAAGTTATATAAGAAAAAAGTTAAGATGACGGGAATATATCCCTGAATATCACTTTGATACAAAAAATTATTTTAAAAAACAACAAAAAAAAAAAAAGAAAGGAAAATTATTGAAAAAGAATAGAAAATTATTGAAGTTCTTTTTTGCTTTATAATTCAGACAGAATAGGTTAAGTTAAATTCTTAAGAATACTCACACTGTTTAATGTTCTTCATCAATGTATATTATTTCCTTCTTGTCTAGAGTTTCATTATATTTTATTGAACTAATATTTTTTAAAGATATTTTTTTTGTTTTTTTTTTTAAAGAAAAATTTGTAATATTATCTCTATCTAACAGAAAGTTTCTTACCACCCATACAGTGAATTTTTTCAAATAAAACTTCTGTTTCAATTAGGCAATTAATGTAACTAATAACAACATACTCATCCAGGATATTCATTTCTTAAAACATCTACGTAATTATTTTAATATAAAAGTAACAAAATTCTGTTGTTATTTTAAGATTTAAAATTTTTTTCTGAACATTTTAACAAAACAAATATAATATACATACTCTCATGAAAGTTAAGGACAATTCTTTGACACCTATAACAGCATCCATATGATAAAACTCATAAAACTTCCCTACTTTGAAGAAAAGTATGCAATCGTAATTCTTAGCTTTCATTTCCCACCATTGTCGCATAGCCTGGAATATGAAAAAATACCAGTAAATTATAAATATATTTTATAGACAAAGTTATAACATTATAGAGTATAAATCATTTATTATGTTACACATTATTAACTTTTTAAGTATAAAGATATTCATAAAAAAAACAGAAACATCAAGAGGTGATTTAAAATTTCAGAGTTAAAGGATAAATTCTTGAGACTTACATCGTAGTATAACTATTTTATCCAAATAGAATGCTAAAAATATTTATAAAATTAATGGACACTTCAGTTTTAACTCCTTTAATTCAGTATATGCAAGTACCACATACTTCACACAAAACTTTTTCTTTTATAACAGTCATTCAAACCACGAGGAGAACACTTTTCATCATTTTTTTTTATTGACAATTTTTTAAGTTATTTCTAGACTTTTTGTTCAACCAATCCCCTTCTTTTTTGTTAAAACTTAAACATTAGTATATGCAAAACCATTATACCTTGAATGATTCGTTATGGATTTAAAACATGGCCACTCAAATTTAAGGATGAACACTGCCTTAGTTTTTGAAAATAAATTGTTGTACAAAATATATGTACCGAAGAAGGACAAACCAACCAGAGAATTTAAACAACTAAACAATGCCGAATTATATCATCTATACCTGGTAAATATAATTAAGATGCTAGATTTGTGGAAAATAGAATTGAACAGGAATTCTGTTAGACATAAGAACTGTGGTAAAAAGTGGAGGTAATTCATTATTTTAACTGTTTTTCTTATCTCTAATTAAAACTATTCTTAACATATTGATTTAATTACCAATTGAAATTTTCTACTATTATTTAGTCCCATTCAATTTTGTATAATATCTAAATTTTTCATCATCTGCTATATTATCAGCTGTATCTCTATTTATAACCTTTGCTACTTAATTTATCTTCAATTTATTTTTCTTACTGATCTTTTTTCTTTCATTTACATATATCTCTCTTATTTCTTTTTTAATTTGAATCCTGATGATCTACTAGCTTGGATCGAAATATAGTCATAAGTAATTAAAAAACTGACTAAATATCATCTAAGATTAAGTATTTTACATGTATTTGGAAAACATGGTCAATTTTTTTATGGTTAAACAAAATTAATTGCTATCATCTACTAAATAAATCTTGGTATTACGTATAATATAAAACACCTCTTATGCTCAAGTTCAAGGAAAGCTTGAATAAAAAAATATAGGTATAGAAATTACAGCTAGATTATTATGATTTCATTAAACTTACTGGTGTAAGTCCCTTCAGGAAGTCTTCCGGGACGTGGAGGGTTCTAGGATCATAATTAGGATCTGAAGGGCGTCTTTTTTTACCATCACGTATTTTTTCAGGTTTAAGAAATTCAAAATTCATATAAGTCCAGGTTTTTCCTTCACCATCGCCTCCACCAGAATGGTTCTATTGACAATATATTTGAAAATAATAATATAAAAACTACTTGAATACCAAATAAAATAAGAAATTAATGATTGAAATGTACCTCGCTGCTACTAGGAGTTGAAACAGGTTTCATCGGCTCTCTCGTTGGAGTTTTACTGCTGCCGCTGATGAATGATGACAGGAGAATTCTTTTATTTGGTTTATTTTCTTTATTGTCACCTCTTTTTCTTTTTCTTGCCTGATAATGCAAACAATAACACAATTAAAAATTATAATATGTATATATGCAATAATTGCAGTTAATTTATTAATTAGAAAAGATTATCATAAATCATGTTTGAATTATGAACAAAATTGTTTTAACAAAATACTATCTTTTACAATATCTGAAGGTGGTAATATAAATATATTTAAAATAAATATAATAAAAATATTTTTAATAAGAATTACAGGTAATAGCGTTTTTAATGATATTAGACATCATGAAAGGAATTTGAGATAAGAAAATATTGAAGGATAGAAATAAAAATAATTTGATTGTGAATTAAGTAGGTGTTAGAAAAGTATCTTATGGATTCAACAATTTTTTTTCTCACACCAAGTGTTGCCGCACGCTCTGTGACAAATCCTCGAATGCTTGATCATTGAAAATTCATACTATTTTAAGCTCAATGTTGTTGTTATTTCTTAGAAAAATTAGATCAGAGCTTTGCTTATTAATTTAACACCTATATTGGAACAATCATAAATAAAGCATTACTTAGGCCCCTCTCACACTGAAGATGCATGTGTCCTGGATGCGGGAAGCATGTGTGTCGTGCATCTTGATAAAAGAGTTTTCACACCAAGTATGCACGTGCCTCTTGCATCTTCTATTTATATCCATTATCTCTGTTAGTTTAAAAAATAAATAATCAATCATCCGATTCTCCAGGCAACAAAATTATAATTCTGGCTTGTACAATAAGTAGAAGGCGAAGACAAAGAAGAAATAATTTATGGGAACATCCATACTAGAATAATGTTGGAGATTATAGCCATGCTATGGTGTCTCAGCAATTACTAAACCATCCAATAAAGTTTTAGGCTTATTATAAAATGGAGATTTCGACTTTTAACAAGTTGTTGGATTTCATGGAACCGTCACTGAGCCATCGGGATACAAATTGTCCATTATGTGTATCTGCGAAAGACTACTCATATTTCTGAGGTAAATAACTATATTTCCCCATGAATTGTATAACTCATTTTTTAAACATATGAATGTAGCTCAAAACTGATTACTTAGATATATTTTGTATCGCGTTGTTTATTAAAAGTATCAATACCACATCTTGGGGAGAGAAAAGGGGGGAAAATAAATGTTACCTTATAATTGGAAAACTCCAACCTCACATCTTATGTCTTTGAAATGCAGGTAAGACGCCAACGATTCACCAGTTCAGGAATTATCAGGACAGAAAAGAAATCCTACATCACACACCACTTCATGACATTCACTTGTGATTTCAATAGAAAATGATTTAAGGATTTAATACAATTTCGACATAAAGTTTTAAATCTCCCATGGTGATATCAAGAAAAATAGATAAAAACATATGGTGAAATAATTGAAAATCAGAGCAATTGATAAAAAAATAAAAATAAACAATAGATAAAAAAAAAAAATTGTTGAAAATAAAAAAGCAGTTGATAGAGACATCACAAGAGCTTAGATAAAATTGAGAAGGAAGAGGATATAACGAGTGTTGGCAGTTTAAGCCGACCGGACCCGATTATTGCTCCTCGAAAATATTTTGCTTCGGAAGGGCCGAGGCGGAAGGAGCGAGTATGCAAGACACGCACAACAAAGATGCACGCTAAAAATCTCCAGCCGGCTGGTCCCAAGATGCACTCGCCTCCTTGGTGTGAAAGCTCTCTTTCTGTTACACAGTCCAGTGTTTAAGAGGCGTGCATTCTGCATCTTGCATCTTCAGTTCGAAACTGACCTTAAACATTCTATAATAGATACTTAATGGTTGATCATACCTATACTGTCTCAAACCGTAGTAGAGTAAGCTTTGTACAGTAAAAAAAACATACAAGTTTTTTCAAGTGGGAAGGCCTGATGAACAAAGATAGTTAGAGGAGTTTTCCCATCTATCTCAGAATTAGAATGGTGAGGAGAATAACTACAATAACCCAATTAACAGTATTATGTACACTCTTTGCAAAGTAGGTACCATTGGTATTTGTACTGTTGCTGATGGGGGAACTGGTCAGTTGGCCACGAGGTCCTTTTCGCCAGCCCCTCGTAAGTGCTAAGATAAAATTTCATTTTTTTTTTTCAAAATAATAACATTCAAGCTCTAGCTAGTACTTGTACTCTAAACAAGAAATTTTAACAAATCAAGAGCAAAGTTGTCATGATAAAAATAAGTCGGGAAAAATTTTTACAATGAATTTGGTCCAAAATTATTTAATAAGGCAATGAATGACAAACCTTCACGGGACTTTCTTCTTCTGAATGTGTTGCTGGCTCAGACTCAGACAGTTCAGAGACTTCATCATCATCATCTGATTGATTGTCATCTAAACAAAAAAATTATAAAATAAGTCTGAAAAGTCCATAGGAAAAAAGGATTAAAATTTACAAATAGAAATTAAACATGCACGAATGTGGTGTGTTGAAGAATACACCAAGACAAAAGAAATCATTAGTTTATAGAGAAAAGCCTTTAATGTAACATTTAGAAAAGGTTAAATTATTAAATAATTTGATGAATTATTTCCTGTGAAATCGATTAAAACTTAGGGTAATAAATGTTTATATGTAACAGTGTTTATTTCATTTTGATGCTCTTTATGAGTTTAGTAATCAATAGATTAGATCAAAATTCATAATAATGTACTAAAAGCTCCAAAAACTGTTGCTGTCAAATGTGTACTAAGTGTCTTTTAGCAATAAATTGATATATAAGCTGCATGACAAATAATCAATCATAACATCTTAGCATGCAATCAGCATCAAGAAATAAAATAAAAACCTGGGACATATTCATCTCCAGAATCTTCACTGTCAAGAAGGTATCCTTCTGGTTTTTCTTTGGGACTGTCTTCAAGTTCAAAATCATCTGCATAATAATTTAGAATGTCATAAAACTGTAATTTTTTGTAAGGATGAACAAACTAAACAAATTAACTCCACATACCTTCAGGTTCAATGATTCTTTTCCTGGAAATAGCTTTTTTTCCTGTTGATGGAGTTTCAGAATTCTCTTTTTTTACACCATTAGAACTATTTTTCGGTGTTTTAATTTCACTAGCCTTTTTTGACTGACTCTTGGTTGTAGGTGTTTTGAAGGATTTACTTCCTAATTTCGACGTTTCGTCAAGTTGATTCTTTGTTTCGGGAGTTTTAGGAGCTTCTTTAACACTATTAGGAGACGAGGCGACAGGAGATTTTGTGAAATAATTAAACAAAGTTCTTTGAGCCATACTTAAAATATTGTATAACTCTCTTCTCGAGTCAATGATATTACCCGCGAAAGGAATGGTAGGTAACATGGGGGTTACTGTTTTGCGCTCAAATTACTTCTATAACTAGTAATATTATCTTTGCTTAGCTAATAATGTTTAATATATAGGTCACCTATGATATGTATTCAAATCAAGGGATTAGTTAATTCATTCCATCAGATAATTAAGTATATAAAGTTTTAACTGTAGATTAGTAGAGGGGGGCTCCTAGATTTCTTTATTCCTTGACAATATCACTACAAGCGAGCTGTGAATGAGCTTTATCTGGGGGGCGGGGTGGCCGAATGGGCTAAAGCGTGTGCACAGCACCGCGAGTTGCCTGGCAACCGGATTACAGATTTGAGAAGATTTAAAAAGTACGAGTTCGCGTCTCGGTGCCGGAGGGGATTTTAAATTCCCGCCCTCACCCCCCGGCCCTGGGAAAAAAAAGGCTGATTTATCATTTCGCTGCTTGCTGCTTAGAAATGTAGTTATGTTCCACGAAATCCGTGATTACGAGGCTGAAGTTTGGTCTCCATTTCTCCAGAATGATGCGTTGTAGTTTTAACGTTAACATAAAGATATTTCGGTACGAGAAGGCGTTCTTAGAAATCAAAAAAACTGTTTCACAGGTAGCAAAGCAAAGTAAGGGGTTATTCTTCCAAAAGTGAAGATTTCTTAGCGTACCTTATAGAGTTCTATGTGTAACAGAGATGGACAAATTCTACTCCGAGTACCGAGTACCAAGTATTATACTTCATTGCATTCTTTGGTACTCAAATAATGTTAGTATTTGAATAAAATACTTGGTCATCTACTCAGTACTCTGTCCTCTATTCCTTAGTTTCTAATAATTTTGAAATGTCCTCATTTGTCCCAGTAGGTATGAAAATCGCTTCGGGGTCATATATTGTTAAGGTAGATGTCTGAAGTATTGAGCTTCGAAGAATAGAGGTATCTCGACCGAAGCGGGAGGATCATATGTGTTGGAGGTTCAATCATCGACCCGCAAGTCTTAGAACACAGCAGTAGAAATATTGCCACCAGACTTCGCAAGAGAAAGAAATGAAAGAATTATTAGCCCTCAGACGTTGTATATTGGACGCCATTTAAGACAAAGGTTGCAATACGATATACCTGTTGGCGGCGATATAGTTGTATTACTATCTATTATATTATAGCAGTCAATTAGAGCCCGATAATCCACAGCGATATCGAAAAAGGGTGTCATTTAGTCGGGCCTTATATCGCCTTCTGAGTGTAGGAGCACTTAATATTGTGGGAGATGGGGATGCAATGCACCTAGCACCTAGGGCCACCGCAGGCTCCACTAAAGAGATCCTTTTTTTAAATTTTAATCAAGTATTAACGGGAAAGATCGGCAACGGGTATTGCATGAGTGAACAGAGGATTTGAATTGGTGGAGTTCAGAGATGTATGAGGGACTGAGGGATTGGATGACTTGGAAGAGAAATGATACCAGGAAATGCTTATGACGGTAGGAAGGATAAAGCCATTTCAACTCTTAATAAACACGGGTAACAGAATTCTTCCTTTGAATTCCGAAAATAAACCGAATGAAGCAATTTATCAAACGTTTTAGTTTCACCTCGATACCCACAGAGACGCCATCATATACCGTACAACAATAAGTGGGGAAACGTTACGAAAGTAACCAGGAGCCAACGCGTTCCAAATGGAAAAAAGCGATGGAGATTATCTAGACATTCTAAGGTAGGAAAGGTAGGATATACCTGTTTTTTTCAGGAAAAGATTTGATCAAAGGTTACTCCGAGGTTTTTGATGGTGAAATAAAATTTGATGGGATTTTCAAGTAGGAACAGAGTTGGAATATTAGAGAAAAAAATAAGGTGATTGTAGCCTATTAAACTTGACTTCGTCTTCTCCGCATTCATCTTCAACTTATTAGCTCCTGTCTAGTCGCAGATTTTATTTAAGTCTTCTTGTAGTTTTTGTGGACGTTAACAGGTCAGAAGGCGAGAAGAATTGGTATATTGAAAATCGTTTTTGTTAGAATTTTTTTTTTTGTTAGAAGATAAAGTTATTTTTATTACAAAATTGTCGGGTTTTTTAAAAATTGTTTTTACTATTGCGTATTTTTTAAGGGCCTTCAATCCTTAAGCCGTCTTGGTTATTTCAATAATTGATCTAGATACCTTTAACACATACCTTAGATACCCAAATACATTTAATTGATGTGATAAATCGTTGATTAAATTCTGCAATAAGACTTTAATCCAAGACGACCGCCTAAGTTGTCTATATATAGGAGAGGTTGACCACATGGCTGTATCCTCCCTCCATGGTCGATTACACAAGAAACAACCCCCATTCCCAAGATATTTTATTGCTCAATTTTCTTAAAAGCACAGCAAACGAAAGTAGAATTAGAAAACTGCTAGATAATATAAAATTACACTTATTGCGGCGTGTTCCATGTTTTTCTCTTTCCTCTTAATATGAAACTTTTCATTCAGAAAATTCACAATCCATCAAAATGTGCCTCTCAAAAATTTGGATGGAGCAATATGCGCCATAAAACCCCCGTTTCCGCACCCTTGAATATATATGTAGTGTTTTGTTCATGTGTTTCACACTTCTGACCACTAGCGGATCCAGGATTTAATTTTTTTGGGGAGGGGGGCTTCAGCCCGAAAGATTTTTTTTTCATATACATATGACGATAATTAGTTTGAAAAAAAAAGAAAGAAATTAACTACCTATATGAAATGGTGTTTAAGTGGTTCTTGAAGTCCTATTAAATGTACTTAAACGAACAAGAATACTTTAAGAGATAGTTTTTAATATTTTTTTCTGTAAAACATGGTTATATTTTACCATTTTGGGGGGGCTTCAGCCCACAAGCCCCCTTCCCCTTCCCACCGTAGACCCGCCTGTGCGTCTAACGGGTCTCTGCATCACTGTATGGTATGTATATATTACCAAAAAAAGTCTAACATAACATTCATCTTAAAATTATCATAGTATTGAACACAGACGGATTTACGGGGGGGGGAGGGACTTTCGAGCTGAAGCCCCCCCCCCAAATGGTAAAATGTAACCATGTTTTATGGTAAAAAATATGTCTTAAAGTATTATTGCTCGTTTAATTACATATAATAGGACTTCAATAATCACTTAAACACCATTTCATATAGGTAGTTAGTATATTTTTGTTTTTCCAAAGTAATTATCGTTTTATATATATGAAAAAAAAACTTCCGGGCTGAAGCACACTCCCCCAAAATTAAATCCTGGATCCTCTAGTGGTATTGAAAGTCGTCTTCTCCAGGCAGCCTCCAACTTCTGTACGTTGGTTAGTAAAAAAAAAAAGTTCAACTTCTTTCTATATTAGCATGGGCCTGGTCAACTGCAGTTTTCCATCCTCACACAAAAGATCTGTTGTAGGGGTAGAGTGTTCTTTAGTCACTAGCTGGGGAAAATCGTTCTCTGTGAGGAGGTAAAGTCTGGTTTCCCTAAACAGTTAGAACCTCAGTGCATTCCACAATGTCCTTTCCAAGGTCATACTGTTTACCACTGAAACCCTTGATTAGAAACATGAGACCCCACTGTTCATTTAATCTTCAGCCATGATTGGACAGTAGGACAATGCTTTCATGGTTTGTTTTCCATTGCTGACACTACAAAAAGCGACAGGAAGACCATTCTTGGCGAAAGCCATCCTGTTCCTAAGATATCTTTGCTCTGTTGTATAGAGTTCTATTTTGTGATTTCCCATTAAATTCTTACTTTTCCCTTCAAATAAGGCCTTATTGCCCAACTCACAGCAAAAATAAATGAAAAACTTTCGTTTTGACTGTTATTGCCTTTTGGTATAAGTTTTAAAAATATTACAAAACTTCCTAAGTGTTTTTCGTAAGCTGTTTTGGGAACACGGTTTGTATTCAGTTTGCACAAATAATGTCAAATTTGTTACCTATTATATCCTTATAGAAGTACCCATAGGTGTCCATCCTCTCCCGCGGTCCTTGGTGCAGGAACTCTTTATTCCTCAAGAAATTTTATTTCTTTCCTCTATATAAAATATCTCTAGCAAATATAGAATTAGAAAAAGTATAGATTATATTTAATTACACTTGATTGTATGGCAGGTCGTTTCCCCCCCTTGTTCCTTGATTTAAAACTTTTCAATTTGAAAATTCATAACCCCTAAAAAATTTGTGGCGCAACTTGGGCCATAAAATCGTCTTCTGGGCACCCTTGGAAGTACTTAAATATGGAGGAAGATTTAATAAATCCAGAGCAGTGTAATGCTCTGCTCTGTCATTGAGATGTATGAAAACACACTTCAGGGATCATTGTAAAGAATGGGATGTCTGTCTCTCCTCAGCTTGTACCAGGTGGAGTCTGGTTCCCTTGCTTACGATTTCCTGATTCTTATTAACTGAAGGATTGTTTACTCTCATCTAACCTCGATTATATTATTCTTGGCTATTCTTCTTCTTTAATACTTACACCTTCTGCAGAATGGGAACACAGTACCAAGGGCTGATATCTTTAAACCATCTGGGCAATTTTTTTTCTTAGTCCTTTAAATTCGCTGTTATTAATATCAGTTATACCTATTTAAATAATACTGGTATGATATTCTTAAAAACTTTCCTGCATGAACTGATAATATTATTAAATTATTTATGTCTTGTCAGTGTCAATTATTTTTAATACAAAATATTAATTCGTAGTTAAAAACAATAAATAAATTATTAATGTTTCTTTTAAAAAAATAATAATTGTCGAATTTCAAAGAAATAAAAACTATAGCTGCTTTAGAGCAAACTATTTTTACTCAGCTATGTTCAAAACGGTTTTTCACGCTCTTAATATATCGCCATAGTAAGTTATTGCTGAGTAAGGAAGTAACTATTTTATTCATATTTAATTCTTCCTAGAATAAATGACTAAGTTGCTGCCACCAATAATAACCCTCAGAAGATTGTACCTGCATGCTTAATTGATGGTATTTAGACTTATTGAAAATCTTTGTGTAGAATCCAACAAGTAAATTGTAGCGTTACCCAAATGCGAGATTGAGACGAGTCTTGGTCTTGCACAAGAGTCTCTCAAAGGTCTTGCAGTTACTTATTAGCTTATTACTATAGAGATATTACTGTAATTATTTAGGTAGAGAAACCTAACTAAGACTGAATGAAAAATTAGAGGAGTTTAATGCATATTGGTTTAAAAGTATATTGGTTATACCAATTATTAACATATAGTAACTAAGATTGTCAAGTATTAGTAACTATTTTGTCTTAATTTTTATTTAAAAAATCGATTTTTTTTATCAGTCCTGGTCCTGGTCTTGCAACTGTTAGGCGGTCTTAGTCTTGGTCTTGAAAAGTGCAAGACCAAGACCGATTTTGGGCAACACGAGTAAATTGAAACACTTTAAGAAAAATGTTTATCCGTGAAGAAATACGACCTGTATAGCTGGACAAGCCCAAATTAAGTATCGAAGAACAATGCTTTGAAGTCTGTACCTGTGGGAGGGGAGGGAGGAGGGAAGAAGGAAAGGCAGGAACCCGTACATCTCATCCCGATGGCTTTTAAGGCAGTATCCAAGAGATTCTCTCACTTAATATGTGCACACATTTGATTATTGAAAAAACTTTACAATGGCAAATTTAAAACCTGCATAACTTATATACTTCTTTAAATAAATTTAGAAAAAGTATTACAAAGTCTGATTATTTGTTTTTACATCATAGTCTGAAAATAGTTAAGAGAATCGTTTTGCAGAGAGTTAGACTAGTTCTTTCAATGTACATTGGCATATATAATTTAGAATTATAACCATTTTTCCATGTCTCAATGTATGATCCCTTAATGTCTCACAGAACCAGCCATCATATTAGAAAAAAAAACAAGCCATATTATATCTGTTTGGTATAATTTTTAAATGTAGTTTAGAAACTCTCAAAATTATCATTTGGATTTTTCCATTTATAACGTCATCACTGCACTGTATCTTTTTGAGCTATTTGCTTATTCTAGATAACTTAGTTATGGGTGTTAAATAATCAGGATGCAGTAAAAATATTGGGTTGATACAGAAATGCTGTTTTTTTGTTTTTGTCTACTCTAAATAAAAAACAATCGTGTAAACAAAATATATCAATATTAATTATATTGAGATTCATTTATTTTCAAATAAAAGTATTTCTGAATTATATGGTAGTTAGTTTAAATAACAGAAAGCTCTTCATTTAAGCAAACTACAAGTAGTACTTGCTTAAATCGAATACATTTTTTGATCATGTTAGCCAACCTTATTCATGTTAGGTTGAGGAGTGTATCGTGAATAATCGTAGCTACCCAAATATAACAAGAAAAGGAGCTAAGATAACTCTAGCATTCTTAATAATAGCCTAAAATTCTGTAAACCTCAGTTAGTTAGCAGTCAACAGATACAAATAATTGAGGTAAGGAATGCTAAATAACATTAGGCTATATTAGAGATACAGGGATTATTAAACAAATACATATAATAAGTTGTACAGTTTATTATACAAAAAGTACAATTATTTTTATTTATTAAAAAAACATTATGACCTAGGTCTCTCCTTCTTTTCTTTGTACAATGCTAAAAGTGAAACATTGGCAACTTTGACGACCTTGAATCGGACTCCTAAAATAACAAAAAATAAATAAATATTAATTTGAAAAAAAAAAAAAAAAACATTTGAATAGAAAAATTAAGTTATTTTATCTAGTTATGAAATTATGTAACAATGAAGCTTAAAATTCTTATATAATTTAATTAATTTTTTTATCTTTATTTATTATATTATATATAAAAATCATGCATATTCTAATTAGGCCTTTTAAAATGCAAGGTTTTGTTTATCATAATAAAGAATTAAAGAAGAAAAAGATTACACTAATAAAAAAATAACGAAACATTAATTTTTAAAATTTCATTCAAAATATTAAAAAAATTAAATAAACTTTTAACTGCTACCTCTGTATAAAAACTTGCATTACTTTACAAATTTAATAAATCACTAAAATCTAGAAGAACAAAGCAAAAATAAAATATATATCGTGAAACATTACCAGGAATATCACCAACGGCGTGACCCTTCCTACCGAATCCTGCTACTAGGACTTCATCGTTTTCTTCAATAAAGTTTAAGCAACCATCCCTGGGAACGAATGCTGTGATCTTTTTGCCGTTCTTAATAAGCTGCACCCTCACACACTTACGGATGGCAGAGTTGGGCTGTTTAGCCTCAACACCACTGAAAAATAAAAAACAAATATCTAAATATTCGACACTTATAATGAAATATGCTTTATATTGATTATTAAAAATTATAATGCGTGATGTTCAGTCAATGTTCATCATGAAAAAATTCAGTATTGGATCAATATCATCACGACATCAAACTGTAATTTATTGGCGTCATGATCAAAGGGAATCGGGAAACATTCCGTTCCACAACCACAAAAAGATTGACGTGAGCAATTTTTCTTAACTATTTGAGTTATTCAATTAGAAAAAACATTAATAATTATAAAATAAAAATTATACCACAAAAATAACATTAAAACTGAAAGAAAGACAATAGGGAATATCTAACCCAAAAAGCAATTTCGGACAAAAATTAAGACCACTTGACCAAAATACTTTTGCCTCTTGCATGTATAGATATTATCAATTAAGCAAGTCATTTATTATTTTTTTAACATCGTTTATACTTCAAATGTATAAGGTAGAAGGAAAAACATCCAAGTAAAATTGTACAGGTATACAAGTTACTCAAATAAAAATTATAATAAACATGCCGTTAATATTTTAATAAGTACTATTATGAATTTGGTGTTCAGAGTTAAAAAGCTCGATTTGATAAGAAATCTTCATTTAGTTTCAGAATTGGTTCTGTACTTCATCATCACACCAATTTTTTTTTCAAACGGCTATATTAATGTTGTTATTATTATCTTTATAAATAAAAACGTTAACGTTCGTTTGTTGCTTTCAATTATTGACGTAATGTTTTTATCAAATGCAGGAGTGTTTTAATTTAATTTAATTACCGTCCAGAATTCCATTTCAGAAAGGCGGCTGAAAAAAGTGTTGTCGTTATAAAGTACAGACCCTGTACACTGAGAACGGCTCTAATGATGTTAATAAAACTTGGGTAGTCTTCTCCTTGAAGCTTTTTTAAGTTATGTATATAACATATTTCCCCGAAAAGAATATGAAAAAAAAAAGTTACGATAGATTCAGAACTATATTAGTGAATAATTCAAAAATCACACAATTTTTCATAGATTATACCCATCATTATTTAAAAGCTTCCTGCGAATTTCACTTTTTTTTTCTTACTAAAATCGGATAATTTGGTGCAGAGATGTAATGTTTCAAACATTTAGTACTTTTTCTTTGGAGATTTAGAGACCAATCGTTTCTCACATGGACAATTATATGTTGTGTGTCCTAGAGATTGAAAACCTATATCTCTGTATCTACATAAAGAATGGAACAACAATAAACATTGTATACCCATATGTATTGCGAAACTAAATATATTACAAACACTTATGCTATTAGAATCAACTAGAAACAGATTATCATTAGAAACTCTGATTTCTTTTAATTTTTTTTCTAACCACACTGAGCCACAGGAACACGTGGGGGGCAGGTACAGGTAGTTCTTAATATTTAAATTTGAGACATACTCCTATGAACATGGAACTACAGGTATTTGCTAATCATTTTTTACAAAGACGTTAGCTAATAATTTGATAAAAAGGGTCTGTATGACGGACTATTAAGAAGGGAGAGAATATAAGCAAATAAACAATTATTGTCACACAAATATAACATAAAAAAAAATAAAAAAAAATAAATGTGGAATAGAATTAAGTGGCATTAATTGGCTTTCCATTCAGAAAGCAAAATTGAAAAGAGATTATATCTCTAGCATTATTGCTATTTTATAATAAAGGAAGTGTTGAATTTTATATATTTGGTGTTCAGAGTTAAAAAGCTCGATTTGATAGGAATCTTCATTAAGTTTCAGAATTGGTTCTGTATTTCATCATCACACCAAATTTTTTATTGTAAGACTACTATATCTAGTTATTAATTTTTATATATCGATGGTAAATTCTCGGTGAGGATAAAAATAATACTTAAACAAGTGACTATAAATATTTATATAAAATGTAACATTCGCAGTAAAATGTTATTATATGTATAAAATGTTATTATTATATGATTTACTTCTTAACTGATCACAGGTACATTTATATATTTTTATAAAAATTATAAAACAAAAATAACATTAAAACTGAAAGAAAGTAAATAACAGAATTATTAACCCAACAAGCAATTTCGGACAAAAATTAAGTCCATTTGACCAAAATACTTTTGCCTCTTGCATGTATAGATATTATCAATTAAACAAGTCATTTATTAATTTATAACACTGTTTATACTTCAAATATATAAGGTAAAGGGAAAAACATCTAAGGAAAATTGTACAGGTTATCAAGTTACTCAAATAAAAATTACACTAAACATACCGTTAATATTTAAATAAGTACTATTATGAATTTGGTGTTCAGAGTTAAAAAGCTCGATTTGATAAGAAATCTTCATTTAGTTTCAGAATTGGTTCTGTACTTCATCATCACACCAATTATTTTTAACGTTGTTACTATTATCTTCATAAATAAAAACGTTAACGTTCGTTTAATGCTTTCAATTATTGACGTAATGTTTTTATCAAATGCAGGAGTGTTTTAATTTAATTTAATTACCGTCCACAATTTCATTTCAGAAAGGCGGCTGAAAAAAGTGTTGTCGCTATAAAGTACAGACCCTGTACACTGAGAACGGCTCTAATGATGTTAATAAAACTTGGGTAGTCTTCTCCTTGAAGCTTTTTTAAGTTATGTATATAACATATTTCCCCGAAAAGAATATGAAAAAAAAAGTTACGATAGATTCAGAACTATATTAGTGAATAATTTAATAAAGTGTATAAAATGTAACATTCGCAGTAAGATTTACTTCTTAACTGATCACAAGTACATTTATAATAAAATAAGTAAAGTAATATTTGAACACTAAACAACATTCACAAATTAATAAAATACTTAGAAACAAAATATAGCAAGAGAAACAAATGGTTCAGCAAATCATAAGAGAAACAAAGCATACAAAATTAGTGGTTATCACAAAGGTTTAGTTAGTTCGTAGAGTATGGTATCTGAATCAGGCTAAACTATTGTTACTTAACGAGCCACTCGGTTATCTTTGACGGGGAAGATTTAACCTAAACCTTAACCACCTCGGAGTATGAAGTCAACGAGATCTTCAGGAATAAAAATAATAGAAAAAGGTAAAATATCCTTATTTGTTAGCAAACTGTAAAAATAGAACACTAACCATGCTAATGAAAATAGCTCATTGCTATCAATGTAGTAATATTTTTTTAACTGAAAAAAATTTATTATAAATTATGTCTATTATATTACATTACATTTTATCTAATTAAGAGTTAGTCTACATAAAACAAAACAATTTAGAATTATAATCGTGAGAAAACAAATTGTTATTGTTCAACAAACATAATAAAAAATCACTTTTAAGTAACCAAGATAATGACAAATCACTTGGTATTAAAATCGCATGAATTATAAAACAATGTTAATTTTGGTGTTCAGAGTTAAAAAGCTCGATTTAGTGTTAATCCACAACATATTTCAGAATTGGTTCTGAAGATTCATCATAACACCAAATATTTTGTTATAGTAATCCATTGTGATAATAATCAATCAATATATATATGTTATTAATTAACTGTTTTATTTTGGCCATTAATCATAGTTAAACAAATTGAGGAATAATACAACATGTTGCAGGCTCACATCCGTTACTTAAACATGGAGCCAGCGATATGTATGAATATTATCTCTTAGACAATTTTAAATCCTATTAAATTCACAATGCCTAACACATAACTTAACAATTAACTATTTCCTGTCCCTTGATTAATAATTTTACATTAAATTAAACAAGATATTATTTGTACCCCATAAGCTGATTATAACGATTTAGAAGAAAATTGACTCTGTTTAGATCTTGACTGGATAGAAAAACAAGTATAAAACTGTCCACTTTCTAAAAGAAAGATAGACCAAAAACACTGACTGTATGTGGAATGCAAAAATAGCAGTGTTTACAAAGATGATCAATCTTAAGATTCACAATTTATCATGATTCTAGGAGGCATAATTTTTGTTTTGATCACTTTCAGTTCTTCCATAAACATAAATAACTGTGTACTCACTAAACATCAGAGACGTACTGTGTTCCAATCGACAAATATCAAAATAAACAACATTTAAATAGCAGAACATTAAAAAAAAAAAAAAGAAAAATGAGAAATTTATAGTTTGGTGTTCAGAGTTAAAAAGCTCGATTTTGAAAATATGATCTACACTAGCTTTCAGAATTGGTTCTTAAGTCATCATTACACCAAACTATAATAAAAATATATTATATTTCCAATACTAACAACTAAATGAACCAGATTAAACAAAATGGCATCTATGCACAAACATAATATTTCATCAATCCATCATTAAAATAAACGAAGTTGTGACACCCTCCGCTAGTTATAGGCAATCCAATAACAGTGAAACCATCATGACATTAATATAACTTAAACAGTTGACTGTCGTGAATAATGAGAAGAAGAATAGTTGGGGTGATCAATCAAAAAGAAGGCAAAATAAATAATATTTATTTTGTCATATGCCGACATTTCGACCAACTGTCAGAACTAGGGTTATTTATAAAACTGAAAAAGTGACTAACATTGTAAGTTACGTTCAGTGCTTTTCAATACCCTTTATTTGATGATATGAAAACGATACACAATGAACAGCGCCCTCCTGGATTATAATTGATTAATTTAATAAATATGTTAACTGACGACCCAGGGGAAAATCAAGAACTTAAATCACTCAAAAAGGAGATGATTTATTAAGCCTAAGGAAATAAATGTTAAAATTATTTAATCAACTTACACTTTTTCTAGAACAATTCCTTTGGCATGTGATGCACCCCCAAAAGGATTAGCCTTCCACCTGGTGCCAAGATGTGCTTTCTTATAATCTTTGTCAGCCCATCTCTGTTCCCTTCTATGGTTAACATGTTTTCGGGCAGTCCTAATACCACGAGGTTTACCTTGACAAAAAAAAAATCATGAATTCATACGTATTTTGAAACATAAATAAACATATAATACTACTCATAACTAAGAGAAAATAGTTTAAATTGCAAGAAATGGCCAGTAAAAGTTAAATAAGTTTTAAATGCTTAAGAATTAATCATTAAATAATGCTAGCATAACATAACGGTAGGGTTAGTTATTAACAAGAAATTAACAAACAAAAATATACATACTAAAAACAAAGGATTATATAACTAATTAAATAAAATTAAAAAGAAGTAATATTCAATAATTAATTAATAATAAGAAATAATAATTAACCAAAAATAACTTACCCATGTTTCCGATCGGAGCACGTTGTCAGGTTGAAAGAGTGTGACCTGCCACGGCAGCCTAATCTGACTAAGTACCATCATTGCTACAATGGAAAATATCATTTTACCTTCTAGAAACAACTTTCAAAATTTATATATTCATAGAAATCAACTTTAAATTAAAAATATATTCATTAAAGTGAATATAAAAGCTTTATATTGTAAAAACTATAAAAATGTGTATAAATATTAGTATTCTTGTGCTGACCTCTTTTGAGATGACATTAAACTACAATAATATAGAATAGGCGGTTATTTTGAAAAAAAACATTGTTGGTCTATCAAAAAAATTGTTTAACTCCTCTTAACAACATAAATAATGTATATATATATATATATATATATATATATATATATATATATATATATATATATATATATATATATATGTTATTAATGCCCATCAAAAGTTAGTAGGGCTAAATGTTATTATTGAAAATTTGAGGAACTAATACTGTTTTATTTCACGATATTGTTCAATTCATCACTAAAAGAACTCTTTGGGAGGAGAGGTTTTCATACGAACTCTAAAAAAAAAATTAATTTTTTGGGAAATATCACAGGCGGATTTACGGGGAGAAGTGGGAAGGGACTTTCGGGCTGAAGCCGTCCTCCAAAAAAATGGTAAAATATAACCATTTTATGAAAAAAAAAAATTATCTCTAAAAGTATTATTGTTCGTCTAATTACATTTAATAGAACTTAAAGAATCACTTAAACACCATTTCATATAGGTAGTTAGTTTCTTTCATTCTTCCGAAGTAATTATCATAATATATACACACAAAAAATATTTCCGGCTGAACCTCCCCCAAAATTAAATCCTGAATCCGTTAGTGGGAAATGTTCAACCTTCTTTGTACGAAAATTTTGAGCAGTTCCCTTTGAAGTTCTAATAGCCCTTCAAAATGTTTTAACTATTATCAGTATGAAGCATATGTCTGAAATGGATAGAAAAACGTGAACTTAGATCATCATATCTATATCTAAAATTATTAATAAATTTAAACAAAAGACATATTTTTAAAAAATACACAGAGCTCTAGAGATTTTAGGGAGAGAACTCTAAGAGTTTTTAAATATTTTGACAATAGGTTCAAACCAGGAGTGCCCATCCCCCCAAGGTCGATGGCGCAAGAACCTATCCTCTCCTCCCTCCAAGATATTTTATTGCTCACTTTTTCTTAAAAACAGAGCAGCTAAGCTAGAATTTGAAAATTCTTAGTCCATATACAATTACACTTGCTGCGGTAAGTTCCATGTTTTCCCCTTTTCCCTTAGTCTGAAAATTCATAACCCCATCGAAATTTGGCCCCCTCAAAAATTCAAAAACCCCCCTCAAAATTTTGATGCCGCAACTTGCGCTATGAAAACCTCTTTTGGACACCCCTGGTGCAAACTGAACTAGAGTAAAAAATACGTACCAAAGTCCAATTCTACAGCAACCTGATTAAAGATTTCTAGTTCGAGTCTCGGTGCTGCAGACATTAAACTCTGGCATTAATCCTCCATCCTCTCCCCTGGTCCGAGAAACAACCGTATACCCGAAAAGGTGAGGTACAAGAAAAAAAAAATTCTACTGCTCACGCATTTGTTTTTTCATTCAATAAAAAGTATTATAGATAAACTGGACTAATGGTGAGATGAAGAAGCTATATATCGCTCCAGATATCTCCAATATATGAAATGGCTGGGTTACATACAAAAATTGGAACAAAGATGGCACTTTAAAATGATGACGGAGGGACACTCGGGTGGAAGAAATAAAAGATATTGGGAGCCTAGGTGTTCTTGGATGGAGAGTGGCAGTTGATGGCCTTTTTAAAATTGTTTTTAAAAGATAAAGTTGTATTATGTTTGGGTAGGTGGGTCATACTTTATTTTTTGGGAGGGGCAGGGTTAACCCACCTTGCCCCCTTCCAAGTTTTTTTAAAGGTGTAATGGCAATATATTTGGGTAGTTGGAGAATACTTTTTTAAGAAAAGGAAGGGATGAACCCCCTTCAATTTTTTAAAAATATAAAAACGGCAGTAATTTATGCCATTTAACTGTTATGAAGTTACTTTTTCGTTTAAAACTTGATTTTTGTACAAAATACAAGAATAATTGTTTTATTACAAAACTTTTTTTAAAATTTTAAATAAGTAGGAACCCTCCGAGGTGTCTGAAAAGAAGATGGCCTCGAGATCTCCTTTTGTAAATACATTTTTAGAGTGCTACTAGTGGGTAGTTTCTCAACAAATGATTTCATGCTTTTATATTCTTTTGTTCACATTTACTAAATGTATTTTTACTTGTAATACAGTTGTAAATATCATCAATAAATAAAAAAATAAAATAAAAAAATAAGTAGGAAACATGAACAGAACCAATTTGAAACAAAAAACATTTAATGCCTAAAAACAGAATAAACATTACAAAGAACACAATTTTTAAGCTAAAGCCAATGAAATTAAAGTAATAAGAAATTCAATATTATTCAAATTTAAAAAAAAAAAGAAAGATTACCTCTTTGGAAACATCCTTATTTAGTGGAAGCAAGGTGCTAACTGATATAATATTGACTCAATATAATTCAGGAATTAATCAACGAGCGGATTCAGGAATTAATTTTTTTTGGGGGGGGGAAGGGTTTCAGCCCGAAAGATTTTTTTTTCCATAAAAATAACTATAATTACTAAGATTAAAAACACAAGTATTTTTTCAAGTTATAGTAAATAAAATTGTAATTGAACGATATTTCAATCCTCAACTTACTGAATGTTATTCATTTCCACAAATCACTTGGAATACTACAATCTGGAACTAACAACAGCCGCTGACGAAAACTAATACCGATATCAACATTCTGAGCAGTTGATACCACGTACGTAGGTATGGATCAGCAATTATGGCCACGTGAAAGGTTGGGCTCTAAGTGATCTGTTTAAATTATGAAAAACGGTGAAAGAATTACATATCGTCTAGAAAATTGTTGTAAGTTAAAAGAGACAATTTTTAATTGAGCAATTTTAAAATATGGAGGCATAGGAATTATTTAAAAAAAAAAATCTTCTCACTACTTGAAAGAAACAGTTACTTAAACCAGTTACATAGTATGTAAGGATGCAATGTAAATTCCTTGGTATAACACTCAGTAGCTCCTTACTACAGAAAATATATAACAAACCGGTTAAAATTGCAGATTTATAAGATCCGAAAACGTATTTCTGATAATGAAAGTGGGGTACTTGTCTGATAGCCGGTCGGGGCGAAGCCTCCTTTCTTATCTCGTGTAAGCTGTGAGTTATTCCATTGTTTATTTTTGTTCCATTTGTGTGATTTTCTTCGAATTATGTATGTAATTACATTGCGGGAATTGCCGTCCTCAGAAAAAGAGGCTATTGGATATTTTCCAAACGTGAAATTGTGTGAAGAAGGTCATCAAATGAAGTTAGGCAGGAAGACGAAATGGAGATGCTTTCGTCCCACTTGTAGCTAAAATATTTCTATAAGGAAAGGAACGTGGTTAAAGCGGTCGAGGATTTTGTTTTTAACGGCTTTAAAATTAATTTATGGGTGGTCCCATAATTTAACAACGATACAGTGGGGCAAAGAGCAGCTGAAAATATCCAAGGCAACAATGTGGAACAAATTTTTAAGAGAGGTTTGTGGCCATAATATGTTATGCAGGTCAAGTAAAAAAATTGAATGGACTGGCAAAGTTGTAGTAGACGAGAGTCTTTTTTCTAAAAGAAAAAAAATCATGTAGGGAGAATTGTACCTGAGCAATGCATGTTTGACGGAGTTTGCTGAGAAACAGACGAGTGTTTTATCGTCAAAACAAAAGACAGAAAGGCAACAACTTTATTAGAAGGTATTAAAAACAATATACAAGAGGAAAGCACCATTTATTCTGACTGTTGGAAAGGATACAACACCCAACAACTGAATGAAGCGAACTATAATCATTTCCTGGTGAATCGCCGGTATAACTTCATTGATCCTTCAAGTGGTGTCCATACTCAATACATATAGAAGGATTATGGGGCTCAGCTAAGTAGAGAAATAAGAAACATAGAGGAACCGCGAGATAACACCTCGATTCATATTTATGTGGCGGCGGGCTCACAGAGAAGTGACCCGTTTCTGGTTATTTCAAATAGCATTAAAATATTATTTTGGCAGACAAAATAAATGAAATGAAAATAAAATTGTTTTATATGTACATATGTTGTTTATAGTGTTTCTTATATATGTACATATGTTCTTTATTTTATAGAAGTGGAATAAACGATTAACAGATGCAGTCTCCCCTCATAGCAAAGGGGCTTATTTACATTAAAAAAAAAATGTATTTCCTTGAAAATCTCGAATTAGGAAATTTTCACGATCACAATATTTTCCCTTGCTATATATTTCATATGTATACAAGTGAAAGTAAAATAATCCTACAAATTAAAAAATGTTGGAGCTGAAGGGCTCCATCATGAACGTTATTTCTTCTCAATTTTGTTTAGAAAAACAAACACAAGAAAAGTGTTAATTTTTTTTATTGTTTCTTATTAAAAATTGAATAACATTTCAAAATAAATTAAACTACTAATTTTCTATCTGAAATCATGTTTTTGAATGTATTATAAGTAGTTTTTGAATTGAACTTATTGAAATGCTAATAATAATAATAATAATAAGGCTTAGCGAACCCGAAGGTTCGATGCCGACACCACCAATCGCTTGTTACACACCTCCCTCCACCGTTCGCCGTCCAAACCCAGTCCCTTCAGATCGGCTTTAATGCAATCCTCCCATCTTCGCTTCGGTCTACCCCTCGGACGCTTACCATTCGGCACAGCAAATATTAACCTTTTAGGAATTCTCTCGTTACTAAGCCCAACAACTTTACAAGCCCATTTGATTCGCCGCGATGAAATTACCTCAATTATATTACCCGGATACATCTCACGCAATTCGGCGTTGTGTAACCGTCTGAACTCTCCGGTTAACTCATCCTTTTTCGGTCCGAATATTCTACGCAATACTTTATTTTCAAAAACCTTAAGACGCTGCTCATCCCTTAATGTAAGCGGCCAAGTTTCGCATCCATAAAGAACTGTAGGTAAGATAATTGTTTTATAGATTCTAATTTTTAAGTTTCGGGACAAGAGGCGCGAACTAAGTAGTTTTGTCACAGAAAAATAACAAGCGTTCCCCGCCTTCAGTCTAACCTTAATCTCTTCTTCAATTTCGTTTTTTCTAGTTATCGTAGAACCTAGATACCTAAATTTATCTACCTGTTCAAACATATTACCATCTATATCGATATCACCAGTAGTATCGCCATTTTTGCAGCTAACCATATATTTTGTTTTATCCACGTTTATTTCGAGTCCTAGTTCTTTCCCGGCTTTCATTAACGTTGTCGTATTCAGTTTTATAGTTTCAACGTCTTCGCTTAACAGTACCAGATCATCAGCATAGCCCAGCACGGATGTTGTCCCGCCCAGATCCAACCCTTTCTCGGTTCGCATTACCTCCCTAATGGCATGTTCTAATGCCAAATTGAACAGGACAGGCGAAAGAGAATCCCCCTGTTTTAAGCCCGAACGAACCTCAAATTTTTCGGACAAATTATTACCGATTCTAACTTTATTGAGTGTCTCCGTCAAGCACATCCTGACTAGATTTACTAGTTTTTTTGGAATCCCCTGCTCGATTAGAATATTATACAATTTCTGGCGGTCAATAGAATCGTAAGCCTTTTTAAAATCTATATACAGCTGGTGAACAATACCGTTATACTCCAATTTTTTCTCTAATATTTGCCGTAAAGAAAATATTTGATCAATAGTCGAACGATTCCGTCTAAATCCGCATTGGTAGTCTCCGATAATTTCCTCGGCGTATTCCGTGATTCGCTAATGAAATGCTAGGAGTAAAAAACAAAAACCAGAGACTCTAAAAAGGCTTTTACTTAACACAAAGCCAATTTACATTATAGGTAGTGAAAAGGTAGTTTCTGCTTTTTTACAAAATATCACAGGGGGATCTAGGGGAGAGGGAGGTGGGGCTTTTGGGCTGAAGTCCCCTCCCCCAAAATGGTAAAATATAACCATGTCTTATGAAAAAAATATTTAATAATTACCTCTAAAAGTATTATTGTTCATTTAATAGTACTTAAAGAATAACTTAAACTCTTTTCATACAGGTAGTTAGTTTCTTTCTTTTTCTTCATAAGTAATTATTGTTGTATATTAAAAAAAATCTTTTAGGCTGAAGCCCCCAAAAATTAAATCCTGGATTCCCTAGTGTAAAATATTAAAACCTCAAACTTTATTTGGAGGAACTTAACATTAGAGGTAATCAAAATTTTAAAAACTGGGGAGAAAAAAACTGCTTGGACATGTCAAAATTGACCCTATCTTTTATTGTACTATTCTGGTTATAAAACAACAATGCAAACCTAATTTAAGCTTATTATATCCAAAGGTTACTTGGTCATAGGTGATTCTTGATTCTATGAATTTGGTGTGCTGTAATACAAATTCCATAGCAAATGATCTTTTTCATCTTCAGAGAGTTGTTGAACAATAGCTTGTCCCTTTTAATGAATGGTAACTTATCCATTGAGTACAGAAGCTCTAAATTCAGTTCAACCGAATGTAGTCTGGATGGGTTGCATGAATTTCCTAAACAAATCTATACTTTCGAAATTTTCATAATGCAATTTCTGATAAGAAAACAAAAGCTTCAATGATTTCTGAGTAAATATGAAGGAGGGTAAAAAATTATGAATACACTTTTTATATAAACATTTATATATAATCCATTATTACGAAAAACAAATATTGTATACAAAATTAGTATCTTACAATAATACAATATTTAAATAAAGAATTTATTTACATTTATACATTAATACAAATACATTATTTATGTGCACGCATATACAGAAACAATTATAAGGTAAAATCAAACTCGTTTAAACAACAGGATGTAGAAAACTAGGAAGAATTCTCGACCTGAAAAATAAATTTAAAACAAATTATTATTTAAAACTCTTAATATTTTAAAATATTAATCTTTATAAAAAATAAATAAAATACACTGGCAGAAAAACAATAGTTATGGTTATGGTAATCCATTCTTGATATATGGAAATGGTAGAGCGAGGTCCTATCTCGAGGGGGAGGGGGAAGAGCAGGGTATAAGGTAACTTCAAGATCAAGGTAAATAGGGCATGTTCCTAAACTAACAACTGATTCCATTGATCCAATCCATCCAATCCAATTTCAATCCATTGAATCCAGAATCTGATGGACACCAATTAATGCTGAGTTTAGGAATGACCTGATGGATGAATTTAAAACACATGAAAAGTAAAAAAAAGAGATTAGGTATATAACTACTAACTAAAATCGTTGAATTTCAGAACAAAAATATACATAGAAAGTAAACTGAATATTAACATGTAAATCAATTAAAACTAACAACAGTGAGGTTACGTCCTATGGATCCATCGACCCCTAAGGCCGATGGAACCACTGAGTCATCGGTGATTTAATCAATGAATAAAGGAATGTGCTGAATTTCATCAATAGTGTCCATTAATGAGTTTAGGAATAGTCTGATATCAATGATGTCTAAACTTGATCAAACCATACCTAGATAAAAACTTCATTACTATGGTGATATTAATATCCAAGAATATTAAAATGCATTCACAAAACTTGTTCTGTTTCTATTTAAAATAACCAAAAATTTTCTTTCTATATTACAAAACGCGTCAAAGAGTTCTCAGAGCTATTTGGCTCTGCTTATATTTTCAATAGATTTTAATTTATCATCATAGGCTAAAAAAAATAGTAATATTTTAATTTTAAAAAACCTCAATGATATGTGATCCAATGGTAACTGGTGGGATCTGGAAGACTATCTAACGCTAAAATTAAGGTAGACCTATGTGTAATCTTAAAACAATAATTGTTAGGGTTTTGATGTGAGCCTCATAATGTATATTTATCTGCTAACTTATACCATTAGAGTACATATAAAAAAAAAACCTGTACCACTACAACCTGTGAAGGGTCTTGTGTTCAGTACTACTTAGGGAAAGTACCGTTACAAGGCCAATGGTTGTGCCGGGAGGAGATCGGGCCTAGATCACGCTCAACCGCCAGATTTTCTCCCTTAATCAATTATTTAATTAAGAGTACCCACTTTGTAGAAGCTGGGTATGCCCCAGGGCCACAATTGTTTATATTTATATTTTTTAAAAATCATAATATTTGGAGCTTGAACAGGAGAAAATCAAATAATTACATTTTTTAAATCATTATATTCAGTTGACAGAATGACTAAACACCAATTTCAAAATTTTTGAGTAGTCATTTTAGTGATATTTCTAGTTGGAAAATTTATTAATATCTGTACAGACAGTGAGTAAGTTGATTCCAGTGGTGAAATATAGAACTGTGAATAAAGTTCTAAATTCTCCCACTAGTAATATCACCAAAATTGATAATCAAAAATGTTGAAGTTGGAGCTAGTCATTCAGTCAACTGAAAGGTTCATATAATACTAGATGAGAACCATAAAAATATACCTTTATTTGTGGCTGATGGTTTTGCAGCGACATCTGAGAGGGTGCCTGATTTGGCCTGATCGAGAGAGCTGGTACCGACGGTTTTCTTCCCGGTCCTCTCATTCCCCGAGGACCACGTGAGCCAATGTGACCGGGACCTACTGGCCTCAGCCTTGGCCTACCTGGACCTCGACGATTGCTCCTGTTGCTTAAAGCTGACAAACATTTTATGGTCATAATTATTATTGAATAATTTTATTCGTAAATATTGTTATATATATATTCTGTTTTGTACAGTATAGCATTATTATCTGAACTACGATTGTTGGGATACTCAAAAATACAAAAAAACTGCTTTGTTTATTTACCTATTGTACATAATTAAAAAAGGAGACTATGCTGTTTTTACAAAATAAAATTTCTAGTAATTTAGCGATGGTCAAGGATGTCGTTACGGAAAGAGCAAAGAAGTATCATCCCCACAGTAATTTGAAAATCCAAAAAACTTTGGAAATTTAGATTTAATCTCAATACAATGTTGTGTTTAAATAGAAAAGATAACTACTGAGGTATATTATAAATATTTGCAACAATTCAGTAAAAAGTTCAAATCCAAAGGAGCAGAGAAAATTAAAGTTTCTTTACCAAATAAATAAATTGAAGTTACAGACAACTTAGTTCCAACTATTGATATTGTTGGAAAATTTTGTTTAAAAATCATGATAATATTGAAACAATTTTTTTTCTTCTTTTTCCAGAAAACAACGAGTCCTCCTCTCTCCCTTGTATTACACAAACCAAATAAACATTCAATTCTAATAAATAAAAATATGATTAAATTACCACAAAATCAAATCCTCTTGATTTCTTAGAACAAATTAAACCCATTTTAAAATAATATAATATTATAACAAAATCACTTCCTAGCAGAGTAAATAGAATAATGTTAGAGAAAAAGAAATTTTTGGATAAATCATAGTAATATCAGATAAATTCTGAGCAACTTAATTGATTTCTTTTTATCAATGTAGTCAGTACGGATAATAGATGCTCTACTGTACCTCAATTAATTTGTTAATATTTTTACAAAATATAAAAATTAAATATAACTAAGGCTAACAAGTGAAGCTTTTCTAGGGCACGTACTCTGAGCAATAAAAAAAAAAAAAAAAAATGTTCAGTAGCTTGTATTTTTTGGTGAAGCATTAATAAAAATATATACAAAAAAACATATTCCATGTTTAACATATGTTCCAACGATTAATGTACAATATAGGGGGAATAGGTCACTGCTAGTATAATCTATTGTCTTTTAAACAACAAAGAAATTTTTCTTTTATATTCAATTTGTGAATATAGGAAATCTAATCAACATTTCAAAGTATTATCCCTCATTTTGATGATCTTCACACAGTTTTCTTATTTTTAAGATTTTCTCGTAATTCATGATCCATATTGTTTTCCATTGTAATAATATAAGTAATTGTCATTCAGGAACAGTATAAACAGAGATTTCTTCTATCTATCAAAAGTATTGAAATTCTGAAAAATCTCAAAATTAAGGACGTACGCTGCTATGATAAAGCCAGTTCTGATATATCTGGACACTAACCATCTCCATAGAAAGAAGTATAAAAAGAAAGAGAAAAATTGTCCATAGGATAACCGGAGCGATCTGGAATCAGAGCTCTAACGCATGGAGAAGATGGATAGATCAAATTAATAAAGATGCTGCAGAGCTGAACGGAGAAAACTGGAAAGCAATAGGCAATGATGGAGAAGGCTGGTTAAGGCGGCAAAAGATTTATAAGGTCTGTAATACCAACAGAAAAAAATATAATGATAGTCATTTAATAATCAAAATATGAAATTTCCATCTCGAGGTATATTTGAATTCCTTACTTAATTTATTAATTTTCACATGACCTGATCACAAATTAATTCTAAATATAAAAATAAATCTTACAAAAATAATAAGAATATTATCATAAGAAATTTTCAGAATACATTGCAAGCGTCTGTAGATCAGTTAGGAAGAGAAAAATAATCTACAATTTTTCAATATTCAGATCGATCTGCTCAGAAATGTTTCAATTCTTTGAATCGGTCATAACATTGCAAATATAAAAAATCTTGTTGTTTAGTAAATCAGCTGATCAATAAATTACTGTATCATAGCAACCATTGAACAATACTTTAAATAAAAATCTGAGAGCTGCTGCTAAAATAAAATGGTCACCATTTAGGCCGATTTCTTATTGAGGTATTTTAGTTTATCCAACTAGTTGAATTTGATGGGTTTCAGGAGATGAATGAATAGACTCTTCAAAAATGAATTGCCTCTCCCCTTCCGTAGACTGTCAACTGAAATACCGTACAGTGGTACGAAACATTTTATTCTCAGCATATGAGTGAAAAGTATACTCTTGGGGCGCTCCAGAGATATCATTTGAGGCAAAAGTATTTGAATCAGTAGATCGAGACTGATTCTGTGGATAATTTGTGAGAAATTATATCCTATTTTTATAATGTTAACTAATTTAATCCCGTTTTTTGCTACTACTAGGGGCTGCTTGAACTGAGAAAAAAACGTAGTTCAATGAAAATAACATGAAGAATAATATTATTATCAACTAGTAAGTTTGATTGGGTGTAGTTATAAAAAAAAAAAAAAAAAAAAAAAAAAAAAAATTCAGACTATCCCAGCTTTCATTAACGATCAAATTTAATATTGTTTTAATATGCTGTGGGGACGGTTCTCGACTTGAGCCTTTGGTTCTTGTCATCCTTCATCGACTGCGGATGTGCAGGCACCCTCTTGCACCATCGGCAGTTGATAAAAAGCCTTAGCGATTGTAATGAACACGGGATCCGAGACCAATCATGCTTTGAGATCAGGTAAGAAATTTACTTGATCGAATTGGAGCTATGGAGAGTCACCAGAGCCCTAGTGGCACTTTGGGTGGACGGCAACAGTTCTTGCACTGCTTGGCCGTTGCGGTCGTGTGTTTGCGACTGCTCACTGTACGACACCAGTGTTCAGCTGGTTCAGTCGTGACTGAGTTCCGGCCAGTCATCTGGTTTCAGTGTATTGACGAGCGGTGGAAAGCTATAATAGTAGAGCTGGCCCTCACCGTGAGCACAGGTGATGTGCTTACATCTTAAGATCCGAGGTGTGAGGCTAGGCTCGGGTTGGTTAAGATCGATAAGAAATAGGAGATATTGCCTCCTATCAAGTTTATTATACTAGCATTTGATAGACAATAACATTTTGAATAAATTCCAGAGTAATATTTTTCTATATTCGAACAATCCTTGTTTTATGAAGTTATTCATTTATTGTTAATTGTGAATCTCTTCATATATCTTGACAACTCATTTAATAAATGATCAATATTGTTTACATCAGTATTATGCATGTAATTAACCCTCTAAATATTGAATAAAGTATTTTTCATGTATCAGGAAGGGCAACTGTAATGTGATACGGTAGAAAATCATAGAGAATATATGCATTGGGGTTTCTAGAGTGATGGTTAGTTATCACAGTTAATATAATTTTTTTAACTAAAATTTATAGTAATAATGGAAATAATACCATCTTAGAAATTTTTAGATTAATAAAACAGAGACAAAAATTTAAAAAGAAACAAATAGACATATACTATTCCCAAAAGATAAATGTGATTTTAACATTTATTTACCATTTCACTCTTGTCCATTAATCAGATATTTCAAATATAGAATGATTGCAATATTAGATTTCAATACTGCTTCATAAATTTGATCAAAATTTAAGGATTTAAATCTTTCTGATCTCCTCAGAATCATGGTTTTGGTAAATTGTTGGTGCCATATATGTTGTAACTTATCTTTTTTTCTTCTGAATTTTTATATTATATTTTGTTTTTTTACATCTTTTATTAAGTCAAATTTTTCTTTAAGAACTACCTTCGCAATTAAAAAGACGACGTTGAAGTGAATTCGAAATGAAAATTTCATTTTATGTTAGAATGAAAGAATCTCCACAGCTATCACCTGAACCTTCTGTTTGCTTGAATTCTCTCAAGGAATAGAGTATAGCAACTTAGATGGTCACTCATTTAAGATTTGAATAAAAAATATATATATAACAATACAAGATTTTCATTATTTACACAAATAATATTTTAAGATTATATGAATTATACTAATATAAAAGATTTAAAAAAAGAAAGAATGACATATTAAATAAATTAACTGTAATAAAAAAAAAGTTAATATAAAGGAAATGTTTAATTAGTAAAGGCATACACATTTAAAATTAGAAATACATTCTTCATATATAACCTCCACCTTGTTTTGATAATTTTCATCAATATCCTCCAAGATAAGTAAAGGGCAAAAACAGATAATGTTTTCTCATATAAGTAAGAAAAAATGACACAGTATCAAGCCAAAAATTGCAAGTATTAAGTTTTTTTTTCATGATCAATAAAACTCAAACACTCAGATGTTTTAAAACAAAACCATTCATCTACGATGAGTACATGCTTTCTTAATCAGTTTTAAAATTTTAAGTTTCAGTTTTCAAATTGAAGAAATAGTTTAATTTTTTTAAAATAAAAATATAAAAAAAAATAAAGTCACTTTGATGTCTTTAAGATGCTATAGTGTCAATAGTTCTGCCCTTCCGTTTGTTTCAAAATAAAAAAGATTTCTAGATGTTATTTGATGAATATATATGTAAAATGAAAGTGAATTTAGAAAAAAATTATCTTTATGGAAAAATCACTATGTCTTCTGTATTTAAATAATTCCCTGTCCCTCTCCCCCCCCCCTCCGTTTTTTCCTCCCATTCCTTGACTTTTTAATCTATATGGGAGGATTCTACGGTCCAGGGAAGAAGACGGGGTGATTAGCACTGTACAGTATCTGTCCATATTACTAAAGTGCAATAGTATCCGGAGGGAAAATCCATAGGAAATATATAAATATATATGGTTTTTATACAGGTAAACAAATATTTTTTATAGTTTCATACCTATTTAAAGCTTTTTCCATGCTGAATCAGATCCTGAAAAACGAGCTGAGAGTTCAGGGTAAAAATTATAATCTAATCTAAAACGTTTATTGAAATATTAAGTTTGAAGTAAACAGCATAAGAATAAGGGGGAAACAAAAGAGAATATTATTGAGAGCCTAAAATACATCCAAATAAAATAGAAAATCACTCAATACGAGTATATTATTATAAAACCAATTAGAAATTACAAATAGACAGCTAAAGAAGATTAATTCACTCAATATAAGTGATAAAAATGATAAGAAAATTTCAATATAAAGTTATAAGTATCTCTAAATTCCAGTAAATAACTAACCAGACCTCTTGCTTATTACAACAGTAGAATCATCAGGAAAGAAAAATATAAAACAACACATATTATACCTACGCAGTACAAATATGCTACATCTCTAATAAAAAAAATTACGTGTATTATGACCCTCCGTGGGCCTTGGGTTCAGTATTTTGTAACAAAATGTTCTGTTTCCATGGAAGCGTTATGAAGGAAGTTGATTGGGCCAAGATCACGCTCAACTGCCATGTTTCATCCCTTAATTATTTATTTATTGTAACATCATTAAATTAAATAATAGCAACAAATGATTCTATTTTTATTTTAATTTTAAGAATGTCAAATAAATGTAACTTAAGTTCGCATTTTTTATTAGTTAGACTAATAGCCATTTCCTATTAACTTAATTGTGTACTTTTTCTCTTTTTATTAAGTAAAAAGTTATAAGCCGTAGAATTTACTTTTCTTTCTCTTTAGTTGCTTTAAATTTGGTGAAAATTCAGTCATGATTATAATCTCTTGGATTCAACCGTTTAGAAAAAAAACAGACAAATATTAACAACTTATAATTCTAAAACAATCAATGGGACTAAACTAGTTTGCATAAACTAGTTTTTTATGTACTACAGGTAATTTAAAAATAACTTGCTGTTTTCAAGATTACAGTAACTGTGAATATTTATGAGATCTAATCTTAGTGTGAACATTATATACGTCATAAATTTGAAATGAAAAGTCCTAAAACATCAATGTACATTGAAACTACAAAGCTACTGAGGTATTTGAGAGTAAATAGATAACCACAACTTTCACTACTTGCTGAGGTATCTACCATTCGCATTGAGCGAGGCTAGGTATTATGAATGTATCAGGAATCGTGTTGTAATAATGTACTGTTTCATTTGGTTGGTCTTTTATATTTAGCCAATGAGATAGTTACTAGAACCTCTCGCACAAACAGAAGAGTAAGTTAGCGACAATCCAGCCAACGGCTTTGTTGCGGGTCAACAAGGCATATCGGAGCATATCCAATGAGGCGGTGCAGGTGCAAACAGGAGTTGCTCTCGGCCGCCTCCTCCGTAAAGACATGTTGAAACTATGTTCAAGAAAAATGACTCTGCAAGTGTGCCAGGAAACTTTAAGGTGAGAACTGAGGAAAACCCTTGTTGGATCTATACAATTGAAGATCGGAACCAGCGATTGGTGATAACCACAAAAGAATCTAGCTTGAGGAAATACTTCCTCACCGTCCGGTCACGTCTAGAAGCAAATAAGGTCCTTACAGACTACTGGTTCCTGCCTTTCTTCACAGACTGAGGGAGCTTTCAAGCAAAGTTTCATAGCCTGCTGAGCACATCATAGTCGACTACACCGCCTTGGAAGAACTAAGGGCTAAATTACTGAGGGAAACCGGTCTCTACATTCTTACAGAGAACAATTTCTCTCAATTAATCAGTGTGGAAAATTATATGTAAAAAGAAAGCTGCAGTGGACCCATCCCATTTCAATCACAGAAGAGGAGGAGCTAACGGAAGACAATCGGATTGAAAAGAGTGATTCAAAACAAATGAACCAAGAATATCAAGAAATTCAGAACAGACAATTAAGCTTTACTTTCAGTAGTGAGATGTTATGCTGAGATACCTGACATCTTATTAATACCAACACCCGTATTGCCTAGAAAGGCGTGGCAGGGTTTAAAAGAAAAAAAGTTTTTCTGGTCGGCATTTATATAATCTTATACTTTCCTGGCCTGATGATGCCTCAATTGGTAAAACATTAAACGTTTAGTTATACAATGCTATTTAAGGAAATTTTGGATTGGAATCTTCTGATAAGTTACTAATAATAAAAGAAGTGTAAATAAAAAGTAAAAGAATATATGTATACAACATGCAAAAGTTATTCCTAATCTCCTTCATATGTCACAAATTGCTCTGTTAAGCACTATAAAACAAACACCAAGCGGAAACAAATTCAACTTATTGTTATAATCAGAGCACGGATTTCTATGAAATTCTAATCGCATGCATTTTTAAACAGTTGACGGAATATATTAATCAATTATTGAAGGAAGTTAGTCGACTGTACTACATATCATAGGTGATAAATAGTCAGGACGCAGTCATTTTTAACGTTTTATTGGTGCCGATGTTTCAACCCAAGCATGTGGGTCATATCTTCAGGGTGTGTTTGGAGCACTGAAGATATTCAAGTACTCAATACATTTGGATACTACCAGTAAGGGGAGAGGGCAAGTTTGGATATCTGATACATTTTGATCAAGAAGTTCAGATAACTTAGACTGCACTGAATTCCAAAATTAACATCATCAAACAATATTAAAGACTGGGTGTTTTATTTTTCAAATTAAAAAATAATAACATAAGTATCATTTAATTAACCAAGTATATGTTAATGAGAGAAAACTGGTATATCCTTAACTGCAAAAAAATCCGGACTCTGTTTATAAAAATTAAATTTTTTTTAACATTTGCAGGAAATTTATGTGTATGAACGTTGTAAGGGAGAAATGATAATTAAAAAAGAAATAGATAAAATAAATAATTAAGATAGAAAAAGCACAAGATAGCATAGACTACAACCATTACACCATTATCACACCGCGACAGTGAAGGCATCATGCAAGCAGCGAGTGAGAAGCTCCACAATATCTATTCTGAGACCACTTACCGATCGGAGGCATGTTAGCCACTGAGACTGGTCTCGAGCTATTGCCTCTGTGGCAATTCCTAGGCGGGCGTCCCCGTCTCGACCGCACCCTATCTAAGCAGAGAAGAAAAAAAAAAAAAAAAAAGAAAATATAAAAAATATACATGTCTCTTTCGGGCAGATCACAGGCGGCTTCACTTTATTAACACTTATTTATTCACAAAACAAAGCATATGAAAAAATAACAAAAAAAAATTCAACAGGAATAGGATTGGACAAAACATTCATCATGGCTTAACATCTCACTTGGTCACAGGATGCTAAAGCTAAGTTAAATTAAAAACCTGTCTGAGATAAATCTTTTCATATAATATAAAAATTGAAGCAAAAAAAAAAAAAAAAAAATTGATTTGAATAAATTAATAATTAATAAATAGGACCAAATTTTTCCCAAAAGAATAAAGTAATATATTTTTTTTTTTAAATAACAATATATTTTATATATAATGTTTTGGCCTTTTTATTTATTTTTACTAGCTAAGTCCATTCCTGCTCTTACGATTAAAAGGATTTGTTTATTAGTCTTCTTGTTGCAATTCGTTTTTGGTGGCATTTTATATTTACACTTTTACTTTTCACAGCAATAATAACACTGCACATTTTTTAAAATCAAAACATCTGCTAATATCACAGCTGGAATAAAGAATTGAGGAGTGTTGTAATTTCTGTGCTAAAAGAGTATTATATATATTATATTATATATATAGGGAGAGAGAGAGAGAGAATACTCTACACAAAAAATATATCATGGGTGATAGATAATCGGGACGTAGTAAGTTTTTTAAATTGAAAATGAAAATTGATAGCGTCCTGTTTATCTATCCATGATATTTAGAAGTCGACTAACTTCCTTCAATAAAAAAACATAATAAGATACCACCAAACAAGAACCTACAATAAGAAGACTTTGTTATATCAAAAATCAACAAATTCTTTTAAATATACATGCTCAATAAGAATTCAGACTTAGTTGGTAAAAAATAAAAATGATATGTTTGAAAATGGACAATATAAAAAGGCTGAAACGTTACAGAATAAATATATCATTTAATAAAATAAAAAAAAAAATTCTTTATTATTTCAGAATCAAAATTGGACCTAGTAAAACATAAGTATTTAATAAATACCAAAGTTAAAAGTATTTCAAAAATAAATATTAATGCATAAGGCATTTTTATCCACTTCACTGTTTTTTAAGTATTATTCCTTTTTTAAAAATCCAAATTCGACAGCAAATACGAGTGACATTCTCTTTGCTTTTTTAGTCAGTCCTAACTTCAAAGGCATCGGATTTTCTCTTGTCGTTTCGTAGGCAATTTCCATCCACAGAATCATACACTAATTTAAATTAAGAAGGCTATAGCAAGTTTCTTCAAATTCTGAATCCTACTTGATGGCATCTGATGATATTTTAATAGCACAGGAGAGGAGTTAATCATTGTCTATAAGGTAACTAACACTATAATAATAGATCATCTTTTAAAATAACGAAAATAAAATTATATCTTTTAAATTTAATTTATTTATATAGACTACTGAATTAATTTCTCAAATGTAATTAATTAATACATTTAGGTTAAAAGTTAACTCTTACGAGAAGAAACTGCGGATAGAAATAATTAAATAAACGTAATCAGATTATAAAATAAGAAAAAAAGATAAATACATACCAGGCATGAAAGGCCTCGAAATTTTAGGTGGTGTCTGACTGCTGACAGGATCTTCCTGATCAGTATTATCGTTGGAGTCCTGGCTCGATTTCATGACATCCTGAGTGTAAATTATAACAAATTATTTTATATGTGTATATAAAATATTATATATACATAATAAGAATTATGGTCCCCTTTCAATAATTTAAACAGAAAGACGACTATGTGTAAAGCCTAACTTCTTCAGCTACTAATATATTAATTTACTCATTACTTTTAGGAGTATCATTATAAAAAAAAATCTCATAAAACAAATTTTCAAACTTTATATTTAAAAGTGAAGAATAAACATTAAAATCCTTGAGAATAATTTTACTCACTGCGCCTTTAGGACTTTCCGCTGGTGATTTAACACCTTGGTAAACCTCAACGACTCCATCTTCAGTTTTCATATGCTTCACCGTATCCTGAATATTGTCCAGAAAAAAAAATCATAAATAATGATTTCAAGTATAAAGGTATCCATTATTATTTAAGAATAGACTAAATAAATTATAATAAAAATTAAAAAAATACAGTTTTTAAAATAACCTTATAATTTCCTAGAGCATTTTTTCTTTTCCTTTCTCTTTCCCTGTAAATATCTTGCCTCGATTCTTCAAGTTGCCTCCTCTCTGCCTGCTTCTGTCGATCTAGATAAATATATCAAATATATATTATGAATTTCAAAGTAATAATATTTCATAATAATTTTTAATTGACTTTTTCTGGTGATCTACAATTCAAATTTATTATTCTGAGTTTTAACAATGTAATTTATTAAATATCAGTCTGTCGCATGTGTAATTGACTGACCTTTAATAAGTTCCCAACCCGTTCTACCCGAAATCGCCCGGGAAGCCTCTGGTTCAAGTAAGCTCATCATGGAACGTTCAAAGATATTCACATTCAGATATGGTCATTGATCCTGAGGACCAGATCTGCTGAGTAAATACTTGTCTGCCCACGCTTCGAACATACATTTCTTCTCGAATTTAATCATGATACCCCACATATACCTGAGAGGTGTTGGGATTGAGAATTGAGGAGAGCAGGTTATATCGATTGTTGAAAAATATTGTAAAACACTTATTATTTTGAAAATTGTAAGACTAACATTTTTTGTATAAAGTTGTCTTTATTTTGAATAAACTGAATTATTAAATGATGGTAATCATTCATCAGCATCTCCCAAAAAGTACTAGACTGTGAGGGAAGGACTCACTATCCCTCCACTGAGGAAGCCTAATTTATTATAATTTTGTAATCTGTTTAGCGTTGAAAGAAACGTTAAATGTCAACTTTAATATAATACTTTTTACATCATTGCTATTTCTAAGATTTAGCCCTTAATTTAATTTTTTCATTAAAACTTATCATACAACTTATTCACTTTTATAACCATCTTGGAATATTTAATATTTATGATGGATAAAAGATCAAAGGTTAAAATGTCTTGTGAGTCATTTCTTAGAAGATCTAAGGATTTTTACTGTCAATACCTAATTTTTTTAACATTTCGTATTTATTATTAATATAATAGGCAATTCATATTAAAATTTATGAGGGATATTAATTATTCTTTTATAAATAACTTTCATATTGAATAAAAGGTACTTATTTAATAGCGGGTAGCGTCCGTCTGCTATCTGCCAATGTTTATAACCTTAACACTGATAAGCTCTTCGTATTCATATTTATTGTATTGTATTGATATTATTGAAATTGTGAACAAAAACAAAAAAAAATTTAATAATAAAAAAATACTTTTATTTTACAACATATATATATAATTAAAAAACATTGTTTTTAATGGCTTCTAATAAAGTTGTTGCTTTTCTATCGTTTATTTTGACGATAAAACACTCGTCTGTTTCTCGCCGCCAAACATCCATTGCTGAGATAGGACTCTCCCTACATGATTTTTTCTTTTCGAAAAAAGACACTCATCTACTTCGATGACTTTGCCAGGCCCTCCAATTTTTTTATTCGACCCGTATAACATGTCATGAGCACAAACTTCTCTTAAAAATTTGTTCCATGTCACGATAGTTGCGTTGGATAGTTTGAGCTGCTCGTTCCCCCACTGTATTGTTGTTAATATGGGACCACCCATAAATGAATTTTAAAGCCGTTAAAAAAGAAATCCTCGACCCCTCTAACCAAACTCCTTTCCTTATAGAAACGGTTTTGTTACAACTACGAAAGCATTTCCTTCATCACAATATTTGACCTTTGAAAATATCCCAGCGTCTTGAAAATATTTTATAGCCTCTTCTTCTGAAGACGGCAATTCGCACAATGTGACAACACCCATAATTAAATAACACTAACTCACAAGAAACAAAAAATAAACAAGGGAATAACTTAGGTTAGATGAGATAAGGGAGGTTATGTGAAATGAGATTAGATAAGAAGGGAGGTTTTGATGCTACCCGCTATTAAATAAGTACCGAATAAAATAATGCACAAGTTGTTATAAAAATTATTGTTACTTAGATGAATAATTTAATAATAAACTTACATTTTTGTTCTATCTCGGCATCATCGAGCAGAAGGGAAACCACTTCTTTGGGCTTAAGGGTGTCCGGTTTGAAGTTACCACCGCTGATCACGACCCTTTGGATCTACCGACAGAATATTTTTTTTTCATATACATAAAACGGAACATCAAATAAACATTTTATATGGAATCCATTTTTATTTTATTACCTCGCTCTTCTCTTGAGCTCTCTGCAAGATTCTTTCTTCGATGGTTCCCTTACAAATGAGCCGATAGACGGTCACCTGCTTAGTCTGACCTAGCCGATGGGCTCGGTCCATCGCTTGTTGGTCGACGGTAGGATTCCAATCGCTGTCGTAAAATATCACCTAGTTGATCAGAAATAAGAGAGAAACTGTAACCACTTGTCAAGCGATGGAATTGTATTTCACAAATATATATTTAAACATGTTAACATTCAACAGGTAGTTAGAAATTGAAAGACAGTGATCATGATTTTCCACAACTTGTCCAACAAGGAGCTATTAGGAACCTTAGGTGACCTATAAAATTTTAAAGTCGAAGAAATAAAGCAAGAGGGAGAAAGGAAAAAAAAATTAAATGGTTTTTAGATATTTTGTGAAAACATTCCTAAAGCATAAGGACTTCAATATGATTATATCATCAGTCGATTGCAAAAAGTAAATAAGTACGTTTTTGATTGAGGTGAAGTTTTAGATTTTTTTTTTTAAATTTTCATCTTTAAAATGAAACAAAACTTTTGATATACCAAATATAGTTACAAGTCTACAATTCTGTTATTTCTCTTAGGGAAAATTCATTTAAGTTCTTAGAGATTTAAGCATATCAATGTCACAATGAATTTTACAATAAAGCAATGATATGCAGTTTATTAAAGTGGATTGAAAAAAATTATGTATTGCATAACCATGTGGTGTGTCAATAAAAATGTTAATCATTGAGGCATAAAAACAAGAGGTTGTAAACAGGATTAAAAATAGATATTTATATTAAATAAGGCTATTTGGATAAAAATGTTGTTTTAAAGTGATTGAAGTTCATAAATAATAATAATAATAAATAAATAAATCAACTATTTTTTACAAATATAATGAAAGTTTAAAAATATTTTTTAAGAAACTAATACTTACAGTATCGGCAGCAGTAAGGTTTATTCCAAGGCCTCCAGCTCTTGTGCTCAACAAGAATACAAATATATCCTCTCTGGAAAAATAAAAAATGTTAGAAATCGACAGTTCTCAAGTATCTTTTCAAATTGAGGTAATTGTTTGTTTATCGTATCTCATTCCATCCAACAATACACACATTTATTAACTGATAATGGTGGTTCGGACAGCTGTTTAGTTGAATTTGAGTTCTTAAAGCTGTAGTTAGATTTTTTTAAAAATCCAAAAGTCACGAATACTACTAATAATACACCCACTATTCATTAAAAAAAATGTTTCTATAGAACTTTTTCAACATTATTTTTAAAATAGAAAAAAAAAAAAAATATATACCTTGTTTGAAAGTCAGCGACCATATCCCTTCTGTCTGATATCTTAGAAGAACCATCTAGCCTCATATAAGTATGCTTTCGGTACCACATATATTCCTAGAAAAATTGAAACTTCATGAAAAATGGATAAGTCTAATAATGATCTATTTATATTAAATATTTACAAAATAATAGCTAATATAACTTTGAGCCACACCTCAATGAGCAGTTTTTGAAATTTTGGAGTTTCTAAGAAAATACATTTATTTATGAGTATGTATGTAAAAGTAGTCAGCAGACAGAATTTGATGAAACTGAAAATAGATTATCTAAGTACCAATCTAAAAATTTCATGAAAATTGATTTTCATTCAGAAATCTACAGACACAGAATTAATTTGGATTCTTGGTGTCTAAAACATAAGTTTCAATTCTGAGATTTTTTTTTTTTACTACGGGTGATAAATATTCAGGACGCAGTCTTTTTTAAAATTTTTTATTTTTGCCAACGCTTCAACCCAAACATGTGGGTCATCTTCAGGGCTGGATTTCAATACATTGAAATTGTCTTTATTATAAAAATTATTTATCTAACCATTGTATATTTGTAATCAAACTAAGCTATATTTATATTGATTGGCAACTTCTGCTTATGTTCATTTCATTACTAGTCAATAGTTACATTTCTGTAACCATATGAAATAACTCAAATATTGCGCAAGTCTGAAATATTCAGTCAGCAAATTATGTACATTCTACAAACATAAGTGTTACCTTCCTTCCCCTCTATGTTTACCTACCTTTTGCTATCTGAAAAAGGACAACTGGGAAATCCTCCACCCCTGACCTTTTTACTTACCTACCAAATGTGTCAGTACTTGAACACCCCCAGTGCTCAAACCACGGTTAGTAAGAGAAAATATTACAAATTTGTATAAATAGATTATATACATTATTTTTTTTTTTAATTTTAGTTTGTATAACTATTTACATATTTAATTTTAATATGTGTATTGCAATATTAGTTAAGATTCATGTACCATCAATCACTATAGTTTATTATTTATAATTAGCGGTTGTATACTATTATATCTCTGATTGTAATTTTAAAAAAGATTTTCAGCGCTGAAAATGACCCACATGTTTGGGTTGAAACGGCAAAAATAAAATTTTTTAAAAAAGACTGAGTCCTGAATATTTATCACCCATGATATGTAGAACAGTCGACTAACTTCCTTCAAAGATTTTTTTTATTACTTTTGAAATTGTTGAGAATTGACTAATTTTAATAAAAGAATCTATTTTTGAATAGAAAAACAGTTAAAAATGTATTTTTTTAATACTGTTTTATCTTCTCAATAAGTCAACAAACAATTATCGCAATGATTCTATTCACGCCTCACCTCTAACAAGTCTATCATCCTCGTCATCTGGGAGTAGATCAGAGCTCTATGCCCTTGCTCTTTTAGCCGAGTGAGCAGACCATCCAAGACGTACAGTTTTCCAGCATCTGTTACCAGGGTCTGCTTATCTGAAACACGGTAACAACTTCTTGGACACGATCATGCGAAAATTGGTGCAAACCACATATTCACTATTCAAGCAAATCAAATTGAGATTCTGAATAAATTTGATATTGGATTTATTTAAAATTGAATGTAATTTTATTTTTCAAAATAGGAAAAAGACATTACCAGGTATGACTATACTCGACCAGCCAGTGATTGGACGGAGGCTAAGCAGACCGGCGGGAGGCGGGCACTGGAAGCTGGGTTCTGGCTTTTCCCCTTCCCAGAGAACACGCCACAGCCCTCCGCCCTCTCCCCAAAGGCGGGAAGATATCCAACTCCACCTCCGGTTCCAGCTGTACAGTCTTCTGCTCTTCTTTATTTCCACCTACCATTGACAATTCAAATATTGTATAAGAAAATATATCATATATATATTATTATTTTTTTACCATTTTAGAGAAAATTAGTATCACATTGAGTACTAATATCAGATCTTAAATTGAATAAAAATATCAAAATCGCATTGAATGCTTGTCGAACCTGAAGGTGATCAAACTCTTGGTAAATCACAGTGCTTTGAGTGGTTTAAAAAATAAAAAAACAGAAGTAATTTTAATGTGAGCAATGAGAAAATGGAATGCGGGTATGATCAACTATGAGTTGCAAATATGGGACAAAATCATTAATACTGAACGCTGACAAATGATCGATTTGAATAGAGTAATGCATGAAAAATGACCAGATTATAAAAAAAGACAAGATAAAGCGATTTTTCTTTATGATAATGTAACATATCACACTTCATAACCATTGAAGGAAACAATTGAGGCATTCAATTGGGAAATATGGGTTACTCACCAAATTTTCTGTTACTCTGTCCGACAACTACTATTAATTTCCATCGATGGGTACTTGCTCAGCAGTGTTTTACTTTTTAAGAAAATGTACAAAAACGGCTTGATGACTGGTTCACCACAAAAGAGCAACAGTTTTTCTGGCAAGGCATTCATAAATTGACAGAGATGGCAAAAATGAATAGTTAGGGATGAACAATATTTAGAATAAAATATTTGTCAACATTTTAATGCAATAAGCATGTATTTTAGGAAACAAAAATTCCAATTTCATATTTATACACTTAGTATGTATATATGTACATAAATTTAATTATTTTTTGTCCTACCTAACTATTTCTGTGATGTATAAGTTTGTAGGATATCTAACAAAAATTAAGCAGCCACATAGAAATAAAAATATAAAAACTGCTTCTTTGACACTTAATACAGTACTGGTAAAGGGGACTCGTCCGGCAAGTGGGGCCTATTGGTCCATTTTGCCAAAAAATATTTTTTCCGACTTACTTAAATACACACGAAACTGTTTAACAACTATTAGAAAAAGAGAGAAAATAACAATAAATTATTTTTCTGGTATTTATGAAGACACATTAATAAATATATCTGATATATTATATATGTAAAATTAAAAATGAATTACCTTTACGGTGGGAGTGAAGAGGAATGGTGGCAAATAGACTGGCTGGCACGTGAGGACCTGAGGCTTCCGTACGATGTGAGGGAACAACGGTAACAAGTTAGCACCATCTTCTCCCGCACATTCTCCCTGCTGAATAAAGCACACAAATCAATATTTATTTCGAATAGACATTAAAATAAGTTATGTGTAAAACAGTTAGAATAGGACCTGATTAAATGATTAAGGAGACAATTTGGCTTAGAGAAGAAAGAAACAATATTTTAAGTTGTTCCAATAGGTTAGATCTCTATCTATCTTATATTTTTAGATAATTATAGACCAAAAAATTCAAAAACTTAACCTCCTTTAAAAATTTGAGGTTTCACGTTTCAGGATGCATAGAATTCGAAAAACGAATAAAAATTTTTTTGTCCGAGCGCCGTCCGCGTTTAATTTTTTTCTCCGAAACTACTGGACCGATTTTTTTCAAATTTGGATATAAAATCAGAGGTCACCCAAGGATGATCCTCCTTCATCGACATTACTATCCGCCTTTTACTTTCAAAATGGCAGTCAAAAAACCTGCGTTGCTATAGACTGTAGCTTCTAAACGAATGTACAGATTTTAATGAAACTTCGCTAAAGTCATTTTCTCTACACCCTTTAAATTTATCTATATAACATACATCAACGAAAAGAAGCTGGAAAATAAGCTACGAGGGATGGTAAAATTAAATTCCGAATAACTGGAAAAGTTTATACTTTTTTGTCAATATTGTATATGTTTTTTTTAAAGTTTACGAAATTTCCTAATAAAAAAAAAATCGTTAAAATCGGACAATTAGGAGCAAAGATATGATCTCCGGTTTTTTTTATATGTTCTACTCCAAATGTTAGTTCCTTGGTTTGGTTTTTAAATTTTGAATGTGTTACTGAAGTAATGCTATTTTTTTTTTTTTTTTTTTAGCATATTACTCATAATTAAAAAAAAAGTTTAGTCCAATAATTTGAATCACCTTTTGTTTATTTTTCTTTGTAACTCGGAAGGTAATGTTACTTTAGATGTATAATTGTTTGGAAATAATAAACCATTGTGAAATAATTTGCAGCGTTTTTATTTTCTCTATAGATTACTGAAATAATCTTATCCATTCTAAGGGAATGTACTTGCGTATTTACAATAATACCTAATATTATTAAGGAAATTGATGCAAATGAATATTTAAAATTGGTGTAGCAGTCAGATGACATCCTCAACACATTATTGCTCCTGAGAAGTAGATTTCGTCCCATGTACCGGTGAATATCAACGCCTGTAAGAGTCTTCAATTTTGTTTGAAGATGTAAGGCACTCAGTTATTACACCAACTTTAAATATTCTGTAATATACACCTTTATTGGAAGTTGTTAATAAATTTGATAGTTTAATAAAAGTTGATAGTTTAATAAATTGATATAAAAATTAAAAGGCAATTTAATTTAGGGAAGTTTTCTACTAGAGCAGGAAAAAGAAAATGGCTTCTCTGTCGTTTCCCAAGAAGGAAAATCCCAAAGAGGAGAGGGACAAAGGTTTTTGTTTTGGCAAGCAGTTGTTGTGTGGCATTAGTGTAGAGAGGATGGGAGAACAGATCCTGGCTTCAGTGGGTAAAACTCAGAAATAGTATTACCATCTTGGAAGTTGTTGTTTGGCAAAACATCAGAAAGCGTTTGAGAACAAATGAATTTAGTGCAACACAGGAAGAAATAGTATCTATAGAAAAAAGGTTAGCTTGCCAATTCATAATCGACTTTATTTTAAAATCAGTGTTTAATTTGAGTATAGTGTAAATAATAATAGTTTGTCTGAGTTGATCTGATTGTCAGTAACTCACACCTGAGATAAATAAATATATTAATACTCTTATAATTTTGTTTATTATTTAATAACCTCTTATTTATTTAGGAAGTATCCCAATGGTAGAAAGTGATCTTGTGAGGTTATATTATTATTATTTTAAAATATAAGAGGCATTTCATAGACATCAATTCTACTAAAAAATCTATCAATCTGTTTAAATAGATACGCAATTACATTCCCTTACAGAGGATAGGGTTATTTCAGTACTTTTTTCATTTTTTAGTATAAAATACAAAAATAAGCAGCACTATAAAGACAATTTCTCTTAATCTTGATAAAAAAATGACTGAATTAAATAAACAAGAGTTGATAAATTAAAATAAGTAATAACCTTAGCTTTCTTGGACCTGATGATGCGATGCTCGATCGTCTCGGGCATACTTTCTATCCTAACAGTCGAATGGGAAAACACTTGATTGGAATAAGTCGTGAAAACAAGATCACTTGGGTAGCTTCTGTCTTCGATAATTCCAACTAGTTTACTTCTTGCTTCTTGCATTCTCGCTATAATATTGTGCCACCTTTAAAGAACATATAATGATTAAGAGATATTGATACTATTCATTCCACTTATGACAGAATATATGTAAGAAATAAGAATTAAAGGTAATTAAGATTATGTATCAATTAATTGATTAATATAACTAAAAAGGTTTCTTAATTTCCTTTAATATTTTTAGCTTTTCAGAATTTTGGAATATGTTTTACTAGCGTCAATAATAACTTTTCTACTTTATAAATAATTTTTTTTCCATTTTAAGAGGTTCTCCATTTTAAACTAAAATAATAAACAATCTGATTGCTAAAATAAACAGGGAACATGAGATGAAAGGTTAATAAAGGTCCAATTCAATGATGCCAACTGGTCCTTGAACTGAGATCAAGTAATAGTTAATTAACTATAATCGTACAACACGATGACGTGAACTTAGTTCGAATTTGAACCAAGCTCCATTTAATTCTATTTTGAACTCCAATTGTACAACTAGACTTTTAAATTAAAATTAATTACCTGTAATGAATTCCAAAGAACATTAGCTTGTAAAGTTCCCCAATGGATATCCTCAAGATTCGAGTGAATGAGAATGAATTATCCCTCTCGTATTCATCCTCTACATAAAAAAAAATAAAAATACATTAATTGACAATAATTTTATCATTAAATTTATTATAAAAACCTTTTTTTTATCCATTAATAGCTATATAATAAATAATAAACCACTCACATTTAGCTAAAAACCAACGATAACAAATTTACAATGAACAAACAAGTTCATTGAAATGGTTATAATAGGACATAACTAATCTTTATTTATACATAATCATTTTATATAATTGGTACAATATCGAACATTTTACATATTGCAATACACAATACTGGAGACTTTACCAAAATATTATAATTTTTTATAATATATAGGCCATCTTCATCAGACTAGTCAAATTAAGGTTCCGAAATCTGTACATTTCCAAATTCATTATTACTACTTACTACATTACATCACTAGCCAACAGTTGCTGCTGAAATCTTACTTCAACCATATATAAAACCTCATATATTTTCTAATGGATTAATTAATAAAACTAATTATGTTTTGTTAATTGACAAGAACAGGCTTTTCACTTACCGCTAAATAAAGATTTATGGGAATGAATGGGATTAAATGGTGATAAATGGTTCTTGAGGAGGTGAAGTTTATCACCAGGGAACAGCGCGTCCGTGATGAGTGCAGGGACAACGTAATCTTCTGTAGTCATCGCAAAAGGAGATCGTGGTTCCCTTCGCTCAAACAATTCTGGGTGATTACAGACCTGTTTGAACAGAAATCATTAGAAGAATGAAACAAATTTAATAAGCTTATCAAGAGATATACACAGCAGTGCAAAAGAATAGTCTGCAATAAATGAAACTTCCAGAGATTAACATGATTTTTTAAAAATGTATTTATAAGAATTCTAACCCAATCGTAGTTAAAAATAAAATGCACAGATCACTCCCGAAAGGGACAGTCAGGAATGGAAGGAACTTAGCTACCGTTGCCTTTGATTGGTGAGTTTGTCGCAGTACCCAGTCTCCCTGGCAATGGCACCATGAGGCATGTAATACCACTCCTATTTTCACTATTCATAAACCAGGTTTAGCCAAAGGAAGAGAAACACTAGTGAAAGTGATAAGATAGAATAAAATTTTCATGAGCTTAGATGAAGGATATCGCCTATCCGATGTAACTTCTGTAAATGAGTTATTTTCTTATTTATTCTATTTTTAACTATTGGGTTGTATGGAAAATAATGCAGGATTTTGGGTTTTCTTTAAAATATCCCTTCTATATAATAAACTTTTTACATTTACTGGATCATGGGTGTCAACACCTATTAATCCTCTTCCAAACGATAATATTTGTTTATATCTGTAGCATTTCATTACTTAGAAATAATTCAGTCTTTACTAATATGTCAACGCATGATTTTCGTATAATTTTGTTTTACTAGTTTAAACTCGGCCGGAATAGAGCACAGACGGCCAGAAACATCAATCAAGTCTGGGGCGATAGCAGCATTAATGAATGCACTGTTTAACAGTGGTTCAAAAAATTTCAGGAGGGTGAATTCAGCCTTGAAGTGAAGAAGGTCGTGGAAGGATTTCCTCTCTAGATGACGATGTTCTGCGGGCTTTGGTGGAAGAAAACCCCGAACAACTGTTTGAGAACTTGCAAAGGAAACTTAACCTTAGCAAATTGACCATCGATGACCAACTCAAGGAGATTGAAAGGGTAAAAAAGCATGTAAGTTGGGTTCCACACACATTAAACTACCACCGATAAAAACTAGCATTATGAAATTTGTACACTTCTTTGCCGAAACAGAAACAATTTTGTTTTTCTGTCCAGAATTGTTCCTTGAAAATTGGATACTTCACCATAACAGTAGAGGTTCTGCACAGTGGCTTGACAAAGGAGAAACAGCAGAACATTTTCCAAAGCCCTAACTCATCAAAAAAAGGCTATGGTTACTGTTTGGTGGGCTTCATTTAGTTTGATACACTATAGCTTCTTAAATCCTGGAGAAACCATCAATGCCGATTCATAATGCAACCAAATTAATGAAATGCATCAGAAATAGGCAATAATGAAGCCATCATTAGTCAATCGGAAGGGGCCAATTTTCTTGCATGACAACGCCCGACTACATGTCTCACGTATGACGTCACAAAAACAGTTAGAGCTTGGATATGAAATTCTGCCACATCCACTCTACTCTCCGGACCTCCCGTCTACAGATTATCATTTTTTTAGACACCTGGACCACTGCTTACGTTACAAAAAATTTAATGGACCAAGGGAATTAGAAAATGCAGCTTACAAAAATATCCCCTACACAAATATATTACACAAGTATATTACAAGAAGTATATAAGACCTGCCACCCTGCCCCCAAAATTACAGGAAATTCATAAATGTAAATTTAAAAAAAAAATTGTTATAACTATCATAAAACCTTTATATATTTCAATATTAACCTTTCTTTATGTGGCACCCTGTAATCATAAATATGTAAAAAAAAATAAACATCTAATTAGTTGGCTAAATTTTAAAATGATTCCAATTCCTTTTAAAAATGTTGATACTTAAAACAGACCTTTCGAAACTGCATCACGAGGTTCATCAAATTTGAAGTGATACTCTGCGCTGATTGGTACGAGGATCCAGAAGAGTGTAATAGATCTTCAATTCGAATTTTCTTCTTTACAGCTTAAAAAACAATAATAAATTAAAATAGGCAAAAAGAAAAAAAAAAAAAAAATGTAAAGATAATAAAGGACACTTGTATATGAATTTATGTAGCATGAGGCTTAGGAATATCCTTGATGTTTCCCTAAAGTTATATGAATCCTAAACATGTTATGCAAACCCAAAATGAAGTAAAATTCAAAGATTTTTCAATGGGAAATTGACTATAACTTGAATTAGAGCCTGTTATAAATTGTGTTAATTTCATTAACCTTTTTTAAAATTTCATTTAATTTCAAATTAATGAGTGCATACGGAAGGTTATTATGAGATTTTCAACTCATATTTACTACTTTTATTTTAATTGAAATGTGAGATAAAAGAATGCAGAAGAATCCAGAAAATGTAGGACAACAGATGATAATAATCTCTTATCCGTAATTACCGAAAATTCGATGAATTTCAAACTTAATAATCATCTTTATTTCGTTTTTTTTTTTTAAGTCTTTATAAACTTACGATTGCCTTACGTTGGGTAATAACCAGTGTTCAAATAAAAAAATGTATTAAGAGTGCTGGTGAACATTGGTTTCAACTTACTGTTGGTAGTAACACTTAAACAGGTAACTATATAGGAATCGTTCATTCAAGATTTATGTTGAATGTTTAGCAAAAGTTGCCTGAACATCCCTAACAGAATTAAAATTTGTTACAAGTTAAAAAAAAAAAAACCAATCACATGCATAAAAAAAGTTTCTTGTATAAACATAACCAAACATGTTTATATATAACACTATAAATACATTTCTTATTATTTATTTGTATTCAATGAGTCTCTATCGTTGATAAGACCTGGCAAATTTGTGCCTACGCTAATGACCAGATGATTGCTGCCCAAAGTGAAAAGGCATTTAAAGAGACATTTGAGATAATATACGAAAGTACAACGAAGTAGGGCTTGTGGTCAATAAAAACAAAACTAAATACCTAATATTGTCTTCGGCAGCAAGTAGAAGATCCTGCAGAGAAATCAAAATAAGGAATTTTAGGTTTGAAAATTTTTGAATCTTGGTTCTGCTCTAAATAATGAAAATTAAATCAGTAGAAAAATCAACAACAGAATAATGGCTGGTAATAAAGCCTAATATGCAAACCTTTAACTTCTTAAGACTCCTATTGTTGTCAATAGCTACAAAATTAAAGCCGTATAAAATGCTTATTAGACCGGTAACCACCTATGCAGCATAAACCTGGTGTTTGTCGCAAGAGGATTGCTGTAAAATAAAAGTATTTGAAAGATAAAATAATAATAAGAATTTATGGTGCTACAAGTGTTAATGGTGAGTATAAAATCATAAGCAACAATGAAATCAAGGCTATATTAGAAAATCAAAACAAAACTAAATATATCAAGGCAAGTAGGCTGAGATGGGTGACATGTGGTCGGAATGGAGAATCAACGGGTACAGAAGAAAATACTGGAAGCGCACTGCACTGGAGAGGAAAGAGAAGGCGAGAGCAGGGAAGCTGAGTGGAGAGATAAGAGGAAGTTAGGAGTCCGCAATTGGAAGAGAGAAGTGGAGAAGAATAACGCAGGAGGCCAAGGGTGGGTCATGCTGGCCTGTAGCGCCAGGGATTTAGTTATTCAGTGAATCTTTTGATCTAGCTTTTGAAAACCCTTAAAATTTCAATAAAAAGAAAGATGTTATTTAACAATGTAGCCAACAAGCCTGGCAACATATATTTTTCAAATGTTGATTTATAATATTTATGACAATTAAAAAAAAAGCAAATTAATACAATAATTGAGTCGTTTATCTCTAAAGCGAACCTTAATTTATTTTTATTGAAATAGAGATAAGTATCGATCCCGATGTAAAAATACTTAATGTTTCTGATGGTGCAATTATTTTTTTCAATAACGAACCTAAATATTAAAAAAAGTGAAGTAAAAATAATTTATAAAATAAATATTCTTTTTCAAAGAATGCAATCAATAATATGCATTTCTTAAGTATCAATTGATGATCGTTAATTCCGAAAAGATGGAATTCCAACTTTTTACCCTCTCTACCAAATCACACGAGATCAATTTGAACCATAATAACGAAGAGCTCAAACGCACAGAAGAAGCTACATATCTTGGAGTGAAATTGGATAAAAGACTCTCTTGGAATAAACACATTGAAAAACAAATAGAACAGGCTTCAAAACGACTTTCGTTAATACAGAGGTTAGGTGGTTCAAAATGGGGAGCAACGGGGGATGTTATGGCTCTTACCTACAAAACATATGTCCGCCAATATGGAACAGAACTTGTTATCACTGCTTCGGACGCGATATTACACAAGCTCGACATAATCCAAAATCAAGCCCTTAGACTCGTGACAGGAGAGAGCAGATCAACCCCAATATCTGCGCTAGAATTACAAACAGGCATAGTACCTCTTGAGACACACCGGGAGCAACTGGCCATTACGTTCTATGAAAGGCTAAAACGTCTTAAGATCAACTACTGGAGTACCTATGAACCCGCACCTGAACGCCTTAAAACTCAAATTACTTTTACTAAGGCAGTGGAAGATTTGATAGAAAGAAAAGGACTAGAATTAGCTGAAAGGGAGCCAATCCCGTCATTGACACAAGTTCCATTCACCAGCCAATTTGTTGTTCACTGTGAACTTCTTCAGAATGTTTCTAAGGATACAACACCAATTTACGAACAAAGAAAGGCTATAACCCTAGAAACCATCGGAAAACGATTTCCAGAGACAGAATGGCTCCATGTATATACAGATGGTTCTGCACTGGAAGCACGCAAACATACCGGAGCTGGTGTTTATTCAAAGGAGTTTCAACTTGCCGCCCCGGTCGGAAAGGTAGCCACAAACTTTGAAGGGGAAGTGAAAGCCATTCTCTTAGGCCTTGAGATGTTAACTGAACGGAAAGACAAGAAAGTGGCTTTCTTTGTTGACTCACAGGCAGCCATTTTGTCCCTAAAAAATGGATATAGTATAAATCCAAATGTTCCTAAATGCCATCAATATTTGAACCAATTAAAGGAAAATGGGACAGAAGTCGCTTTCCAGTGGATACCAGGCCATTGCGGGCTCCACGGAAATGATGAAGCTGATAAACTGGCCAGAATAGGTTCTGGAATGATCCAACCCGATATTCCTCTGACCATGGATTCAACAAAAAGAATCATAAAGCAGACCCTCCAAAGTTCACTGAAAGCGAAATATGTACAAACAATTGAAGGGAAACGATGGAGTGGATTGCTGGAAGAAAGTGGCAGGATTCCTAGAGACCTCCCTAGAGGGCAAGCCGTGGCATGCTTTAGAATGCTGACAGGCCACGATTTCCTTCAGAAGCACCTCCACCGCATCGGTGTAAAAGATAGCCCGACATGCCCTCTATGTTCCTTAGACATAATGACAGGAGAACATCTGGATACATGCCCTGCATTACAGGACATAAGATGTTGCTTTAATGAAATGGACAGCTATTATACTCGGAGAGCAAATTGTATTGGACTGCAAGAGCACGCATGGCTAACGAAGCAGGCGTTACTTAGGCGTAGGAAAAAAAAAAAAAAAAGTATCATTTGAAAAAAAAAATCAACAGCTGTTTTAATAGATTTATTGAAATGAAAATTAAAGTTTTTTTTATTGCACCATTATCATATACAAAAAGTTTATTTTTTTTATAGTACAATTTTTATAACTTTTTCTTCCAGATTCGTACACCATTTTTTTTATTACAAAACATATCCCATCCCATACAATCTTTTTTTGTTCAAAAACAGGGCCTTGGAAGTTACTTTAATTTTTAAAAAAATATTGGTATTGATAACACAATTGAAACAGAAAATATATTTCTTAGATTCTTCTGAAAAACTGTTAACATTAATTAAGATTCATATTGGAAACAAATGACTGTAGTAGACATCCCCCTGTATTTACTCCTTTAGACGACATTGTGTGAGGGAATGAGAAGGAATATATAATATATAGGAATGTGAGGTTGCACTGTGAATTGTACTCAATTGTGCAGTGGACAAATTGCTCATTGGAAAATCTCATATCGATAAACAATCGAAAGAAGAAGAAAAGGTCCGATCAGGTAGCTGGGAACAGATGGCGAAGACAACGCCAAACACTTGAGGCCTGGACACCAACACAAGAAGACGTCATCTGGGAAGAGAGTCTTACTACATTGAAGACCAAGATTATCAAGCCGACCGTTCACTTATATATATTCATTTATTATCAGTTGTTAAAATAAATTTGTTTTGTTAGACAGGAGTGAATAGTCATTTTATTTAGTTGTCCTATAGGCCTCACAATTGAAGAATAAACCAGGTGAGTCAATTCATTCAAAGTGTTTACTAAGTCCCACATTTCAAATATATATTCTTATTGTTTCTTCTCACTCAATGTCACAAAAGGTATTAGATTCCCGAATTCCCAACGACAGTTAAACACCCTCAAAAAAGTCTATATCCAGTGTCAGGGTTTTGTTTTAATAATTCACGAGTGTAAATAACCTAAAGCCCCTATATAAAAGCGGAAGGTTATTCGCTATTCCCGCCAAAACTAATTATTTACAATTTACTTTCAGTAGGTTATTTACATGACTCAATGGGAAAATATAATAAATAAAAAAATCAAATGTATTAAAGGAATTCTTGATTTTTTCTCATTTTCTAGACTCTGAAATAATTATTTGTAAAAGTAACAAGATATGGAAACAAAATCAAACAGTCCATTTGACAAATAAGTTTTAGTAGATTTTTATACCTGAATATAACATCTTCTGCCTCGTCGTCAGGGGACAATAAACCATGATCTCTATTTTATCGGATAGTTCATTCTCAACGTCTGTTTTCACTCTCCGCAACATGAACGGTTTCAGGATCATATGCAACCGGGACAAATGTTCTATAACAAAGAGTGTTCAAAACAATAAATATAAAATTTAAAACAAAATGTCTATCGGCTATTGGAATAAATACATATTTTACGCACTTTCGTCAATGCTGGTTTTGTGCTCTGCATGACTTTCGATATCTTTAGAAAACCATTCATTGAATTCATCGTGCGAATCGAACATGGAAGGCATTATAAAATGAAGAAGAGCCCAAAGTTCAGCCATCGAGTTTTGTATGGGCGTTCCACTGAGAAGTAATCTATTGCGGCAATTGAAACCAAGGAGTAATTTCCAACGCATACTAAAAAAAAAATAATAATAATAATAATAATAATTAATGTACACATTGATTTTTGAAAAATAAATATTAATCAGATCTTCTACAATTATCCCCACATATATTATTACAGTAAGGCTCGAAATAGGTTTTGTACCAAATATAAGCTCCTGTCATGCTCAAATACCATGAATGGAGTACCGTTGGATTCAGAATTTCACGGGGGGTTAGCGAATCGTATTCTCCACTTTTGTTTTTCTTTCTAAAATAGATAAAGTCTATACAAACATTCTGCTAGGCTTCAATACTGGAACCGTGGTAGGTCTGTAGATCGATACGGGACAAATTGGATCTTGAAGATTTTGATGCGTGCAGCAAGACCCGGATAGTTCCTCCGGAACTATCGGATCCTGCGTTTTTAAGACCAAAAATGTACTATTTTCGAGATAACGCAAGGCATAGGGTTCACATCCACACAACCTTACATTAATTGTAGTACTTTCATTGAATACATGTCTTATTTCGTCGACTTGAGGTCTTTATGATCGAGAGAGGAGGAGTTTATATTGTTTATCAATGGTGTTTTTGATCGGCAAGCCATATCATCGTTAATTTTTCACCAAATCTCAAGATTGAGCCACCAATTTCGAAGGCTTCCTTCTCCTTCAGGCGGGCAAAATAGTCCAATCACCCAGAAAATTCAGGCAAACAAGTATAAAAGATTACTATATTCCCTACAAAAGGAAAAAAAAAAATCATCGAAATCGGACAATTTTTAGCAAAGATACAGCTTACTGAAATTTGTAAACATGTTGGTTCTAAACAAAAATGAAGATTTAAATTAATTTTTGTTTCCTTTGTTGATTATATTTATCGATAAAGTAACATTTATGTCTTTACCTTTTGATACGTTGAATTATTTTCTTTTCTTATTAATTTGTAACTTATTACGGGCCTACTAGTATTGAAATAATTTTTCAGCTGTAAAATTTACTTTGAAGCAATAGTCTACACTATTTAAAGTATTATTATTATTTATTTTTTCAATTCTCGGCTTTATGTCGGATAAATTCACTGACCCGGACCGAGGTCAAGGGTACAGTTTATTGAATTACCGCTTTCTGGATTTCTTGTAGTTTCCAGCTTAATCCAAGTACCTTCATTGATTTTAGAGTCTTATCAGGAATCAGGCCATTGCTGGATACAATAATGGGTAGTACTTTTACTTTCACCAACCGGTATAACTGCCTTAATTCCTCGCATAGCTCTTGATACTCCCGAATTTTTTCACTTCATGTTTTAGCTACATTATCATTCAGCAGGAACTCCAATTTCGATAATGATGGCTTACTTTGTTTCTTTGTCAACGAGCAGTATATCTGGTCTATTATGGAGAATAATATGGTCAGTTATCATAGTTTGATCCCAGTATAGCTTGACATTCCCTTTTCCTAATATAGCCTATGGCTGATATCTATAAAAAGATTGATGGCCTGTTATTAATTTATATTTTTGTACCAGAACCTGATGCACGATTTTTGCCTAATTATTATTATTTATAATATAGAAGTAAGATTTCTTTTTTAGCTCTGAGGAGCAATGAATTCAGATGAATAAGGTGTCAAAATTATGATAATTTCAAGGCGAAGTGATAAATCCTGATTTTTAAATAAAATACCTTACTACAACAATAAGTCATTGAAAAAATTAAGAGGTTTCAAAACTCAGACGGGTTCTAAAGACGACGGATTGAGGTAGGACAAATAAAAAATTGTGTTTTAAAGATTTTAAAAAGGACATCACAACTCAGTATAGTTTCATAGGAACTATACAGAACCCTGTATGTTATTTAATAATGAAAGTTTAAAAAGTGCACAATTAAACGAAGAGAAGAGAAGGTATGTGCCATCTGAGAAAGACAGGCTTACCTCGTAGTGCTTTTGATAGCCTGAGCTTCGTCTAGGATCAAATACTGCCATTTTATCCTGTTGAAGTACTTTATATCTGTTATCACAAGTTGGTAACTTGTAATCACTACATGGAAACTAGCGTCTTTTGTATGTAGTCCTTTTTGATCCCAAAATTGGCGCAATATTTTTCTTTCCTGTAACATAATGGTTCTCTATTATTAGTTTTACTAATTACAAATTAGTACAGTAAAATTAACACATGGCACCTAATCATAAAAAAAACCATTACTTTAAGAAAATAATCATAATTACTTTAATAAATGGTAAAAAGTCCTAGAATTTTAATATCGGGATTTGATATTAGGGAGGGAGAGATGAATGGAAAACAGATTTCTTTTAATTTTCTCGTGAATATCTTAAAAATGATGAGTTTTATCATAAGTATGATGTGTTTTATAATAATAATAAATAATAAAAGGCTTAGCGAACCCGAAGGTTCGATGCCGACACCACCAATCGCCCACTACACATCTCCCTCCACCGTTCGCCGTCCAAACCCAGTCCCTTCAGATCGGCTTTAATGCAATCTTCCCACCTTCGCTTCGGTCTATCCCTCGGACGCTTACCATTCGGCACCGCACATATTAACCTTTTAGGAATTCTCTCGTTACTAAGCCCAACAACTTAACAAGCCCATTTGATTAGCCGCGATGAAATTACCTCAATTATATTACCCGGATACAGTTCACGCCATTCGGCGTTGTGTAACCGTCTGAACTCTCCGGTTAACTCATCCTTCTTTGGTCCGAATATTCCATGCAATACTTTATTTTCAAAAACCTTAAGACGCTGCTCATCCCTTAATGTAAGCGGCCAAGTTTCGCATCCATAAAGAACTGTAGGCAAGATAATTGTTTTATAGATTCTAATTTTTAAGTTCCGGGACAAGAGGCGCGAACTAAGTAGTTTTGTCACAGAAAAATAACAAGCATTCCCGCCTTCAGTCTAACCTCAATCTCTTCTTCAATTTTGTTTTTTCTAGTTATCGCAGAACCTAGATACCTAAATTTCTCTACCTGTTCAAACATATTACCATCTATATCGATATCACCAGCAGTATCACCATTTTTGCAGCTAACCATATATTTTGTTTTATCCACGTTTATTTCGAGTCCTAGTTCTTTACCGGCTTTCATTAATTTTTATCATAAACTTTCAACATAACTTTCATCAACCGGCTTTCATCATAAACTCGAATGGGTTTATGATAAACTACCGCGGAAACTACATGAAAATAATTGTAGGTGACGCGAACGCAAAGGTAGGAAGGGAAGAAGTTTATATTCCGACGATTGGCTTTCATGATGTGTTTTAAATATTATATATCATAGGTCAGCAATCTTTTTATCATTAGAGGTCGCAGTAATACAGTATCATTATACAGTAATAATGGAGGACGCAATAATTTTTGATATTTTACTGTTGCTATTTTTATTTATCACACACATATATTCAAATTAATTCTAATAATTTTCAAATTTTTGTAACATAAATAATTAAATATTATTATTTTTATTAGCACTAGATCAATTTTTTTTTCTTCTTATACCTCTTGATTTAGACTTTTTGCCATAAGTCTTCTAGCAGCTTTTTGGGGGCTGTTATAAGTGATAGCAGTGATTGTTTGGTTCTCTTCATCAAGATATCCAGGGAGCACGTAGTTTACTAACCTGAGGCGATCACAATTCACTCCCTCTTCATCAGGTACTTTAGTGAAGGATGGATGGCAATCTTTTACAGCAGTAACCCAGTTCTTTATGGGATAGGAGATTATCAGCCCTATACCCCACCCCCAACCTAGAGGACCAGGAGCTAATGTCTTACACTACACAGGAATCGTTCACCTCCCTGTGAATCTCTGGGTGGAGACATAACCATCCTCATGCGGGAATCGAACCCGTGCTGTAGTTGTCGAAGCAAACGAGTAAGGCCTGCACTTATTAATTTAAATTTATTATTTGTATTTTATCTTCCCTAAATTAATAAATACTGTTCAAAAACATTTGGAGGATCGCAGCTAGTTCACGGAAGACACATGCGGCCTAGAGGCCACCGGTTCCCCACCTATGTTATAAGGTCCCAGGTTCGAATCCGGCTCATGACTAGTAATTTTTCATCAGCAGTGCATCAATCTTGAGGTAGTGAGATCCTCCTGGGGCACACCCAGCCTCTATAAAGTGGTGGGCACTCTTATTTAAATAATTAATTAAGGGGAAAAACCTTGCAGTTGAGCGTGATATCAGCCCAATCACCTCACTGAACAACCGTTGGCCTTGTAACAGTACTGTACAGTAATTATACTGCACCCAAGACCCTTCACGGGTTGTTAGTGGTACATATTTTTTTTTTTAGGTCTTTGATTCGATGTATAACTGACAAAAAATAACTTCATTTCAAAATTCATCATTGTCAAAAAAGAAACATCAGTACAATTACTTGATATCAGATTCAATTATAAAATATTGAAGGTAGTCAAATATTCAAATTATTTATTACTGTATGAGGAATCAGTTTAAGTACTATCACAAATATTTCGAAAAAATATACAAAAGCCAACCTGTTGATTTCCCCAATATGGCACAACTTTAAAGTCAGGTACAAAACGCTGCATTTCCTGCTGCCAATTGTGTAATGTAGAAGCTGGTGATATTATAAGAAATGGACCCCAAACAGCTGAAAAACAAAACAACAGAAAAAATAAATTTTACTAATTTTGACATTGAAAAAAAAAAAAAAAAACGTTGAAATTATAAGTATAAGAATTTATGTAAATTTAATAGATAGTTCTTAATTAATCAACAATGGTGAAAGTATCGTTGAAGGAAAAACTATCTTAAGGAGAAGCTGGTTGGGAAGGAGAGGGCGTAATTAAGAGATAAAGACACACACACACACATATATATATATATATATAATATATATATATATATATATATATAAAAATAATACAAAAGACGGGAAAAAAGACACATTTGGTTGTAAATTGGAAATATCAGTGATGTATTATTTCAAGTCAGTGTCTTTTTTCATACTGTTGATGAGAACTGTATTGTATTTATCCTGCATACATGTGATTTAGGATATTTCCTGATAATGCAAGCATTAGTGAAATGTTGATGGGTTAGTTCGTTTTACCTGCATTTTAAGGAATCGAGGCAATAAACCGAGGAAAGATACAGCTTATTATAATTTGTAAACATGGTTTAAAACATAAAGTGATAAAGTTATTTTTTTTTATCGTTGACCAATTACAATTACCAAGAAATAAAGAATTGATTCCTCCATCTTATGATACGTTGAATTATTTTATTTTGTTATTATTTGTTCACTGATCGATGTACCATGGGCAACTAGTTATAACAATAACTTGCATGGGCCAAGTAGTTATATTTTACGAAAATTTGCTAGAAAAAGAGCAAGTGTTATTTTTTCTCACTATGTATTATATATTAATAATCAAAGTATTTATTTTATTTTTTTATTAGTTCTGATAAACCAAATCACTCAAAGACAATATTTCGGATAATCAACACCAACATCCTATTGTATTTAAATTATTTTAAGAGTTCAATATTTTAAATTATATAATAATAATAATAATGCTTTATTTATTCTGGGACGAGTCCCTTTAGAATAATACAAAGAGACAAGAATGTGGGCTAAGGAGCCTCAGAGATACATAGAGAAGAATATAGTTTAATTAAATAGTCAAAAAAAAAAAAAAATAATAGATAAATGAAAAAATAATAATAAGAGAAATTATAAGTTACTTTCTAATTTACATCAGTTAATAATAAAAAGTAAAAAATTGAAAATAAACATGAAGTAAAAAAAATAAAGAACGATCTAATAATTTATATACATATTTACAGTAGTAACTATTTACAATTTTATGATGACTGGATGGATAAGAAATGATTAAACAGTTGGGATTTAAAGGTAGGAAAGGTTTTGGATTGACGGATGTGGGGAGGGATGGAGTTCCATAGGTAAGAGGATCGAATAATAAAAGATTTATCGAAAGCAGCGGTTCGGTGGGCCATTATATATAAGTCTGAAGAGGATTTAAATTGAAGGAGCTCGGCGTTGTATGAAGGACGGCGGGAGTGAATTATTTGGAAGAGGAAGGATGCCAGGAAATACTTACGGCGGTAGGAAGGATAAAGCCACTTCAACTCTTCATAGAAACAGGAAACAGGGGTGTCTCTTGGGATCCCGAAGATGAATCGTACAAAGCAATTTATCAAACGTTTTAGTTTAGCCTCGAGATCCCCAGAGACGCCTCCATATACCGTGCAGCAATAGTCGAAGTGGAGAAATATTAAGGAGGTGACCAGGAGCCTACGGATTTCAAAAGGAAAAAGGTGTCGCAGGCTATTCAAGTGTTTTAGGGTGGAAAAGGTACGTCGGGAGATATTGGACACATGGTTTTTCCAGGAAAGGGTTTGATCGAAGATTATTCCAAGGTTTTTGATGGTGGGATAAAATTTGATGGGATTATCATGTAGGAACAGGGTTGGAAAGTTAGGAACAGTTTTGAGGAGGTGATTGGAGCCTATTAGAATTGCCTTGGTCTTTTCTGCATTCAACTTCAGCTTGTTAGCTCCTGCCCAGTCATATATTCTATTTAAATCTTCTTGAAGCTTTCTTGTGGCGGCTAATAGGTCAGAAGGGGGGAAGGACAGGTATATTTGGAAATCGTCAGCATAGATGTGGTATTGGGAGTGATGGATCAGGAGGGGAAGGTCATTAATGTAAATAGCAAACAGAGTAGGAGACAAGGAGGAACCCTGAGGAACACCACAGGAGAGGGGAAGTGTCTTTGAAGGAGGTTGATCTGGGACAACTACATACTGGGATCGATCGGAAAGGAAGGATTTGAACCAACACAGGACACTGTTGAATAGAGGAAGATTTTGCAATTTGGTAAGAAGGATGTTATGGTCGACTGTATCAAACACTGGAGGTTTGGAGGTCATGGGTTATTTTAAGGAGGACAGATTGCGTTGAATAGCCAGATCGAAAGCCAGATTGGAATGGATTGATGAGGGAACGTTTTTCTAGAAAGTTGGAAAGTTGATTTTGGACTAGGGGTTCCAGTGGTTTTGAGAGGTTCGAAAGAAGAGAAATAGGATGGAAGTCGTTCTGTGAGGAGGGGTTAGATGTTTTACTCAAAGGTCGGACTAGTGCAGTTTTCCAGGAAGAGAGAAATACGGAATTTTGCAATGAAAAATTGTAGATATGATAAAGTACTGGAATAAGGGCAGGAAGGCTGGATTTTATTAGCTTTACTGGAATATTGTCAGGACCATAATCATTGGTGTGGGATTTGAGGGTAGTGAAAAGTACTTCGTCGTAGGACACATGGGAAAAAAAGAAGTTTTCGGGATTGAAATTGTGGTATTCAATATCATGAGTAGGAGAAGGATTAGAAGCAAAAGATAAGAAATGGTCATTAAGATCGTCTGGAGTCACAGGGAGGGAAATGAGGTTATAATAGTTAATTATACTAAAAGAATACAAGAAATAAAGATATTTACTCACAATATTTTTCAGCAATATGACACAGAAAGGCTATCGATTGGACTGTCTTCCCCAATCCCATTTCATCTGCCAAGATTCCGTTGATACCCTGATCAATAAATCATAAATTAAAATAAACAATGGTTTATAAATGATAGATATATCTAACTGAAACATGGAAAATAGGAGAATAATGGTGGAGAAATAGGTTGGGGTCGCAGCCAGTGATGTACACAAAATTTGTTTATTTTTTCTGTGCTGATGTTTCGGCCCGAGTGTTAGGCCTTCATAAAGGCTATGTAAGGATAAGAAAACAATGATACAATAATTTAGCGTCAATGAAGGTCTAAAACTGATAAAAAAAACCTTAAATGTCAGTACAAAATATTTTTTTCATCTACTTCACTGACTACAGTTCCCAACAAACTTCTATTACAAATATGAGAAAGTTGATATTTTCATTCAAATTGATTAAATATACTTTAGTGCTGATGAGATCAATCTAAATAAATTATTGTAGTACCAATATCTTTTAGAATATGTTGACATTTTAATTTTCATATCACCGTCATCTATATAATTAAGTATTAATTAATAACAGTTGTATCGTTTCTAAAAGATTTACAAAAACTCATGGACTCAGCACATTTTTTTCACCTCTACACGTAATAAGACAATGTAGTCACAATATAACACATAATATATATATATATATATAAAATATGATAGTTTACTCTACAAAATATTTTATACAGATTCTTGACAGAATGTATCTTCAATTTGATCGGTTTATATCAACAAATCTTTTTAAGAACACTGTATGCTTCAAAAAATTTTCAGAGAAAGCATAAGTAATTCAGCAAAAATAATATTTTCAGTTCTTTCTCCCTGTGGTAAATTATATACTGGATTCTCTCCAACCTGATCTCGATAAGACAATATACAGTTGTCTGGGTATGGCAGGGAGAGGAAAAAACTTCTCTTAAGTCAACTCCAAATTTCCAAAAGATTTTCTCAGATTTTTATTTATAGCGACTGGAAACAGTATTTATGGGAAGCTATGAATAATTATCTACAGTTTTCCACATCGAGATACTTTTCGATCACTGTTCTGTTCCTATAGTTCGTAGCATGGTTATATAAAGCCTACAGCCTTCCTCTGTAAACGTTACATCAAATACAAAAATAATTTTTCAAATCGGACTGAGAGTTTTTGAAATTAGAGTGTCCAAACAAACAATCTTTTCATTATTATAAAACAGTTTTGATTACCTGGTCATATAAATTGACAAGCCATGTCATTCCCTTTATTTGATATCCTTTGAGAGTTCCACGAAATATCTGCGGTTGAGGTTTATCTTCCCCTACGTCTCTGTCGCCTTCCATTTTCTGACTGACTCCAAACTCCCTCGCTCGAGCCTCTTCCAGAAAGAACACCTTTTCAACTTTCTTCCATACCTTTTCTTTCTCTGCCTCACTATCTCAATAAGTAAACAATTCAAACATTATATAAATAAACTTTATCATTAATAGTATAACACTAATGTTGTTTCCTTTATTTATGAAAATAGTTATACATTTCTAAATGAATTAACTAAATATTGCAAGAAGTCATTTTGAAAGAAGTACTCCAAAATATTAGGTCTAGAAATATAATACGCCAAAGCCTTAACCCACTAATTGCAGCGGTTTATTTGCTCCAATAAAATGTCATTCTGAAAACTCTCCTTTTCCTTCCATTTGATCAATTCCGCTGTATTCAGTTTACATTTATGGAAGTCCACAACAACTTATCAACTGCTTAATGGTCACTTTTGGTTTATTGCGAGTCAAGATCCAGGATTTTGGAGTAACTTTTAAGATAGTCCTTGTTCTGAGACCATAATGTTGATAAATTTTTTCTTGTCAATTTAATTAATTTTGAATTGACAAATTTAAAAAAAATAGTAATAATAATAATTGTACATGAATAATAAATAAATAAGTAAACGTTTACATTGGACAAAATTTCACTAAAAAAAAAAAATCAGAAGTGTCCATAGAGCTAGTTGAATTGATTATTTCAGAATTGATTATTCACATGACATTTAAACTATTTTGGGAATCACACAAAACATATTTTGTACTCAAGTTTCAATAGATAAAAGTCTACATAAAATATATACAGTAAACAATCAATCTTTACATTATTTATGTTGTATATTTTTTTGTTGTAAAATTTTTTTTTTCTCTTGCGAAAACCAGATATGTTCGGACTCGTAATTTTTGGTACCATTCTTAGGACTTGCTGATTTATTTAATATAATAATGGCTATCTCGAGAAATTTGAGAAAACGGACTTAGGTGATTCTTGCATCAAGGCTTTAAATTATAAAAGAATTTCAAAATTAATATCAGAAAAATTACCAATCATAGTCGTCTAAAGGTAGTAGCCTAGGATTTGCTTCCTCTTCAAGTTGGCTCAGGATTCGAAGTTGATCTTCGGTCGTTCCGCCGCCAAGCTTACGCGACATAAAGTGAGCGTAGAGTTCTGTTTGAGTAATGAGGAAATTTAATTTCCTTTGCTGCCTCTTAGCCTAAATAAATGAAAACTAGACTAAGTATCATTACTAAAATTATTTGAATTTAAAAGTAAACAAATTTAATGGCTAATTAAAAACTATTAATATAATTATTAACATAATAATGAGATATTGTTAACTATTTCAAGTGAGCAGGGTAGCTCAGTGGATGAGCACTGATTTCCAGAGCTCAAGGTCGCAGGTTTGAATCCTGCGGATGACTAGTAATTTTTCATAGTCATGGATCGACCTTGGGGTCGGGAGACCATCCTGGGCATACCCAACCTCTATAAAGAAGGTACTTTTAATTAAATGATTAATTAAGGAGGGAGGGGGGAAGGAAACCTGGTAGTTGAGTGTGATCATGTCCCCGATCATCTCCCAGCAGAACTGTTGGCCTTGAAACAGTACTTCCTAACAAAGTACTGAACCCATAACTCTCTACGGGTTGTAGTGCTACAGATTAATTATTTCAAATAAACCATACCAGAGGGACTTTGGAGGAAGCTATTTCGAAATCATTCAGCACTTAAGCCCAGTTAGGCAACTTCATTAAGGATGGACATATCTGACATTAAAAACCACTTCATTGTAATTTTATAAAAAGGCCATTTTACATTATTAAGTTTCTCGACTAAGGTACAGTCCTACAAATTACAGCTAAGCATTTTGGTTTTCAACAAACAGGGGGGAGACACACAGAAATTACAGACCCTTTTTTACAGTTAGGTTGTTTGAACAAAGTTGGGATTGTAATTAATATATTTTTTGCATACCTATATGCAAGGAAAGTAACCTAATTTGGATTCAAAGGACCTTAAAATGTGTTTACCATGTATATCTAAAATAGATAATGAAAGTAAAAATAAAAATAAATTAAATTTTAGTGGACCCAACCTCTAGTCTCAAGATAGCTAATAAAACAATTTTATGTTGTTGGCTTAGTTATATTTTATGAAAAGTAAGTATAGGTTATTGATCCTCCATCATAGTGATTTAAGGAGGGAGATTGCAGATTTGACATTGCCTAAGACCTTTAGAGCTTTATATAACAATATAATAAAGTTTAATTGAAATAAGTCAAAAGACAAAAAGAATTTAGACATGTCATTTCCTCTAAAAGATGTACTTTTAAACATTACCTCCATCAGTTCTACATCTAACTTCCTCTGTTCCTCGGCTTCTTTCTCCATTCTTCTTCTCGTCTCTCTTTCCACTCTTTCAAATCTTTTCCAGTATACTTGCATTTCACGTGTTAATCTCTTTGCTCTCCAGATGACTTCTTTCATATTCTTTTGGGACTGTGAAAATAAAAATAAGTGTTATCTTACGTGATAATTATTTATCTGATTAAATAAAACTAATTTAACTATGCATATGATGCAAACCATGGAGCAATTATTCTCAGATATAGTCACCATCTATATTTCAGAAAAACCTATTACGAAATAGGAATTCAAATGCAATGGCTAATATAATCACAACTTTAACCATTTTGAAATGAAATGACAACTTACTTGCATTGCACGTTGTCGACAGTGCCTCATACAATTAGTAGCAGCTCGCCTACATGCCGTTAAAATCTCCTTATGATTGCTTATCCTATAGCGCTGAACCTAAGAAACAAGAAATTCTGAAGTTTATATTGTAATATAATCAATATTTATAACTATATATAAAGGAAGTATAATAGTACACATATTTAGAAATGCTCAATTAGAAATTAATGGTGGTCGTTGGGAACAGGAGTTGATTGAAAAATTATAAATATGTATAAATCATACCACAAAGATGTTTAATTGAATGGAGAGTCAATCGAATGCTTTGTTATTCTACCAAACCTCAACTACTCCTAACAAACTACAAATCTCAAAAGGCCAGGTCCAAGAGATTTTAAAATATCAGTCACCATATTGGATTCGCAGGCTTTTGAAGATTGATCTGATTCCGATTCAACGACCTTGTAAAACTAGGAGTGTGAATGATTTAATCTTGGAATCAGATATATGGATTGATAAAATATTATGAATTTAATAATAATATGGCCGAAGGGTTTATTTGAATACATCCTTACTGAAATACTTATAAAACCTAATTTATTTCCTTCATTACCAAAATTAACCTATAAAAGAGATTGATATAAGTGCAAACCGGAGGCAGAGGAGGAGGCGGCTGATTGGGCTAATGTGTGTGCAAAACACATATTGCCCAGCAACCTGGTAAACAGGAAGTAATATGATAAAATAATTACAAGTTTGCGTCCCAGTTTCGGAGATGCTTTTAAATCTGGCATCAATCCCCTGGCCCGGGAGAACACCATATAGCCTAAAAAGTGAGGAAAAACAAAAAAAAAGTGCTCACCTATGGGTTAAAAGTATGGGCAACTACCAGATCATAGGAAAAAAAGACTTCAAACATTTGAAAAGGAATACGGAGTAAAATATTTGGAGGAATCAACATAAAAAGAAAAGAAAACTTTACGAAATGAATATGATGCCAACATAGTCCATTTATCGAGCTGGGGAGACTGTTCTTGTCACTTGCATGGTTAAGTGCGAGTTAACAAAAAAGTCATGACAGAGGAACTTCACCAAACCAGAAGAGTGGGATGAACCTGGAAAAGGTATCTGAAACTAGATGACTGCAGTAAAAGTCAGCTATCTTGATGACCCATTTAATGATGGTGGTCTAACATTGATATTCCTTCCGTTAGTGAAGATACATAGATTTATCTTCTGCGGATTTATGCCAAGCCCATTGTCCTGGGACCATCATTCAGAAGTCTCAGAGTGTTTAGAGCAATCCAGAGATTGTATCTTGAAATTTACCACTATCAGTACAGCTATATAGTCAGTGCATTCTTGAAGATAAAGTCCAGCCGCATTCAATTTAAGAATCACAGATTCGATGACCAGACACCACAACCTCCTGTAGACATCCTGCAATAGGTTTGACCCACAGTATGGATTGTCCCAGCTCACATTTAAGGTTTCTTCCTCTCAGAACCGAGTTAATCCATTCCGAAGTCAAGAGTCTGACCTCTCTATTATCCAATGCTCTAGCCATTATATCATAAGGGGTACAACCAAAGGCACCTTCAATATCAACAATGATATCTGCCATAATTTCTTTCCGCGATATACATTTCTCGATTATAGAGACCAAGTTATGCAACGCTGTCTCACAGGATTTGCTGGCTTGATAGGCAAATTGGGCACAGTGTAGCGGTCTTTCTACCAATGAAGAATTCCTAATCTTTTTCAGTGCTTTCAACAGGAAAGAAATCAGAAATATAGGTCTGTATGCTTTGGATTTGTCATAAGATTCTTTCTCAGGCTTAGCTATATAACAAATTAGGGATATATGCAAGTGCTAAACTACACCTAAATAACTTCAGAAGATAGGGTTTAATCAGAGGTAGGCCTTTTTGTAAAAGGATTGAGAAAATCTCATCAGTAATAACTGATTTGAACGGCACATCAGAGTGGAAATTAAAACATCCTATTTTTTGGGCTGGATGGATAATGATATTATAGTGATGATTTTCAGATTCGATGGTAAACATTTGTATAGATGATATGTACTGTAAAAATAATAACACATGCCAGAAACAAACAAAGACAATAATGAATGAATTATTACATACCTTTCCGATTTCTTTCTTTGCCATATTTGCCCAAATTTTGCGTCTACGGTGTGCCATAATCTCTGCAGCTTTGTTTTGAGCTGATTTTTTCCTATGGTTCATTTCCTTTTTCGACCTGCTCATTAGTTGTAAATCTGGTTCTTCTTTAATCTTTCTCTAGAGAAATCAATTTTAGCATTAAAAAAAAATATGATGAAGATAGGGGATAACAAACTTAAAAATATAAAATAAACTTACTTTCTTCCTTTCTACATTAAAATTTTCAGTTGGTTGATCTTGTTTTTTCAACTTTTCTTTCTTTTGAAAAACAAATTTCTTTTTCTTAACAAAACCAGAACTGGAACTTTGATGCTCAGGGTATTTATCAAAATTAGAGAGGAGTCCCGTGCCATAGTACATGTATTCCTGATTCTATAAATATATTGGTAATTAATAAAGGCAATGTAAAAGTGTGCACATATATTTAATATAATCATATAATTTTGAAATTTCATGGATTTAAAGGTTGGAAGATTTTTCTGATCAATTTATTTTAGTAAAATATTGGGCCATCAGATTACAATGAACTTCCTTATCAAAAGAATTCAGATTTCTTAAAGTATTCATATCCTAGCAGAATCTATAGACAGTTATGAATTTCTTTAGAACAAATTACTGTCCAAAATTGCATAATTATAGTAATAGAATAGAAGAATTATTAGGGTGATAAGTAAAAAAATACATAGTAAAAATAAATAAGTATATTTATTTAATTAAAAAAATAAATATAAACCCATTTATTTTTTGACTGATCACCCCAACTAATTTTCTCTTCAATCATTCACTACAATCAACCATAAATCCACAATTATAGTAATATTTTTTTCTTAAATTTATTAAAAATTACTTGAGTAATTCGAGTCAGAGGACAGTAATTGTGAACATCATATTTAATAAGTTGTCAATTTGATATTATAACTAAAAAATTAAAGTTAGTTTGGAGAAAATAATATGAGATTTTAACAATATTATTATTATATCTTTCAGTTATCATATCAGCAAGAAGACATTTATTTAAACAGAAAGTGGCCATTATTTTTCTTATAGTTTTCTTTGAGGTTTGATTTATGAAGTAATAACATTAGGGATAAAATTTTCTTACTTTTGGATTGTGGTAGAATCTTTTTTTATACTTGTTCCTAAGTACATGTTCACGTAGCATGTCTTGCAAATCCTCCTCTGTTACTTCTTCATCATCGGAGGAATCTGATGTGTCACTTAGTAGAACATCTACCAACCACTGCCTATCTAAGCTTACATTACTCAAGTTATAAAGCCTCTTCTTGTCAGCTATTCTATCTATATGAACGGTCAGTCACATATAAGTTAAAATAGTCAAAGAAATATTTAGTTATTAAACTGGAGGAGTGAAGGCAAGCTTACCTTCTTTAGTTGCAGTAATACCGTTCCATACCGTTTCTCCTGTATAAGCATCAACACCCGCTAATTCCGTGTCAGAATCGCTCGAGGCTTCTCCATCCTCACTAATAAACAATAATAATTAGGCTATTTCCGACTAAACTCATGGGGAATTAGTAAGATAAAATATTCATAAGATTACCCTAATGGTTGTTTTAAAAAGTCTTCAACATATGTCAGGAAAGGAGCTATGTCCAAACTCTTTTCTAACTTCTGATAATACAGAGGTTTAGCAATTTCTGTTTTAACTACCATGTTTGTTTTATCATCACTCATACTGCAACTAAAATTACATGCAAAATTAATTAAAACCACACTCACTTTATGGATCTTAATTTCTCAGAAGTACCATTTATTTAATGGTAACAGAAAATTTATAACTTACAAATGAATGTCATCAAAAGATATCTCTGCATCCCAGTTAGAATATATAACTAAACTGAAATGTAAAACTTATATATAACCATATTTAAAGTGGGTAGATAAACCTATTTAGCTTGTCACATTTTTAGTAAACCACACCCAAATTAATATCTACTTTTTTACATAAGCCTAATCAGAATATCAGCCAGTCCATACTAGTCGATTGTAAAAATGTGCTAGGGGTCAAATAAAAAAGGAAAGTGAAATTAGGTTAGTATATATTGAAAGACGCATCTCCTTTTCAGAGAATCTGAGAAATATTTCAGCCAGCTGGGTTGGCCAGGCAGAATTAAAGTTTGTTTCAAGTAGCCATTTTTAATGGTCCCTTCTCTGGACAACCTCGTACATTGAATGCTTTTTTGAAACAAATTGTTATGTATTTAGAATTTAAGTGAATGAAAATTTCATTATTTAAGTCTAATTACCAATTTTAAGGTAAGATAATAATTGTGGTAATATTAAATACTAAATATACTTTACTGTTAGTTTTGTTTACTTTCCCAATAACTTTTTTCAAAATAATACTCAAATATTTTTATTTAATTCATATTAATTTTGAAGTAATAATAAATATATTTTTTCGAAAAATCAATATTTATAAAGAGGCTTTTGGGTTCTAGATTATTTGTGGTAGGCGGAAGTTTGTTGATTGGTTTGCCCCCACCCCAAATTCTCTCTTTTCCAAGGGTCGCCATTGTGGGCTGAAGCAGTCAGTTTTTCGTCTGCATCTGTTTCGTTTCAGATTTAAAGTATAACATCTTGCGGAAAGTTAATTTTTTCGCTTTTTCTGTCAATTGTTTCCAGGTATGATTTTATTCTATTTTTAAGCTTTGATTTTTATTACAACAGTCGAAACAAATGCTAGTGACGCTATAACCGATCGAGGCACGTTTCTCGTTATTTTAGAAGATAGAGTAAGAACCTTATTTAAACGTTTGTTTGGTAATTTAAGATCTGTGTACTTGTAGTAGTAGTGTTCAATTCATAACATGTAGTTTAGTAGTTATTTATTTTGTTTTTTATGTATCTATGCTGAATCATGGCCGGCCTACGAGTATGTTTAAGTGTTACCAGATGTACTGGATGTGTAATTTACGGACTGACCTATTTTCCAATTATTTCGTATTCTGATATTAGCATTCAAATTAGTTTTTAAATTTAATTCAATTATCTTTATTTTAAGGTTAATCCAATTACCGCTGACGCGTGTGCGATCTTGCCGTAATGGCGCATCATTTACTTGATAAAAACGCGTTGTTTCTTTAATTTTAGTAACTACTTTTACTAACTACATAAAGTTTTTTGTTTATGTAGCATATTTTTCTTTTTCGAATACTTGTTTTATAATATTTCTAAACATCGGTTTTAAATTATTATATTTTAACTGAAGGGTAATATTTTTGTTTATTTTTTTCCTTCTATTTATAGGTGCATTTAGACAATTAACTAACTGGAATACACCATTATCCAACTAAGCTATATTATTGCTGGATTAAACTTATTTATATTTCTCAATACTGACTAGATATAAAACATTTCAAATTCAAGAAATGAAATTACTAGTCTAGTGAATTAACCTTTTACATATTTGTTTATTCCTTGGTTTTTTGAATGTCTAAACGCACCTTTTATTATTTTAGTAAGTTTAGGTTTACTTTCTAATTATTGCTTTGACTCTTGGTTTTTATCTCTTGAATGTCCTTGTTAAATAAATTATTCTATTTAAATGGTGTTATGTAAAGGTTCTTATGTTAAATTGGGGATATGTTTTTATTTATATCAGTTAGTTGGTTAAAGTAAAACTGAAATTTTTGCAATAATAAAAAATAAAATTATATATTTCGTCCAATTGTTCCGGAATTGATTATATATGCTTTTATTAATTGCCGGTTTGGTTAAGGCATTGGTTTATAGTTAATATAAATGTTTCCAAATAATCCGTTAATCATGTTAGCTTCCAACTTAACATGTCATTTATTTTTTTCCTTGTTTCCTCATTACTGTTGATAAGGCTTCTATCTACTTAAATTTAGAAATGGTTCATACTTTGAGCCATTTATATAGACTCCAACATGGACTACTGAATAGTTCCAGAGGTGTTTAATTAAAACTGTGATCCAAATATAGAAAAAAGAATTTAATTATTTTCTTGTTTGTTCTCTATTGGAAAAAAGAAAAATTTAAGGAGTATTCAGAACCACCAGAAGTTTTGATAATCCTCTAAAAATTTATTGTATTTGTTAAGTCCAATTTACTTAAGCGGGTATACAACATGTTTTTTTTATTAATTTATTTATACACAATTTTTTAATGGAATATTTGTTCTTTTAATGTTTAACAATGTTAACAATGATTTAAACTGATAACGAGCAGTAGCAAGTTAATAAAAGATGATATTAAAATAAGAAGGTTATGCAGTTAAAACTTCAACATTTTTCAAATCCCATTTATAGTATCGTCCTGTGATCTTGGTTCACACATCAAAGTGGAGGGACATATACGGGGTATAGTGTTACCTAATTGATAACAGCTTCAGAACTATTAAATGATAGTATGAAAGAGAACTCTATACTAATACCTAATTGGTACTACTAAGTTACCTAATTGGTAACTGCTTCAGAACTATTAAATGATAGTATGAAAGAGAACTCGCTGCTAATACCTAATTGGTAATACTAAGTTACCTAATTGGTAACTGCTTCAGAACTATTAAATGATACTTTAAAAGAGAACTCGCTACTAATACCTAATTGGTACTACTAAGTTACCTAATTGGTAACTGCTTCAGAACTATTAAATGTATTAAACAATAGTATGAAAGAGTTCTTGCTGTTTTTTTTTTTTTTTTCTGTGTTGGCTAAATTGATGGGTTGGATTGAACTTTAGGAAACTAAACTTTTAAATTTATTTTTCCGCTACTTGTCAACATTTTTAGTATTTTCTTATTCGGCTAAAAATTAAAAAAATTAACAACTAAATATATCTCTTGTTAATTATTTATCTCACAAGATTTGGAATCAGGCTTGTTAACAAAAAAAAATTAAAAAGAAGCACATTGGGGAGAAGTTCGCAGTTCATAAGACTCATTTTCGATAAGAAAAAAAATGGTAAAACCAATACTCCTTTACAAATTAAGGTTTTAATCAGTGAAAATTTATATGTATTAGAATTAGGTTCTAAAAAATGAAACTAGTACATACCTACATTTTTCAATTTATTTTGATATACCAAACTTTGTTATAACCTATCAGTGAATTTTTGTCTTTACATAAATTCTTTTTTTACTGTATAAATGATCTGTGTATCAGATACCTAAGGTTTTGTTATCATATGATTATTGGTAATACTATCAAAAAGAATTGCCTTCCACGAAATCATTCAGAGATCAATGAGACTTGAGCATTATTGCATTGTTTATTCTATAACAAGGTTTTAGAATTGTTTTTAGTTTCTGATTAGTTATATTTTATCATTAATTTTTTATTAAAATTCTGATATATTTTTATTAAGTTATTTCTCTTGATACACTGCATATCACTGTTTGTTATTTCTAAGTTACCTATTTGATTCTTATCATTATATTTATTAATTATTTTCAGTCAGTAAAATGGTTGGATCAAGAGTGTATGTTGGCGGCCTGCCATATGGTTGCAGGGAAAGGGATTTGGAAAAGTTTTTCAAGGGCTATGGCAGAACGAGGGACATTCTGCTAAAAAATGGATATGGTTTTATTGTAAGTTATTGTTTTAATATTATGTAATTTTTATTTCATTTTCTAATGGTATATTACATCTCACTTGAAACTGTTTATTGTCAATCATAATTTTAATATGAAATGTAAGTGTTATGTTTGATCAATCATCAAACATTTTGTTAATTGATATTATATTGAGTACAGTAATTTTATTTAGATTTTTTAATTTTATGCTAGTGGGAGTCCATCTCAAGGGCAGTTTTAATCCTAGTACGGGAACAAAAATTAAAAAGCTTTATATTTATTCCATTTAGTTTCAGTCAAAAACAAAAAACAGTTGTTTAAACTCAATTGAATACAAAGACATTAAAGATCACATAGTAATGTAATATTTTTGTGTTTATTTAATCATTCTTTATATTCTACTTTCTTTAGATTAAATTTTAATGTATTTTCTATTTTAAAAATTACGCAGTCATGTTTGCTCCTTAAATTTATCTCTTGTTTTTCAGTCTTTATGTTTTGTACACGCAGATAATGAATATAAGCACTTGCAGACAATTATTTAATAGATTTACTTGATATATGATAGTATTGTTTATCAGATTTTTTTCTACAATAGAAATTTCTTGAATGTTTATTACCTTTATTTGTTTTGTAGTTATAAACAAGTTCACCATTGTGTGGGCTTTCACATTAAAAACTGAAGACTTCTTCTTTTAATTTTTTTCTCTTTACTGATTGTAAATTGATTATATAAAGCACACATGGAACACCAGATATTCTTATGACAATTTAAATCTGTAAAATTCCTGTTGTAACTGTTAGACTGTTGCCCGTAGGAGTGGCTTGAATCAATGTTATAACATTTCTATTTTGACTTCAGTGCTAATCTTAAATCATATTACTATTTGGCTTTATTTATTTGACAGGAATTTGATGACTATAGAGATGCCGACGATGCAGTCTATGAACTGAATGGAAAAGAACTGCTTGGAGAGAGGTAATTAATTTACATTTTTAGTAAAGTAGTATTAAAAAAGTAATGTGGACTGACTCCTTTGTCTTGTTTATCAGATTAGCTCTATAGTGCATTCCTCCCTGAAATGTATCCCTCCGTTGACATGTTTTTTATATTACTATATATAAAATACATTTTTATTTTTTCTTAAATAAACCTCTTTTACTTGTGTTTCTTTTATTTTTTTTTAATCTTATCTGCATAAGTTATATCAAATATTATTATCACCTAAGTAACTTATGTTTTTTTTAATGTTTCATGTATTTCCCACCTTAGCTATATTTACTTTTTGTCACTTTTGTGGTTTTATCCTCTTTTTCTTAATTCCGTAATTAAAGCCTGTTACTCAGATCCAAATAACATCAGATATGAGGAGAAATTATTCATCATATGTTTTCTTTTCTGATTGATACTAACTTCCATGCACAGCGACATCTCCACAATTTTTTTTTTAAATTTCTTTATTGAGTATTACAACAATCTGTCTCTTGGACATTGGTTATAGTGAGATAGGATGACATTCACACTTATTGTTGTTTTTCAGGATTGTTGTTGAACATGCCAGAGGTAATGCAAGAAGAGTTGGTGGAGGAGGAGATCGATACGGCGGTGGTGGTGGCGGAGGCGGAGGTGGTAGACCACGCAGGTCTGGCGGTTGGTACAAGTAAGTAAAATTATATTACTTTGTTCTGTAAAGTGTACTGTTCCTGCATTCTATGTCTCTGTAATCTGTTAAGTTAACTTAATCATAAATTGCTACAATATGAACACCATGCATGTTTTAAATTAATTTTTTTTTTAAATATATGAATTTAATTTAGGAAATTTCTATATAATAAATAGAAATAAAAAAGATAACTTGTTATTTATTAAATTAACTTTGTTAAGTAACTCGTTGAGTCTTTTACTTTCTATAGATACAGGGAATGATAACATTGTGTAGTTTACACATACCAGTTATATCTTGCATAACTATTTACAAAATACTGGCATCTCTACCTCTGTTTAGTGAAAATTTGAATTTTATTAATTAAAAAATAGAAGAACAAAAATCAATTATTTTTTATCTCATTTAGCTGTAGTACATCTGCTGATTTTTAATCAAAGTAATTGATGCTTGTGGATTAAAAAATATAAGTAAAATACATTTTTTTTCTGTAATTTATAAAAGGCGAATTTTCATTATTTGGCCATTTGTGACTGTTTGCGAAATGATAAATTTTCTTCATGCGGTTGAATTAGTCCTAAATGAAAAGGTGTATTGTTTATTAATCATCCATCAAAATAAATTTACTAAATCATTAATTTTCTGGATAAAAAGTAAACTTTGGTTAAGTTGAAATTTGGCAGATGTAGTTATGATTATAAGAAAGAAAAAACAAAACAATATCTATAAAATGAGTTATGATTACATTATAAGGGAAATAAGAAGTTATATTTGTATTTTCTTTTTAATTTCTTTAAAATGCGTGTTCTGAAAATTCATGATTTGAAAAAAAAATTAATTAGAAGAGAAAACTGGAAATAAAGATACTAATTTTATGGGCGTTTACTCATGCATGATGTTATTTATTTTATGATAAGAATTACTCACTTTATTAAGATTTAAAACTGCACTCCTACTAAGCTCCTCTTGGACATAAATTGTACATATCAAGAAGTAAAGTGTGCTAGTTTCCTGTAACCTTCTGGTTTTTCCTTACAGATTTAGAATTGTTTTCTCAACCATGTAATTTCTTAATAGAAATTAAAATAAATACCAGCAGAGTTCCTTTTTTTAAATAAATAAATAACTACGTTTGTTAACTTGATTTTTGAATTCTGTGCTATTTTGTTATTCTCATGTCGTAATCGTTGTGTGATCCACTTTCATTCTGTTTATCTAATCTTTAACATGTGGTTGCAATAATTTATATGTTTTTTCCCCCTAAAGAACCTCCTTGCTATAATAACCATAGCTCTACTTTTTGGTTTGTACTATATAAATCATCAAATGTTCGTTTGTTCAATATGTGTTAATCATTGAGGTGTTTGATATACTAAGTCATGCTTCAAATGTTTAACAGCTTCTATTGTTATTAAATAATTAGGTTGTCAAATTTTTTTTTTTTATTAATAAAGTTTGGCTCTCTGACACTTTTTAAATCATGAGGTGCACCGCGCAATAGCAGCTGTACAGGAAGTCGATATAAACATTTTGCTAGGCTTCAATAGTGGAACGGTGGTAAGTCAGTTAATCGATACAGGACAAATAGGACTTAAAAGATTTTAAAAGCTGGATAGTCCCTTCGAAACTATCGGCCCTGCCTTTTTAAGCCCAAAAACGTACTATTTTCAAGATAACGCAAGACATAGGATTTGCAGAATTTAATTGTAATTGTAGTACTCTCATTGAATATACATGTCTCATTTCATCGTCTCGAGGCCTCTATGATTTATTGTAAGAAGAGCAATAACATACCTCTATACAAACACGTGTTGCCACCTTATCATCTCCTCTTTCCTCCCATAGACTGGTTCCAGTTTGTTTGCAGGTTCTTTTTGATCTTGTAATGAATTAAAGTTGTACATTTCATCATATTGAATCAGAATATTTAACAACTTTAAAATGTGATGAAATTATATAAATGTAATTTAACAGTGAAAGTATGTTTATGAAGTAACTAACGCCTAATAGACTGTAGCCAAATGATAGCAATGCTATGCCATCAGTTGTTAAGAGTACGAAGGTCTATGTATATAACAGCAAAATAATTGGTGTCCATATTGAAATATTTGTAGCGTATATAATATAGTTATTTGGTGACTGCCGTCAAGCCTAAATTATGCGCTATGTAAATAGTATTATACTTGTTGTAAATATTTTTATTTATATTGCACTGATACACCATTGTAAATATTTTTATTTATATTGCACTTATACACCATTGATGGCTATATCTTGCTATATATTAAAGTAACAAAAATCCTACTTATATCGACAGTTTATTATGGATTGTACGACTATTAATTATTAAACTGTTTCTTTCCATTGCAAAGTTGACTAAAATGGAAATACGAGATTTGCATTGTCTGTTATAGATAAGTCAAATGTCGCATTAATTGTAAGTTCGGATATCACAAAGGAAAAATTCATCAAATTATTCACTAACTTTATTTTATAAAAGTTTACATCATGATTTTTCTGAATAAAAGACGATAGACACCTAATTATTTAAATATAATCTTGGATATAGAGTTATTAAACTACAGTAAATGTATTTTTAAGGTTACATATCCATGAAGTATTTTTTTTTTTATATTTCACAAATACAATGAAATAATATTTTAAGCAATATTATTACCTTGATTCAGTGGATTTTAAATACTTATTCAAATATTTAAAATAAATTTTAACTCACATTTAGTAAGAAAATTCATTTAATTTCCTTAGAGAAACAAGTGATTTACGTTGAATAATGTTAGTTTTCAGAAATTATTATTTATATCATTTATTTTCATCAATCTCCATTACTTTCTACAACTAATTAGATATTATTTTTTCTAAAATTTTCTGGTTTCCAACAATGTATATAATTATGTATGCTTTTTGACTATTATTTCCGGAGACTTATTTTTGACCTAGATGTGCATCATTTTTTTTTCTCCTTTATTCTAAGATGAAATTCTTACAAAAGTTATATTTAGCCATTTTTACAGTCACTGTCAATAAGCAAGTTATTTAAAAAAAATATATAAAAAAATAGGTACTTAGTAGAAAGAAGACTTTTATGTATGTTCATTAGGCATTTAAACCCTCTAAAATGACATCAATGTGGATAACGCCTAGTTGATATTAAAAACAACTTAGTAATACACTGATATACTGAGTTTAATCGGAATTGTTAAAGCTATTTTCGAAAAAATCATAAAAAATGTGTATCACAGGTGACATTAAGTGCCACTTCCGGTTAGCCGATTTCAATGAAAAAGTTGTCATCGGAACCATATACAAACCTTAAATACGTAAAATTGGTCTCATACAACTTTTCGTATTTAAGCTAGACTGTTCACGCACACCATTTTGTGTGATATTTGGTTATTTGGACTCAAGAGACCTCGGAACGTGTCTTTTTTATTGACAACTCAGATTCAAAAATTATCATGATCGCAATACTTTCCCAAGTGAAAGTAAAAAATAAAGATTTAAGATGTAGAAGCAACAAGTAAATATTTTAAATAATAGATTGATCTGATTTTTTTTTATTAATAAAAGCTTATGCTCATTTAATGATTATCCATTTTAATTGTTAACAAATCAATATAAGTTATATCTCGTAGTAAATTGATATTTCCTTCTGTTAGTGCCAAATAATAATCGTGTTGTTTATTGCTTACCATTAAATTATTCCGCCTCTGCTCTCGATTGACAGGATATGTGTCGTTGTTTTGAGCTATAGTAGGATAGAGCGAGCCAGCTGATCTTGAGACAACAATGTCGATGTACTTATTTGGCTTGTTGTGTGTATTGGCTCGTATATTAATGCCTGTTTCTGTTCCCTGAATAGGAGTAATAACGTTCCTATTTGGGTTATTTAAATAGGGACATTTAATCATTACATAGTAATGCCTGTTTCTGTTTCCTGAACAGGAGTAATAAGAGCCTATTTGGTTTATTTAAATAGGGACATATAATAGTTACCCTTCCATTGGTCACAATTAAGATTCTTCAATTTTACCTTATTGTTATTAATATTATTAAAAGCCATAAGGAGCCTAAGTTGTATTGGAATGAAAGATATATGAGAATTGATGTGTTGGTAAAAAAAAAAATAAGAATTTTCTATTGTAATATTTATTGTTTTTAAATCAAATTAATAACAACAGCCATTAATCTCAAAGGGAAGGGGAAATGAATGTTTAAATAAGTAAATGCAGTCTTATTAAATTTTGATATTCAATACTATATGTATAATAAAAATATTTTTACATAATATTGAATTTATGTTGGTCTTCAGATATGTGCATTATTGCCTAAAATGTTGCTATAACCAAAAGTATTAACTTTGGCCATAAAAATAATAAATTACTACCATTTCTATAGTAACCAAAAACAATTTTAGTGAGTAAAAATTAATTTAAAAAAAGAAATATGGACATCTTGTGAGTCTTTCGTTATAGTTATATCCTAAGCGTTCAGCACACCAGGAAGAAGTTGATAACTCATAGCAGTAAATCGATGTCTGGTAGAGATCTACAGGATTACTAACTCCTTGAGGGTGTGCAGGATTAGGAGATGATGACTACTTATATAACCCATAGAGACCATTTTCCACATAACTAGTTTATTCCTTGAATATCCTTCCAAGCTGCTTTCTATGGTGCATCCTTGTAAAGTCAAAGGCCAGTTGTATATTGTAGGGAGGGGTTGGAAGTCTCAATTTGTAAAAGAAATCACCGTATTTAGGAGGGATTGAAACTTTAATTCACAGTTTCAGTGACAAAAAAAGTTTTTCATTAAAAGTTCTAAGAAATATGGTAAAATTTGAATCAATCCATATTTATTAAATTTCTTAATAAAGTTCTGTTAAATAAAAAATTAACAGTAAATCGGTTTAGATCTGAATGTAATATTTCGTTTGAGTAGCTATTGATTAGTCGTTTTTAGATACTTTAGCGAAATCAACTAAACTTTTAAATAAATTTTTAAAAATAAAAATTGTGTAAAACCTTTTCATGAAATGTTGCTAGGGAAAAACTTCTAGTTTCAATATTTATTAAATTTCTTAATAAAGTTCTGTTAAATAAAAAATTAACAGTAAATCGGTTTAGATCTGAATGTAATATTTCGTTTGAGTAGCAATTGATTAGTCGTTTTTAGATACTTTAGCGAAATCAACTAAACTTTTAAATAAATTTTTTAAAATAAAAATTGTGTAAAACCTTTTCATGAAATGTTGCTAGGGAAAAACTTCTAGTTTCAAAAGAAGTAAAAAACTATCGGCAATAAAAATTGTACTCTGATACCGAAACTTTTTAAAAGATTTTTTCGTTTTGATTCTTAGTTTATTATGAAGACTATAAAATTCATAAAAGATTCATAGACGAACCCTTCATAAAAAGGTTGCTCTGTTTTGATCCGGTGATGAATTTGGATAAGTTGTGGGGTCGTTACCAATAAAAAATGAAGACTTTGATGTGACTAATGGGAGGTAGAGCCTTAGGAAACGAGTCGCACTCTGAATTGCCTTTTCTGCCGTAAGGTTCTATTCTATTTGAAGACTCGGATATCAAAATTGTCAAGTTTTATTTTTCCATTCCTAATGTCTTAATGGTTAGATGGACTGAAAAACTTGAAACATAGCTATTCAATGTATCAATAAAATTTGTAATGTATTGTATTATCAGAGATTTTTTTTAATTATTACTTTTTGAGCCTACTTAAAAGATTATTAAGGGGCGTTATTTGAGTTTATTGATGATTTTTATGGCAGGTTTGAATGGATTTTAACAGAAGTTTTGTGTTTCAGGGAAGCTGATTTCCGCAGTAGCGACAGGTGAGATAAAAGTTTATTACTTTGTTGTTTGTGTGCTTGGGTTTTGCTATTTGTTATAAGATGTCTTTATTTTGATATTATTTGGCACTCAGAAGTGATAGTTATTTTTTAGTTTACAATAAAGACCAAATTAGATAATCATATCATTATCAATGCCTGTTATTGTTGTTTCTAGATACGGACCACCAACGCGTACAGATTATCGTCTAATTGTTGAAAATTTATCTAGCAGAGTCAGCTGGCAGGTATGTGATTATTGAATTGTGCTTTCTGGATCCATTGCCTCATTCTCATCATGTTCTCTTTGACTAATTTAATTGTGATAACCTTAGACTTTTATTTTAATCAGTTACATATTTGATTATTACATCATTCAATTTGATTCAAAACCTTTTTTTAAAAATTAATATTATTTATTGTATCATTCAATTTTATAAATTGATTTAAATAATGGTAGAATGCATGATTATCTGATCCTCTAAGTGATGCTATGTTTATAAAAGAAGAGGAGAGGTAGAAATGTTGGATTTATGTGATAATTGTTTGCTTAACAAATTGGAAGTCGAAGAGCAATATCTATACACCACAAGAACTGAGAAGATAGCATTATCATTATATTGGGGATAGCGACCTGACATAACAGTGGAGAGGAAAACAGATACTCCTCAATACCTGGAACACATTCCGTTCTCATTCTTATCCGAGGGGAACGAGTTAGCCAGAGGAATTTTACCAGTTTGTTTGCTCTTTAGCTAGCATAATTGCATGACTTAGAGGACATATATTTTAACAGAATGATATAAAATTAATAAAGGTTATCACAATTATCAAATTAATGAAGTAATATAATTGTTTTTATATTTTCCTTTATTAAAAAAAAAACTACTTAATTCTTTTAACAAAAAGAATTTTCTTAATTTTTTTTGACCATTTAATGTTTGTGTTTTCCTCTCCTAAAGAGTAATCTGGTTTGGCTTGGTTCCGTGTGCGGCCCCCAAGGTCAAGGTGTGTGACATGGTTCTGGTTCTGGTACCTCCTCTAGCCCTCCTGGTCTAGCCCGTGCTGATGACCGTTGACGATGATGACAGTCAGAGTACGAAGAGAACGATTAAATGGGACAGAGAAACTTAGCTATCAATGGCATTAAGCTGGATTAATAGAAATCACTTAAATACCTATTTGGCATGCGACCTGATATTTGGCACAGGAGCAAGAAAGATGATGGATGATGTAGGATCGGATGAGAATAGCCTGTGGCCTGCGTTTCCCCCTCACTACGCATGGACCACCACCGTGTGGTCCCTTGTAGCGCCGACACTTGGCATAACCACCACAACCTCCTCATCTGCTTCCTGGTCTGTCGTGGGCCTCCTCTCTAGGAGTGATGAGGGAAGTTGAGAGAAAAGATGCAAAGGTAATTTAAAAAAAATTCTCTCTGTCCCAAACTTTAATATATTTCGAGTTTCCTTTGTTAATATACACATGTATCATGTATGTGCATTATATAAACCACACTGACAGTAACTATTTTTCATCTTTAATAATATTCCATTTTTAAATGTATTCTAATAGAAATATTCATTTTCCCTTTCCCTATCCTTCCTTGTATCTCTTTTTGAATTCTTTTAATTTCTTTATAATTATGATTTTATTTATGTGGACGAATATAATTTTTGAAATTATTCTATTGTTTCATTAAATATGATTGTATCTGAAAGGCAGCTCAAGGTTATTTCTGTCTCTGATGTCAGAATGTTTTGTGTCTGTTAGTAATTTGTATGACCCTTAACAGAAATTAATTGTTCAATTAAATGAAATAGTTTCTGCCTGCCTCATCGTAATACGTGGAAGTTATGGGTCGAGTTGGTATTTATTTATGTTATTTTTCGGTACAATTGAAGATGACTGCTTAGTGCTAAACAGTCAAATAATAAAAGCAAAAACCGGAATTAAAGTTCTTTACATTAATGATAAAAATTGAGCCTGCTTTTTTGGGCTGTTATAAATGAAATTTTGCTCGCTTTAAATTATTTTGTTTAGTACTTGCCAATTATTCATGTCTAGTATTGATTTATGTTATTAAACATATTAACAAGCTATAGTAATAGGGGTTTGTGAAGGTGAATTTTTCTTTCTAATCTATTCTGATTGGTTATATATAGGGTTTTTTTTTCTATCTGATTTCTCCTGCTATTGTCAATTATATTGAACTTGAATGCTCGAGTAGCATGCACTCTGAGCCATTAGGTACTAATCGTTGATTTTATTGGCAAGACGTTTCATTAAGCGTTTAGACCATTATTAATGTTTAGTCTTAAATTGTGTTATTAAGCTGCCAAATTCAGTTTGAAGGCTGTGGTTATGTAATGTGTAGGACTTTGTCAAGATGGCATGGTAGCGTACACTTAGTTGTTTCTTATCAATTGTGTCACAGTTGCTGTTTGATTTCTCTAAGTGGTGGTTCATTAGTTGTTATAGGTGACCTTACTGCTGGTTGCGTGTATTAGGTATTAATCTGTTTTATTTTTCAATTTGTTGTGTGTTGTTTTTTTTATGTCTCTTAGTTTTTTTAAGATCTTTTAGTATTTATATATATATATATATATATATATTTTTTTTTTTTCAAGTCGAAAGCTCATATCGTTTATATTCTCGTTGTTGGATATTAGCATGGTTAGTTTAATTATTTCAACTTTATTTACTGTGTTCAATGATTTTTAGCTAAATGTATAGGAATTTTTTTTCTGTTGTATTAGTAAAACTTAACATGATTGAATGATTCAAATTCAATCAATCCATTAGCTTTTTGTTTTCTGAATTGCTACAGATTCTTGCCATTCATCATGTTAGCTCGAATGATTGTTTTGTTTTGCTGTATATATTGAACTGAAGGTTATTTACTATAGTTGGTGCTTGCTTTGTATTAGTTCTCAGTCCCTCCTTAGGCTATAATCCCATCAATGTTGGGTGGTTAAAACTTATTTGTTATTTATTTATGCACTTTAAGAAATGTTTGTTATATTTCAAGTTGAATTTGTTATTCTTAACTCAGTTTTCTTCCTTTCCATATATATAATTTTATAATTCCTGCCTTCCTAATATGAACTTAAACCTATGATCAAACAAAGAAAGATGCCCTGGTTTCGAATCTGATAGCCAAATAGTAATGCTACACCACTCCTTCTGAAGCCTTGAGCGTGATACTCATCATTTGAAGAACATTAAACTCAGAAGTAGAAGAAAGTTCTCGATAGCGACGATGACCAGAACTGCCTTGTGTATCGATGAGATGGTGTGATACTACCAGCATAATGATGAAGACTTGATGTTCTACTTAGCTGCAAGACAATATGACGGACCATTGGTATTTTCTGGCCTGCTGTGTCAAATAATCGTCTTAAGGAAGAGAAGTGTTATGTATTGTCATTTTTTTTCTTTTTCTTTTCCCTTTTATATTATGTTTTTTACCAGTATCCTGTCTTATTTTTTCCCCACCCTAATACCCTACACCAACTGTTTTGATTAAAATTGAATTGTAATTCACAATTTGCTGACAGCTTTTCTGTCCTCCCTATATTTGGATTTGAAAGAGATGTTATCATTAATTGATTGTACTTTTCTTTGGGGAAATGGCGAAAGATATATGTTATGTGTTATTTATAATTTAAGACTTCCTTCCCTTAAGTTCAGTTCAGTACCTGATTTATAACAAGTTTAAATGTAAGGAATATATTTTTTTATAGTTTTGAATTTATATTTGTTATGTTTAAACAATATATATATATATATATATATATCTTGTGTAGTATCGTGGTCATTTTAGAAACTTGAGATGAATTTTGTTTTTAAAACAAGCAGTTTGATAAGTTCTACAGTTCTTTTTAGTTGAAATAACATGTTTATTTTTGTACTAGTTTTTTAAGTAAATTATGTATTTTTAAATATTTTACAAATTCAAGCATTACTTGTTAATATAATGAAGATTAAATATCATTCAATTTTTGTTACCATCAAAATTGCAATATATTTAATGAGGTTGTGGGTTAATTTTTCCATTCATCTTATTTATATTAAATGCTTGTTGAATTTGATTAATTAGTTTATTCTATAAATAAACAAAAGTATGTTTCAGCAAAATGTTGAATTACAATAAATAACTGCTAATATTAAGAATATAAATTTTAAAAATAATGGAAAGTTAAAATTTTTAGGTGTGTGACCAGTATAGAGTGATTTTCATAGATTCGATTTTTCACTTCTTATTTTATTTACTGAGTTAAGAATAACACATGCTTGAAAGATATATAATGGATCTCTTTTATAGTTATAAAACGAACTAAAAGTTTTTTTTTTTCAATTTTACATTCTGTGCTAACTGTATTTGTTTCTCAACATTGCTATGTCACTTAAGGTTGTTTTAAAATAATTTTTCTGGTTTACTTTTTTCATAAATTGATTTATTTTAAAAGAGATTCAGATGACATTACTTTTTTCTCAGTACTAAATAATATGTTTCAATTTTTAACAGAACATTCATGTTTTGTATGGTATTCGCTCTCATGTATATTAATGTGTTTTTTCTCTTAGGATTTGAAAGATTATATGCGCCAGGCTGGAGAAGTTACATATGCTGATGCCCATAAAGATAGAAGAAACGAAGGGTTAGTAATCCAATCTTTTTAAACAATAGTTAATAATCTGTATTTTAATTTTTTTTATTAAGTAGTAATAGAATCATGAAGAAAGGCTATAAGTGATAAAAAAAATTTTAAAGCCCAAAAAAATCTTTACTACCGTTTACCTAATGCACGGTCGGTCATAGGGCGAATAGAGTTTCCACTCCGGATACTCTGATAGTAGTAAAGTATCAGTATATCAGTATGGAAGAACCATGACTTGAAATATATAAATTGTAGTTGTGGCACATTTTTTGGTAAAACCAAGCTATTTTAATCTAAATATACATGTATCATCCATCTTTATATGATTTAAAAACAACAATAATATTTTGGTTTTAAAATTTTAATTTTTACGGCAGTTATTGTTGAACAGCGGAACCCGATTTAAACGCATATGCGTGTAAAGTTTTAGAACTATAAATTAAGAAGAGCTGGAATAAACACTAAAGTGGTGGTAGTTAGTTGATCCATTTAGAAATGAAATAATAACTCAAAGTTCAATAAGTGGCATATAAAATAGTTATAAAAGCGACGCCAAAATTGAATGTTACTACATCCTTAAATTTGCTTGTCCTCCGACTTGGCAACAAATGGAAGGCTTAAGGTTGAGTACTTTGTAAGGAAATACTGTTTGAAGTGCCAATGGTTGTGCAAGGAGACGGTAGATAAAATATCAAACTCACTCGCCAGGTTTTCTCTCTGTAATTTATTATTCAATTAAGAGTTCCCACTTGATGGGAGCTGGATGTGCCCTAGGGGGTCTCCTGATTCAAGTTCGATCTCGGGCTGATTTAACAGAATTATTCATTACCTGCCAGAGTCCAACTCAAACCGGAGGTCGTTTCTTTATTTTTTATTTAAGGTTGATTAATTTAAATATATATATATATATATAAAACAGCAAATATAGAAAAAAGAAAGGACTTCAGAGATAACCTAATATATGAGCCTTTCAGTTACCAGAATGACTACTTCAATTTCAACATTTTTTAGTGAAGACTTGTAGTGATTTTTCTAGTTTGAAAATTTATAATATCAGTACCGATAGTGAGTCAGTTGATTGCTTTGTTGAAATATAGAACTATGAATATAAAGGTACACATTTTCCCCTTGTAATATCACTAAAATTAATAATCTAAAATGTTGAAATTTGAGTTGTTTTTTCTCTCTACCAAACAGCTCAAATTAATCCTCTGAAGTTTTAATTAAACTTGATCCTACATTTATTTCTATTCGATAAGTTAATAATTGTTGATTATTCTATAATATTCTCAGACTGCATATTATATTTTTAAATGTTACAGTGTTGTGGAATTCGCTTCTCATTCTGACATGAAGAATGCCCTTGAAAAGCTTGACGATACCGAACTGAACGGTCGGAGGATCAGATTGATTGAAGACAGGAGGAGATCTCGTCGCTCACGATCGTCCAGTTCCAGATCCCGATCCCGCTCCAGGAGTCGCAGGCGCTCTAGATCCAGGTCAACCATAATATGATATATTTTTTATATTAAAATAGGCTCAATTGTTACTGTATTTCTGTTTTTAACTGCTACATGAACAAATTGTCATTTGGTAACATTAACTCCTCTCATTGTGTTATCAATTTATTTTTGTTTGTCACTGTTACATAATAATTCAGTCTTAGTCAGTCTAATAGTTTAATTATTGTTTATTAAGGGAGATAAACATTCTGGTCGTTTTCAGTAGCAGTTAGTTTTTTATGAGCATTATTTTCTTCAACATTAAAAAAAATGATTTTTTTTTTTATTGTTTCAAAATGTTTTGTCTATTTATTCTCTGTGTCCCTTAGGGCAAAGGTGGTATACTTACCTTCCTTTAATTTTAAGCGATGGCTTGTTAAATTCTGAGTAATTTGTTGATTAATAAATGTTCTAGTTCAGTCCTCAAATGAAAAATTAGGTTTGAAGGCATGTTGTAGAGCCTATTAAATTAACATTTAGATAAATCAGGTTAAAGATGAATTTTATCAACTATTAATCGTACATAAGCGAGGCACATTGAGCCTCCTAAGTAAATAAATAAAGTTGACTGGGCTCGCTATAGCAGCAGCTTCCTCCTCCTTGTAATTATTGGATCCCTGCCACGATGCCATATTGTGCCTCTGCTGGCCGTCATTGATGTTTACATGGTAGTAGCAACCATTTTTAATGTTACTGCGGTAAGCTAACAATTTTTCCTTATGTTTTATTTTATGCATTTTGGTAATTCAGAACTGTTAGAGGGGGGTTAATACTAGACCATTAACTAAATATTTTTTATCTTGCCAATGTTTGTATAAATTGTCTTAAATGTTATTAAAAAAAAAACATATTTTTAATTGTAAGCTATTTTTTTTTATATAGTTTATAAAACTGTTTTTATTATGTGCATCTATTAATGTATTAATAGTAGTACACCATACTATACTAACTTCTTTACAGTAATATTACATGTCGTGACATTATATATTTTAATTTTAAGTAGTTTTGTTAAATGTAAGTGGTGTCTGATGCTGTTTGTTGTGTGCCATGTTTGAATTCTGTTATTGTGTCATGTTACAGTAGTATCCAGATTGCTTTGTTTCACCACTTGTTCATGTATCTGTATTAAATTTGAGATTTAATTATTTATTGGAGATCAGTTGGATTATGATTGTTTTGTTTTATAAAAAAATTTACTTAAAATTAAAGTTGAAGTTTTCCAGGCCTGATTAGATTATTATTAGGGTATTTTTAAGTGAGAAGTAATTTGTGTCGTGTAAAAACTGTCAATTATATGTTTCTTAGTGTCTTAATACAGTGGCATTGATTTGAATCGTAAATCTTTAAAAGAATTTGTGTGGTTTTAGTTGTAGTCGGTATTTTAGGGTGCGGGTGCATATGTGGGTTCTTAATTGGAAAAAGTATAAGCTCTGCGCAATGAATAAAATGATTTTGAAGGAATTAATTGTATCTTTGAAATGAATGCTTTGACTATTATTACGTAGGCTAGGACACATTACAGATGCTTGTGAAGATTAGAAAACATTTTAATTTTGTTTGCAGGTCTAGGAGCCGAAGAAGCTCAAGGAGTAGAAGCAGGAGGAGCTCTAGGTCGAGGTCAAAGGGTGCCAAATCTGCATCTAGGTCTAAATCCCGTTCAAAGTAATTCACTTTTGTCATTAGTCATGTCATTTTATAGCTGTAGCCAATTATCTAAATCGCTTGGGCATCTTTTTACACGACACAAATGTTGTTTGCGTTTGCACACTATTGCCTGGTCTACAAAATTGTAATTATATTATATATGAGCTGTGGTGCAATGTTGCAATTTTGGAGGACAATACAACTTCAATTGTTTCTATTTTTATTTCAACTCTGATGTCAAGAGCAGTTATGTCTGATATAATTTGAACCGCTATCCATCGTTCTCTTATCTGATTCGATGTTCAGTCTAAAGTACTTATTTTTCTGTCATTATTTATTGTCTTACTAATGAAATAATAGATTTCTGTAGTTTTCAACTTACTTGTTTTCTCTAATACCTGTTCTAACCACAAAGCTGTTTTTCTTTTCATTTACTTTTGTTCATTACTTATCTTTTTTACAATTTAGTCTTATACAATTAAAGCATATCATTATCAGTTGGAATGTTAATATGGGTTATGTATTTTTTTTTATGCTTAACTGTTACTTAAATTCTTCTATCAGTATGACATCGATTATATGAGTCCATTTGGAGAAGTCAGTCTTATTAAAAGTTCCCCTAAAACATACTTGAATTACAACAAAGTAACAAATTATGAAGAAAGATTTTATTTTATATAGTTTGTATTAATTTAATAGATGTATTTTGTACTTATAATTCTCTGTGATATAACCGTACCACAAGTTGGTATCTCATGGTCAACTCTTGCTGCATTAATTTACTTTTTTCCATTACGAAATACATTTATTACAATATCATATTGATATTGTAAATATTTTGTAAGTAATATCTGGAGGGCAAGGAAAAAGAAGCATGTTTGTTTGAAGTTGGCTAGCCCTCAGGCTTTAATGGAGTCATAGCTTAATGATTCGTTTAAGATACTTTATCCGCTGTATAAGAAAATTCTTTTAAAATATATAACTTGTTTCGATCAGCTCTATAATCGATGTCATACTGTGCCTAAAAAGTTATCAAATCCAAAATTAAATTAACTATTACTTAAAAGAATTTATTTTATTCTCCTTAGAATAATTTTGATATGAATTTAATAATAACTGTCGGTAAAGATATTTAAGTTTGTCAACCACAAGATATTCTAGTAGAAATTAAAATAAACATTATTTTACTATTTTTATTTATTATTATTGTTTGTTTAATTAAGTTATTTTATGTTTTCTTTTTGTTTTTAGGTCTAATGATCGCAAGTCTAAATCACGATCCCGTTCCAAATCTCAAGGAATGGGTCAGAAGTCCAGATCGAGATCAGTTGACAAACGTGATGACTCCATGTAAGATAATTAATTATGCAACTTTTTTTTTACAAGTATAATCGATTTGCTATTTATAGGATTTTTAAAAATATAATTTTTGATTATAGAAATTGAAAATTTATGGAAATTTGTGGGTTATAATTATAAATAATCTCTATAAACTACTTAATAATTTTTGGAAACTAGTGGGAAATTTGTGCTTACATTTATAACTCTCTATGCGGGTTAGTTTGTTATATTTGGCTAAAAATGTATCTAAATTTAGAGGCTTGTTACCGTTAGGTAGTATGGTAGATGTTCCTATATTATAAAATACACGAGCCCAAAAAGAAAGTTTATGTGTACGGAAATTAATAAATAACTGTAAACAGTAACATGATGTAATTGTTGTTTAGGGACAGGTCTGGTAGTAAAGAGAAGTCAAAGTCGAGGAGCCGTTCGGTAGAAAAGAATGGTGATCATTCTGCCAATGAAGACAACAATGAAGATTAGATTACTTATTGACTATAATGTGATGTATATAACACAAGTTTGGTGTCTGCAGTTTTGTGTTGTATTGTAGGATATATATATTATATATAAAACATATTGTACATTCATTCTGTATCCAAATCCTTATTAATGCAAATATTAATGTTCTTTTTATGAATTGGTTTTTCATGTTCTATATTTGATAATTTCATTTGATTTTTTTTTTTTTTAGATTTAATTTCAAGCCTTCGGCTTTAATAAATTATGTTAGGGACAAATCCAGGTGTTCTTTTAGCTTGTGAGAAAGTTTGGTAATGGGCACAATAGTGTGTTTTTATAACACGCACACTCGCACACACAAGTGTCTTGTGAGAAGAAATGCTGGTTATTGGGTCCATAGCAAAGTATATGGGGTTTTTTGTCTTTGTACATTAGGGAACCGTCACTTCTCTCTCCGTGTCTTAATATTATATATCTGTCTGTTCTATGGTTGAATTTTGTAATGTGTAATGATCCAGTTTGTTTCAGTTTTTTCAAATCTTCTTTCCTCATTGTTGATGTAGCATTTCTTGTTTTTTTTTTTCCTTAATTTTTTTTTAAACTTCATTGCTATTAAATATATATTTTGTTTTTTTTCCTTGAAGGTAATAAGTGTTAATTAGCTAGTTGTATACAGTAGCATACATACTGTAACGTAACGTAGTTAGATTTGAAAATATATTCCTATTTGATGATCGAGAGAGTTTTAAGTCTTTATCTCTAGACGTAATTAATATTATTTGTTGATGTATATATTTCTGTGTGTGATGTAAGCAATTTTCGATCTTTATTTTAGAGTTGCTATTTACATTACCATGGCTTAACATTTTTAAAACATTTTCTTTTATATAACAAGTGAGTCTTGTTAATTAGTTTTTATTTGAGGAACTGTTATATTAAGTTACTTTTACTAAGTATAGTTTTAAGAGAGACCATTCAATATAATTGCTATTAGTTTTTCTAATAAATATATGTTATATTATAATTTAATGTTTTATCACCTGAATAAATTTATTGATATCAATACAAATTGATGACTCCTTAGCGGTAACAATTTTGCTTTGTTTTATTTTATTAACGAGGATAATTGTTAGTAACAAGTGATATCGCATACCCTCACAACAGGTAGGTTGCCAGTTCTCACTTCATCAAGTCTTATGCTCTTTAATATATTGACCCTATGCATCAGTAAGTAATTGGAAATATTAACTGTTATGTAGAATTTGTTTACTTTACAAAATATTTCTTATGCAAATTTTTATTTGTATCAAATTATTATGAAAATTCTTTGTATGTTAGAATTTCTGATTCAAATAAATAATAAAATTAAATATTGTTTTTTATTGCTTCAAAGATCTGCCAGGGTCAGATGATGTGACCATCTCCTACCCCCTCAAGCCCGCGTGGTCGTTCCCATATTTATTATAACAACTGAGGCTGAAATCGTTGATGGCGACTTACGAAAATTATTGGGGGGAGAGTGGTGAATCGCCACTGTTTATCATGAGTAGCGGTTGCAACAGTTTCTGCTACTTGAAAAAAAGAACAGATATAACTGTTTTAAAATGTAACAAAAAAGAAGTGTGTTACCTTTACATTATTTTATAAGATATGAATATAATTTTTATTCCCAAAATAATTATCGATTTGATTGTTAAATTAATCCTGTATCGTAACATATTTTAATAAAAGATAAGTCTATTTGTTGATTAAAATAGTAATTAGATAAGAAAATGAGTTTATAAAACTGTTCATTAAATAGAAACAGCTTTGCTGTTCACAAGTCGCATCAGTGTGGTGGCTGATGTTTTATTGGAACAGCTTTCTGTATCCTGGTTTAAGTATCTATTGCAAGAAGCTGTTTAAATTGAACAGGTTCAGCTTTTTCCTCCTATGCCATCTGTATCACTTGTCTCCATCTACTAAATCTAAAAGTGAGATGGCTTGGATGATTTCCTTTTGCTTAATTTAGAGATCTATTGGATGCCATCGATGAGTTCAGCGCTGATTGCAAGAACCTGTCCCTTTCTAATGGAAGGTAATCTGTTCAATGAAAGAAACTTTAAATTAAACAGATTGCTAATAAACATCCCACCACTAGTGATATTGTTTGCCGCATTTCCTATTTGCCTATAAGCAATACATAATATTTACCTATATGAAATATTACCATCTCTGGCAGGTATTGAGTTGGTTTAAGATCTTCCCGATGACAAAAAAGGGTTGTCACACCAAATACCTCAAACTAAAACAGTGTAGTATTTTAATAGATAATCCCTTTTACTTACTCTATGTTGCTCTATAGCACAATGTGGGCCTTGGCTTCCTGAATTATAGCATGCCAATCATTTCTATTGCTCCCCCTTTCCTTCCAGTTCCTCACCACACCCAGTGTTCTCAGGTCGCTCTCAACATCTTGTAACCATCCTTTCCTTGGTCTTCCCCTTCTTTTTGTGCCATATATCGTAGAGAACAATGCCCTATAAGGCATCCTGCTGTGGTCCATTCTAATCACGTGGCCTAACCATTCCATACGCCTAATTTTAACGAAATTAACTATGTTGGCACTATAATATAATTCATGTAGCTCCACATTTTTTCTATACCTCCACACACCCTCTTCAAAAACAGCTCCATAAATATTTTTCTTTCAAAAATATTCATCATACTAATTGTGCTAGTGCAAAGGGTCCATGTCTCCGCTGCATAAGTCACAATAGGTCTTACTAAAGTCTTATATTGTCTTATCTTTGTTTCTTGTGACAGGAGCGATGATTAAAAAAATTTTAGGTAGGCATCGTAGGCCCGGTTTCTGGCCATGATCCTCTTGTACACCACAGCAGCGATTTTATTTTCAGAATTCATTTCCATATATGTGAATTTTTTGACACACTCGAAGGTGAGACCACATATTTCAATGCTCTGTGGACCAATCTCATTGTCGGCTCCGACATACATGCATTTTGTCTTATCTTGATTGATTTCCAGCCCAACATTTTCACCTACGGCTTTCAATATTGCAAACATTTCTTTTATTAATCTCAAATTCATGGTAATTAAGCATATTTGCAGATAATCCCTTTTACAGTTTATAAATCCAAAATAGGACATGGTTAAACAGATTCTACTGTACCTGCTAGTAGATAGGTACAGTCCTTTGCAATGTAGATGATCAATATGTTCATAAAGTTCGCACTGCAGCATTTGTTGGGAGGGGAAGAGGCTCAAGCCTCTAGTAGTCTGAGACTACGGCTGAAATCTCGGTTGGGATTATGGAAACATCAATATTTTTGTCGGATTTCATTATATCCAATTTGAAATTGGACTACCTGAAACTTCTTAAGAAAAAAAGTACTGCAGGAATATTTTCTAGTTTAAAAACATTAAAACAAAAACCAACTTTTGTTTAATGTTAAATATTTGTACAGGCAATCAATGTTAATCAATGTTGTTATCCATATTGGTTGTGATAAAGCTCAAATTCCATGTTATAACTTATATGTTTGAATTGATAATTTTTGTGATTGTTAGTTGCTTTTACACTTCCAATACTTCATTCATTGTTAATCCTTTAACGATATTGAACTCATATGTGGAGCTCCTCTTTTTCATTAAATGAAAAGGTGTTTGGTTATCAATTCTGCTTTTAAACTATTTTATCTCCTTCCCCGTGGAGACAGTAGGCAATTTTTAACTGGAGATTATGGCAATTTTTAAATGAAGTGAGTGGTTAATAGAGGCGATGGAAATTATTCTGTCCCAAAAATTATGAAAACACCGAAGTGCGGAAAGATAATTTTTTTTAAATTATCATTTCTACTCGTAATAGAATATCAAGGCCTGATATACTAAAACAGAAAATTGAAATATCTACAATTTTTTTTTTTATATTAACCCATGAGCATCATGCGATGAGAAGGTCTGCTTTGCATTTTTTTTTTCTATGTTTCAATTTATAAATATGTTTATATGTAAAATAGTTATTTTTTATTAATATTAGAATTATTTTTGTGATGAGAAGGATTTGCTATAAAACAAATGAATACAGGCATTTCTAATTTATTATAAAATACATACTACAATAATAGTCACAATACAAGTCTTGACAATTCATTTTCTTTACTTTCCATTTCTTAATTATTGTTCTAACATGCTCTTTAAAAGAAAACTTGAATGTCCCTTATGATATTGTGCAAAATTTTTTTTGCCCACAAACGTGACCTTTATTAGTATGAGAAAACAGTCAGTATTGATGTTTGCTCTTAGTTTGATCCTTACTATGTTTTTTACTTTTCCACCTATACCAGGTAATGAAAGTATTGCTATCGGGTCAATTTCCCTCCAAGTCCGAAAAACACATTTTTAGCCATCGGTCTGTCTGTGCCAAGATTTTCTCGGGAACTACTGAACCGATTTTGTTGCTTCTTTTTTTATTTTGTAGGGTTTTGACTACTGATGCCTGTGACAGAAATTAGGTGCTCCATGCCCAATAGCTTGCACGCAATAAATGAAAAACACGTTTTAGACATTAGAGCGAAAACGGCTATAACGATTTTGATGAAACTTCCCTATAATGTCCTAATAATTTTTCTTTCATTTTCGTATATGGACTAAATTCCCGAGAAAAGACAGGAAAATAAGTTATAAAGAAAAGGAAAATGTTATGGGGCCTAACTCCATAAGTATATATTATACGGTAAAATTTATAATAAAACTTTTAAAAGGTAATTAAATTACCAACAAAAAAATTCATCGGAATCGAACTAGTATTAGCGATGATACAGCTTATTCTATTTTCTATTTTAATTTATTACTTTCCTACATATACTAGATAAGGAAAGTATTGCGATCGGGTCAAATTTCCGATATGCAGTTTTCGACGGATCTATACGTTTCAGAGCCCCCTGAGTCTTTGAGCATGTTTTTTGAAAGGTAATGAAATTCCCTACAAAGCCATATAAAAATCATTCATTTTGGACAACTATTAACAAAGTTACAGCTATTCAATTTCCAATGTACGATTACGGGTTCATATCCTGGTGTCAGAAAGGGATGAATGAGAGAAAAAAGATGACTAAGTGAAAGTAAGAAAATCTGTTGCCCGCATCACACAAGCTTCACTATTTTCTCTACCTTACAATATTAAATTAGCTATGGTAAAAAGTTTTTGATCAGCAATATTAGAGAGTACTGAATTGTTTACACTGATCTACCTTAAGCCGGTTTACATTGCTTTAGTTTATCAAATAAATCTTTTCTTTGATCAATTTTCAGGAAAATAAATATAGTTCAATTTTTTTTTGTTTCTTCATGAACATATGTTAAGATATAAAAACTAATCTGAAATAGGTAAGAAAGTCATGTGAGTGGACACACCAGATGTTTTATTATGTATTTCATCTTTCAGATAATGGACTATTAGACTACTGAGTGACGTTATCCTTACCTCGTAACAGTCTATGTCCAATGTCAATACTTGATTTCTGTCACTCCACTCCTGTGTACTAAGATTTGAGCAGAGATGGGGAAAATCTGAATAAATGATAACTACCAAAAATAACTATGCCAATTTTATACTTGATTCAATAGCATTATAAATATAGTAAAAATGTGACAGAATAACATGATTACGATTGTAATCGTTGATTGTGATTATGGTTCATCTATGCACTCAAGTCATTGTTATGTTGGCCTTGACCTCCTTTTCTTCGTCAGAGAGTTCTTTAAGAACTTAAGGAGGTAAGTCTTTATCTCGAACAACTTCATACTGTTTTGATAATTTATAATTAAAGAAAGGAATGTAAATAAGACTATAGATACCTTTGCTATTTTATAATAAGAATAATATTAAATTGTATTTCAATAATAAAATGAAACCAGGCACACATTAAATTGTATGCAACAAGTAGACGTTTACCATTAGAAATCCAGGTGGCAACTGAATGTGCTAATATTTCCAAAAACAAATTCATTGACGTGGCTGAGTGTATTAGTGAGGTGGAGACCCTGGTATACCTGAAATTGTAAAAGAAACTTAATTCTGTCCATCTGATTCATTCATGGGTTAATCCCCTACTAGGATCTTACCCAACCTCTATGAAGGTGGGTATACTCCATACTCTTCAGTGGATCAGAGGCTGTTGCCTGCGGTTCAAATCAGTTCTTTCATTTGAATATGGTCAAAATGAAATAGTAAACCCATTCAATGAGGCGGAAAAAATGCTGAACTACAGTTATAAATAAATAAATTAGTTATGACTGTTGGTGCATTTTAACACCAAGTTTTATTTGTTTAGCTAATACTACGGAATATTGAAACTTATTTTAAACTCT